AATACCAAGGAAAAGAAACTCCCCTTGCAAACTGAGTTGCAGCAACAGTTCTCAATATTCCATATGTTTCCACATCAGATACAGAAACTAAACAAGAGAAACAAGATTATCCAAAATCACTAACTTCAAACTAAATCATAGAGTCAATGAGACGCAGACAGATATTTCATTAATATCCCAAAGATTTACTTATGAAGTTGTTAAGAACGTGATCTAGGGACCAGTGCTGCGGCATGGTGAGTTAACACGTATGATCTCAGCCTTCCGCATGGACAATGTCTGAGAGTCAGCCATCGCACTATGACCCAGCATCCTCCTAACACCCCTCAGGAGGGAGCAGGGATGGCTCAAGTCAGGGGTCTCTACCATCCACAGGAGACCCTGATGGAGCTCCTGGATCCCTGCCTTGCTCTGGCCCAGGCAGGGTCATTGGAGACGACTGGGGAGTGTCCAATAAATGTGTGGCTCACTTTCTCTGCCTCTCAATTAATTTTTTAAAGATTTATTTATTTTTATTGCAAAGTCAGATATACAGAGAGGAGGAGAGACAGAGAGGAAGATTTCTGTCCGATGATTCACTCCTCAAGTGACCGCAATGACCAGTGCTACATTGATCTGAAGCCAGGAGCCAGGAATTTCTTCCACGTCTCCCACGTGGACACAGGGTCCTAAGGCATTGGGCTGTCCTCGACTGCTTTCCCAGGCCACAAGCAGGGAGCTGGATGGGAAGTGGAGCTGCAGGCCTCCATATGGGAGGACGTATAATCATACTAAATAACTTTAAAAATCATCTAATGTCCAGAAATTTTAAAAAAAAATAATGTAAACAAAATCTATATAATGAATTCCAAGTAAAATGTTTAAGATGTTCCTTTATTTCAAGTGGAAATCTTAACAAATACACGTTAACTTGTAAGATAAGAACAAATAAATTGGTTCATTTCCTATATTTCCTATATAATTAAGAGGATCAAGTGTAAGAAACATGACAGAGTTAGCACTGTGGTACAGTGGGTTAAACTGCCACCTGCTTGAATCCTGGCTGTTCCACTTCTTCTTTCTTTTAAGATCTTTTAAAAAACATGTATTTATTTTTATTGCAAAGTCAGATACATATAGAGGGGAAGAGAGACAGAGAGGCTAAGTGACTTCAATGGCCGGTGCTACACCGATTGGAAGCCAGGAGTTAGGAGTTCTTTCAGGTCTCCCACACAGGTACAGGGTCCCAAGGTTTTGGGCCGTCCTCAACTGCTTTCCCAGGCCACAAGCAGGGAGCTGGATTATAAACGGGGCTACTGGGATTAGAACCGGCCATATGGGATCCTGGTGTGTACAAGGCAAGGACTTTAGCCACTAGTGTACCGTGCCAGGCCCAGCTGCTCAACTTCTGCTCCAGCTCCCTGCTTAAAGCCTGGGAAAGCAGTAGAGGACAGCCCAAAGTCTTGGGACCTTGTACCTGCATGGGAGACCCAAGGGAACCTCCTGGCTCGGGGCTTCAGCTCAGCCAAGCTCTGGCCATTGCAAACATTTGGAGAGTGAACCAGTGGATGAAATATCTCTCTCTTCCTCCTGTAACTCTGCCTTTTAAAATAAAAATAAAGACTCTAGGGCCCAGTGTAGTGGCCTAGCGGCTGGAGTTCTCATCTTGAGCACACTGGGATCACATATAGGCACTGGTTCTAACCCCACCGCCCTGTTTCCCATCCAGCTCCTGTGTATGGCCTGGGAAAGCAGTCAATGATGGCCCAAAGCCTTGGGACCCTGCACCAACTGGGAGGCCAAGAAGAAACTCCTGGCTCCTAGCTTCGAATCGGCTCAGCTCCAGCCGTTGCGCTCACTTGGGGAGTGAATCATCGGATGGAAGATCTTCCTCTCTGTCTTTCCTCCTCTGTATATATGACTTTGCAATAAAAATAAATAATATAAAATCATAAAAATATAAACTCTAAAAAGTAAATAAAAAACCAAATATCTTCCCATGCTTCCTAATTATGTTGTTTCTGAATTCTCATATTTTCCCAACTTTCCAAGCCACAATTCTTCCTACTTTCTTCCTATGCCTCATGGGATATCCTGTTTTTAGCCTGCTTCCTTTTCCTCTCTATTAAACCCCAAGTGTCACTGCAGCTAAAATGTTTAATGAGTGTTGGGCACCTATATCCCCTTTGACTCATAAAGTACATTCAGGCTGTTAAGTATAAAACGCAAATGCATTCATGACGTGAGCCATAAGTAGCACTGACCAAACCACTCTTCAGAGAAAAAGGATTCAAGTTCTTCCAGTGTAATGAGCTGAATGATCTCTGTAGACACATCTTTCCACATCACTTTTATACTATATATTCCTATAGTGTGCAAATGGAAGGTGATGTCATGTGACCTGGTGCAAGCATCGACCACTCTATCCTTCTAACACTGACAGCTTACCCAGCTGCTAAAGGCACCCTGTACACATCAGCGGTTTTTTATTATCTTCCAAAACTCCATCGAAATCCTACATCAATGCCCCATCATGATCAGCACTCACGACACACTTTACTAATGATCTTGCTATGACCAAAAAAAAAAAAAGAAGGAAAGAAAAAGAAAACAAAGAAACATGGGTGAAGGAAAGTATTACCCTGTTTCAAGATGACAGATACAAGGTTTTTCATACCATCACTATCGTCCATTACAGATAAGTACCCAAAACACGTCACAATCCGAGCATGGCTACACCAGCACTGGACAACATCCTCACCTGACAATAAGCATAGTTTCCAAGAGCTTTGTGAGCTTCGTCGATGACTAGACACTTCACCTCAGCAGCAGGACAGGTTCCTCTGGAGAGGTCATTCACCATGACTTGAGGTGTAAGGAAAAGGACTCTCTTCTTGCTCCACACTTCCTTCCTGGTGCACACCGCCGTAGACCCTGTACACAGATGTGACATTCTACACTGTATACTTCCGGGGGAAAGATCAAGGATAGTGACTTACAAATACCCTCAACCAGCTCCAGAGGCTCAACAAAAATTAACCTTATTAATGAGCGTCCAACTTAACAGGAGAGAATTCTCCAAAGGAGGGGGGCTTTCAGAACCTGGGGTTTGGAACGAGAGTCAGGAACCACTCCTTTAGCTCTACGTCCACTGCCTGCTCTCCCTGGGTGCCCAGCCCTTCACTTCCAATGCGCCCGCGCTCAGTAAACACCTGTCATCTCGGCCATGTGGGACTGCGGGATGCCCATCACTCGATAGCAAGCCTCGATCTGCTGTGTCACCAGGGGCTTCGTGGGAGCCATGAAGACCACCTTCCCGGAGGGGAACCAGCGGTAGAAATTGTACATGACCACAGCGGCGATAAAGGTCTTCCCCAGTCCCGTGGGCAGACACACCAGCGTGTTGCACAATAGGGCCGTCTGGGAAATGCGCAGCTGATAGTCCCGCACCGGGCAATTGGTAGGGTAAATCCACAAGGCGCCCGCGGAAGAGCAAAACCCGCCATTCTCCAGGCGCAGCTGCTGCTCTGCCTCGCACGCCGCAACCAGCAGCACATCGTCGTCGGAATCGGGCTGAGCTGCCGCGGCGCTGGGAGGCCGCTCGGTCCCGGTGCTGGCTCCCGGGGTCCCGGCGCTGGCTCCTGGGGTCCCGGCGCTGGCTCCCGGGGTCCCGGCGCTGGCTCCCGGGGTCCCGGCGCTGGCTCCTGGGGTCCCGGCGCTGGCTCCCGGGGTCCCGGCGCTGGCTCCCGGGGTCCCGGCGCTGGCTCCCGGGGTCCCGGTGCTGGCTCCCGGGGTCCCGCCGCCGGCTCGGGTAACGCTGCAGCCCCACGCCTGGAGGAGAGTCCTCTGGCGTCCGCTCATCAGGTCGACCGCCACCCGAAGCTCCTCTCACACAACGGCAACCGCTGCAGCTCAACCGCCGCGCCGGCGATCTCCATGGGGCTCCTGCGCACCAAACCCTGGAAGGAGAGCGAGGACGCAGGAGATCCTTTAGGTTCAAAATGCCGCCACAGTCGGAGCTGGGGAGATGATTGGCAGGCCTTACGGCTTTCCGTAGGCGCACGCGCACCGCGGAGGAGTTACACTAAATACAGTCCCACTCAGGTTTTTTTTTAGTGACTCTGAACTTGAGTTCCGATTTCTGGGCGACATTGCTAACATGGTATCACTTCAAATGATAAGATAAATAAGGTTGATTTTCCGAGGACTGCAAAATGCCCCTTATTTTGTAAACTTGCCGTCACGGAACTTCTAATACGGTGTGTTTTTAAATCGGAAGATGAAGCAAAAGTCAGTGACAACAGAATTAAATGCTTGTGTCATTGCTCTGAGTAGGCTGAGAGATGGAAGTGAGTGTGATCTGGGCCCGCTGTTCAACTCTCACATCTCTATTCCAGATGAGCTTTGAACGTCGGGCCCCCTCGAGCTTGGGCGCCTTGCTGGCCTCTCCACCCCAACCCTGACGGCCTTGAGTAGATTCTGCGAATGGCTTTCCTTGCGTATTAAGGAAAAGTAGGAACACATGGAGCCTGAAGAAAACCCATAGTTAGCGCCGCTCAAACTTGCTCTGAAACGCATCGTTCCTCGCTTGTATACAAGAACGACAGTTTAAGTTTCGTTGGTGTGAACCCTGAGAGACGGCTGGGATGTGTGATGTTCTGATGGTCCAGGCCTGAACCAACTGGAGTCGTTAAAAGTAAATGAGAAGCTCAGAGCGTTTTTTTTTTTTTTTTAAACAGGTTCCAAACCTTCAAAGGCACAGCAGGCCGTAATGAATAAACACGTGCGCATAATTACTGGTAAATATCGCTACTACTAGAGGCTGCCTAACACAGGACAAACCAGAAGGGATGAGGACTGCAGGTCTTGCAGTAGCCGCCTCTGCCGCTTCTCCAGACTCAACAAAGCAGCTCTCATTGCACAATGCGTACGTCACTCAAGGACGAAAGCCAATCAGGCTGCGCGCGGTGCGCTGGCCCCGCCTCCAAGGGACGGGGCGGAGCCACACCGCGGCGGGCTAGCTCAGTCCGGCTGAGGCAGCGGGGGAAGATGGCGGCCGCCGTTCCACAGCGGGCGTGGACCGTGGAGCAGCTGCGCAGCGAACAGTTGCCCAAGAAGGACATTATCAAGTTTCTGCAGGATCACGGTTCAGATTCGGTACCAGAGGCGGCGGGGGACCGGGCTGCTGTGGCTGCGGGAGGCCTCACCCCCCCGGAGATGCCTAGACATTCCGCATTCCGCGGTGCCTCCGCCCTCGCCTTCCCGCGGCCGCTGGTCGGGCAGGCCGCGGCGGCCTCGTGGGCACCCAGCATCCGCGGTGACGCCCCTCTGGCTCGACCTGCTTCGGGGGGGGGGCCGCATTTCTATTTCCTGGGGCACGTAGGCTGCAGTCGTAAAATCTGAGCCCCATTAGGAACCTTCAGTGGGAGGCGGAGGCCAGGAAGACAGACATCCAGAGATTGGAGGGGCTGAGGCGGGGGGCCTCCCCGAAAGCCCGGGAGAGGAGCCCCGGGTGCCGAGGAGGGGGCAGAGGATGCGAGGGTCTGCCTGGGAACAGTGACTCAGAGCTCACATTTTGCACCAGTTTACTAAGTGCTGAAAATACATGCGTGCGATTTTCAAAACTCTGTAGATTGTAGTTTTCACCTTTTTTTTTTAATTATTATTTAATGTCGATGTTTAGCACGATTTTTTTCGCTTTGTACTTAGGAAAGTTATTAACGCATTTCATTGTTAGGCCAAGAAATTTATTTGGCATTTCTTGTACTGTACGACCTGCTCTTGCAGTCTCCATCTTAAGCGGCCATCTGTAGTCACAAGTTATTTTTGTTCCACCTGACTCATTTGTGCCTTAGGAACACAGATCATTCTTACATTTCTTAACTGCTGGCCTACTATACATTGTAGTACACAGGCAGCCTCATCCCCTTGCTGGAAGTGAAAGCTGTAGCATGCAGTCTTTGCCATTTTTTTTTTTCAAATTCTAAATTTAAAAATTATTTCTGGACTCTTCTGAGGGGATTGTGTTTCATCTTAATTTGGGGGAGTCTTCCAATTCCCTTTGAATTTTCGTTTGGGGATTCTTTCAGTTCTAATGAATGATGATTCCGTACGCAACATCTTAAGATTAATGTAGCAGATGTTTATATAACATTTAGAGAAGTAGCGTTCTGTGTTTGGCCATGTAGGAAGAAAAGTGCCGGTCGACTGAACCAGAGGAACTGAGTGGACAATATTAATGGCACAGTAGTGCTTTCACAAAATGCTTTTTTATTTTTTAAGATGTATTTATTTAAGATGTATATGTTTTTATTGGAAATGCAGATATACAGAGAGGGAGGTATAGAGAGAAAGATCTTCCACCTGCTGGTTCACTCCTCAAGTGACTGCAATGGCTGTGCTACACTAATCCAAAGCCAGGAGCCAGGAACTTCCTCCAGGTCTCCACACCCGTGCAGGGTCCCAAGGCTTTGGGTCGTCCTCAACTACTTTCCCAGGCCACAAGCATGGAACTGGATGGGAAGCAGGGCTGCCTGGATTAGAACCGGTGCCCATATGGGATCCCAGTGCATTTAAGGCAAGGACTTTAGCTGGAACTGAGCCATTCCAAAGCCTGGAGCTTCTTTTAGGTCTCCCATGCAGGTGCAGGGTCCCAAGGCTTTGGGCTGTCCTGCACTGCTTTCCCAGATCACAAGCAGGGAGCTGAATAGGAAGTAGAGCAATCGGGATTAAAGTCAGCACCCATATGGGATCCTGGAGCATAGAATGCAAGGACTTTAGCCAATAAGCTATCGTACCGGGCCTGTATTTATTAATTCTTATTGGGAAGGTAGATCAGATTCAGGGAAAGAAGGAGAGTAAGATCTTCTGTCTGCTGGCTAACTCCCCAATTAGCCACAAAAGCCAGAGCTGAGCTGATTTGAAGCTAGGAACCCGGGGCCTCTTCCATGTCTCCTACACAGGTGCAGGGTCCCAAGGCTTTGAGCTGTCCTCAACTGCTTTTGCAGGCCACAGGCAGGGAGCTGGATAGGAAGTAGATAAGAGCAGCTGGGACACAAACCAGAGCCCAGATGGAATGCTGGTTGTTGTGGGTAGAGTATTAGCTAATTGAGCTATCTGGCTGGCCACATTAAAGCATTTTTAAAAACAAATGGAATCTAATGTAAAACTGGCTAGCAGTCTTATATGCAAGGGAAAAGAAACTGCTCCCTTTATGGGAATCCTTGGCCGCTTGTCCAATATCAGACAACTAGGATGTTAGCCCAAGGACGTGATTCCAGGCCTATACACTTAGTTATTAGAAATATTATAAGAAATAATAATAATACTGTATTGGCCATAGTTCTCTTGACACACCTGGTAGTGATTGGAGTGTTATACCTAGTGCCCGGTGTTACTGGAGACGCCGAGGGCAGTGCCAAGCAGCTTTGTGAGCACCCGTCTGCAGTCGCCACACTGTCCTTCCTGTGTAAATGCTCTTTTGTGTGATTCTGCAGTGGGAAAAAGGTTAGGATGAAGGACTGTCCCACGTGTCGTGTGACTCAGCATAGCAGTTCTACCCTTGTGAAGAGTTCTTACAAATATTTTATTTAAAAATATTTTTGAAATAGGGTATCAAATAATGTTTATATCATTCTGCATTAGTAGTACAGTTGAAACATAACTGCTAACATTAAAAGTTAAGTTTTTAATTGAGTGAAATTATTTTTGGCTAATCTGATTTTGCCTTTGTAGTTTCTTGCAGAACATAAGTTATTAGGCAACATTAAAAATGTCGCCAAGACAGCCAACAAGGATCATTTGGTTACAGCCTATAACCATCTGTTTGAAAGTAAGGTGAGTATTATGCCATTTAAAAAATTTTTAATATAAAATGTTAAACCTTTTCTACTAATCATAAGTGGACTAGCTGTCATTGTAACAAGCTTATGTATACAGTGACAGAATATGGATTGGGTTTGGAAAGATAATTTTCTAGTAGCTTAAATTGAGAAGGCTGATTCTTAAGGCTCTTGCAATGTTTAAAATACATGAGGTCAAAGTATTACCATATTACTCTGCATATCAAATATGTTCTGAAAAGGAATTGCCATTCATTAACAAATTTAAAGTCTGTTTTAGATTTCAGCTGAATTTTAGGAAAGCTGCTTTTAAGAAATTTTTCAATATTCACGATGAGATGAGCACCTTCCACTGAAGGGTCTTTAAGTTGTTGTCTGAATACTGTTTATGTCTCCAGCTCAACGTTAATCTTTCTCTTCCTTTTTTTCCCATGTAACAGTTTTGTAGCTAGGAGTTAGCCTTTCTAAAGGCCATTGTCTTCATATCAGAATCTGTATTGTAAGCTGACCTGAGGGTTATAATTTATTATTAAAATGTTTAACAAGGTTCTTACTTTGTCCTTAGGGCAGTGTCTTTGGACGCTTGAACTATATTCATTGTGCAGATGTTTATTAAATAGGAAGGCTGAGAATCTGCATAACCTTCTAGTTTTTAGCCTAACCTGGATATGTCTCAATGCTTGCTTTTCAGCGTTTCAAGGGCTCTGAAAATGTAAGTAAAGTGTCTGAGCAAGTGAAAAATGTGAAACTTAATGAAGATAAACCCAAAGAAACCAAGTCCGAAGAGACTCAGGATGAGGTTTGTCTATGATATTTTCTTATTTGCTGATTCACTCCCAAAATAGCCATGTTGACTGGGGCCGGACCAGGCCAGGAGCTTTATCCTGGTCTCCTACATGGGTGGCAGCGGCCAAAGCATTTGTCCCAGGTGCATTAGCAGGTAGCTGGATTCCAAGTCGAGCATCTGTGACTTGAACCAGTGCTCTGACTGGGTTGCATCATCCTGAGTGGCCACTTAGGCTGTTGTGCCCCAATACCACCATAACATTTATTGATGTAAGTATGATTTTGAATGAAGCACTATTCAGTTTGCAGTATTTCTCAAAGAAAATTGAGAAATTTATTTATTTAGATCCTTACACAAAAATAAACCAGAAGTATTTGTAATTTATACCTCAAAACTAAAATAAAAGATTTCGTGGGTTGGTGGTTTTGGTGTTCCACTTCCCATCTAGTTCCCTGCTTTTGGCCTGGGAAAACAGCAGAAGATGGCCCAAAACCCTAGGGCCATGAAGCCAAGTGGGAGACCTGGAGGTGGCTCCTTGCTTCGGATGGGCTGTTTCATCCATTGCAGCCATTTGGGGAATGAACCAGCACATGGAGATCTTTTTCTCTGTCTCTCCTTGTCTCAGTAAAGTTTGCTTTTCCAGTAAAAAGACATCTTGAAAAAAAAAATAGAGGTGAGTATATTGGCTTAGCAAGTCAAGTTACTGCTTGCCATGTTGGCATCCCTTACTGGACCATATTTTCAGTACTGCACTACTGTTTTCTGTCTTCTGATGTGCCTGTGAAGGCATTAGAAGATGGCCCAACTGTTTGGGCTCTTGCTACCCACATTTGATACCGAAATGGCAGTTCTTGAGCCCTGTCTCCAGCCTGGCCCAGGCCTAGCTATTGTGTTTATTTGGAGAGCAAATTACCAGGATGGAAGATACCTCTCAGTCATGACTTTGTTAGAAATAAATAATCCTTAAAACATGTATTAAAGAAGTAGCATTAATTATGACTGTTGAAATGACTCAAATCTTTGAAACATTTTGTAGGAAAACTGATTTTTTAGTACAAACATTTTAAAAATCTTGCAGTTTTCCAAACCATAGTTCCCATTCCTTGTGAACTGTTTAAAGACCTCATGTGTGTAAAAATAATATTTTCGTACTAAAGTAAAATTTGATTCCACTTTCCACAGAATTTTTTTTTTTTTAAGGACCCTGGTAGGCATTACAAAGTCAGATATACAGAAAGGAGCAGAGACAGAGAGGAAGATCTTCTATCCATTGATTCACTCCCCAAGTGACCGCAACGGCCGGTGCTGTGCTGATCCGAAGCCAGGAGCCAGGAACTTCCTCCCGGTCTCCCACACAGGTGCAGGGTCCCAAAACATTGGGTCGTCCTCGACTGCTTTCCCAGGCCTCAAGCAGAGAGCTGTATGAGAAGAGAAGCTGCCGGGATTAGAACCAGTGCCCCGATGGGATCCCCAGGGGTTCAAGGCGAGGACTTTAGCCGCTAGGCCACAGTGCCAGGCTCTAACTTTGGGTGTTTTTGTTTTGTTTTTAGGGTCCACCAAAATATACAAAATCTGTTCTCAAAAAAGGAGATAAAACCAACTTTCCTAAAAAAGGAGATGTTGTTCACTGCTGGTATACAGGAACACTACAGGATGGTACTGTTTTTGACACTAATGTTCAAACAAGTAAGTCTAAATTTAATATTCTTTTGGACTTCAGACATTGAAATATTTTTGCATGGTTTCCCTTGACTTTTCTCCAAATACATTTTGCACACATACTAAGTTCACTGGTTATTGGCTGGTGAAAGGTCTCTTTCTTGGTCCTTAGAAAGTAGAAACAAGGAATCCTAGTATAAATTTGGTAATTTTTTAATTCCGTTTTCTGCTGGTTAACTTAGAGGTTTATTTTGGGTCACAGTTCTAAATGTCCAAGAATATTCCATCTACTTTCTGCATGGGGAACATGGGTTGCTCCATGCACTGTGTGAAAGTGGAAAAGCAAGCCAAGGCACATGTGCAAATGTTGTATGTGTGCATGGCAGTTAGGGGAGTTGCTGGTATCAACTTTGCTTTGTAACAATTTGCTCTGGAAGTAACTGATACACTCCCTCAACATTGAGAACACAATCCCATGAGTACAAGCATTATTGCATCTTAATGAATAAAGTGCCACAGTGGTGACCAACCTTCAACATGACGGTCCATAATCAAACTGTAGTAGTTTCCCAAAGTGAAACTAATTTTCACCAGAAAGGCCGGATAGTGTACCAATTTTGGTGGTCTTTACTCTCTACCCTCAATTGAGACCATGTTTTGACATGACATCTAGATTTTTTGTGATAAACTGCTTTCCCACCTTTGCTTTCCCTTTTTGAAGATTCATTTATTCACGAGCAACATGGCAGAAAGGGAGGAGGGAAAAGAAAGAAGGGGCAGAGAGATCTTCCCAGCTGCTTGCTCATCCCCTCACACTCCCCACCCCCCGAAACAGCCAAAGCTAGGAGCCTGGAACTCCCAGGTCTTCCGTGTGGGTGGCAGAGGCCCAAGCACTCGGGCCATCCTCCACTGCTTTTTCAGGCACATTAGCAGGGAGCTGGATCAGAAGTGGAACAGCCGGGACTTAAACTGGTGCTCACATGGGATGTCAGTGTCGCAGGCAAAAGTTTAAACTCACTATGCCACACTGGCCCCTTGATTTGTTTTCAGGTAAGTATTACAATTCTGAAATCAATTAAACCATTGGGGTTTTCCATTGAACTTAGTTTCTTAATAGAGTATGTTATTAATTATAAGGAAATCTGTCTTATAGGTTCAAAGAAGAAGAAAAATGCCAAGCCTTTAAGTTTTAAGGTTGGAGTGGGCAAAGTTATCAGAGGAGTAAGTAAAAAATGGCCATGAAAAATATTCTGGTACCTGGCATTTTACGGTGCATGGGGTCTAAGTATAGGATAGAACATACTTGAAAGTGTTCAGTGCGACAAACCAGGTGCTTTATTTTGCTAGCTAATCTAGCTCGAGTTGTTCTGTTTCCACCTATTATGTGTAAAGAAGCATAAATTACACAGGACAGTAGGGGTTCAACCATTAGTTCTCTCCATGTCTTTGCCGTTATTTTTCTTCATAAAGTAAATTTTCCTCAAAATGTTTGGTCTCTAAGTTTGTCTTTAAGTTTCTTACATTTCATGGCTGTTATATCACTTATACACCTGAAATGGACATAAAATATCTATTCCACTGATGTTATTCATAGGAGTTTTGTTTCTGTAGCTTTCTTGCCTCAATCTATGCTCAAACAACAAAGAAACATCAAAAGCACGATTTAGCCACCCTTACACAAGGAATAACATAAGGAAACGTAACAGTTCACGTTTTCACACCTGCTTACACAAAATTGGTAGCAATATCAACTTGATACTTCTCCGTATCTTGACTGCATGTTAATTTCTTCCAGTCTGTCATATTAATTTCTAGATGTGACAGATGTCTATTGTTTTTGTTGCATAGCAGAGTATAGGACTACAGGAATACATACTCTGTATCCTTTGAAAATGTTAACTGTTTGTGGCAAAAGGCTTTTGGATCCAAATTTGGAACAAATGAAGAGGCAACCAAGAAGTGTGTATCACTTATTTGAAAAGTTAGTTTTTATCTTTCAAGTGCTCTAATATTTATTTACTGTCATGGTTCTGTTGCAATTTGGTGATCCTAAAGAGCTTCAGAATACTTAAGAGTTATCCCTCTAAATTTTCAAGTCTGTGTTTTAATGTGAAAATCTACCAATTCTTTTATACTGATGCTAGTAACAAACTACTTGTATTTTTTTCACACTGAATCCCTTGAGTATCAGGTCAAAAAAATTTTTTTTTTTTTCGGGTCAAAAAATTTTGATCCATTCTTTTTTTTTTCTGAATGAGGAAACTGAAGGCAAGGTTCATTGAAGGATTCTCTACCTTAACATTGAAATCCATAACAGCATGCTCTGAGAATGTTTGTACTCATGTTCCTAGAAGCATTTCTTTGAAAATAACTTTTGTTTCTTAGTGGGACGAGGCACTCTTGACTATGAGTAAAGGAGAAAAGGCTCGACTGGAGATTGAACCAGAATGGGCTTATGGAAAGAAAGGACAGCCTGATGCCAAGTATCCTTTTTCCTTCATAATTAAAGAATTTAACAGAGAATACTTAAAAGCTTGGAAGATGCTGTGTAGGCTAGCCTTCTGATCAGAAATCCTGTCCAGTCAACTTCTTGATACTGATAACATGTTAACATTTCCAACACAAATAGCAGTTAATATTTCTATTAATACAGCTTAGGAATCTTTCTTTTTTTTTCAGTATCTTGGTTTCAAGACTTAACTAAGCTTAGGCTTTCTACTTTGAAAGGCAGTGTTTTTTTCATCAGACTAAAAGAGATGGGAGACAGATGTGAGAGAAGTACCTTCTAGCCATTGATTACTCCACAGATAGCTACAGCACAGCCTGGGTCTGGCCAAAGCCAGGAGCTTCTTTCCAGGTCTTTCAGGTGGGTAGTTGGAGTTGAAGACCTTGGGCCATATTTTGCTGCTTTTCCCAGGCCATTAGCAGGGAGCAGTATAGGAAGTGGAGCAGTTGGGACACAAAATTGTGCCCATACATTACGATGACATCACAGGTGGCAGTTTCATGTGCTGTGCCACCCACAGCACTAGAAACCTGAACGACAAGTCTGTATTTGCAGGTCTGGCTCTAAGCAAAGAAAATGCCCACAGATATGGATACAGGTATAACTTCGTAATTTTTTAAAAGATTTATTTTCATTGGAAAGGCAGACTTAGAGAAGGAGAGAGAGATCTTGAGCCCAGCATCGTGGCCTAGCAGCTGAAGTCCTTGCCTTGAATGTGCCTAGATCCCATTTAGGCACTGGTTCTAATCCCGGTGGCCCTGCTTCCCATCCAGCTCCCTGCTTGCGGCCTGGGAAAGCAGTCAAGGACGACCCAATGCTCTGGGACACTGAACCTGTGTGGGAGACCTGGAGGAAGTTCCTGGCTCCTGGCTTCAGATTGGCACAGCACCAGCCATTGCGGTCACTTGGGGAGTGAATCATCGGATGGAAGATCTTCCTGAGTATCTGACTTTGCAATAAAAATATATTTTTTAAAAATCACAAAAAAGGAGAGATCTTTCCACTGTTTCACTCCCAACGTGGCTGCACAACATTGGGAGGGGAGAGGAAAGCTCTAGAGGTTCAGTTTATTTGGCAAGTGCTGTTGTCTTAGCAAATAGAGGGCTAACTGCATTGTAGTTTTCAGATTAAGATTACTATACGTAATGAGGGCTTTTGATCAAATTTACCTTGACATTTCTAACAGAATTCCACCAAATGCAAAACTCATTTTTGAAGTAGAATTAGTGGATATTGATTGAAATTGGAGTGCTACAGATATAAAGATGTCAGCAATGTGATAAAACTTGGCCTTGAAGAACTTATGTAACTTGTTGCCATTGTTAACGGAAAATGAAACTGGAAAATTAGGAATTCAAGCTTGTTTACTTGATCCCAGTTTTTGAGAAGTGTAGTTCCTTGTAAATACATGAAGTCTAAAGTATTTTACTACAGCTGTAAAATGTTGGGAGAACTGTTTTCTCCATTTACTTCATGTGTAAACTAAAAGGCTCAATAAACATACCTACTCTCATGGCTCAACTGATTTATTTAGTGTTACTATATTAACATTCTGATTATATGACCGGGAATATGGCCACATCTAACCAGAGAATTAACTCAAAAAATTGCTTTGAAGCTTTGTGAGGGCACACATGATTCCCTTTAAGGAAAAGACTTCTTTATGATGAAAAGGCAAAAGCTCAAGGTTGAAAGTATAAGCAGAAAGCAGCACAAAGACAAGCTGAATTTAGGAAAACTGTATTTCAAAAGCAGTAAGGCACTGATAATGGTGAGTATGAAGGTAATATTAGGTTCCCCCTCCAATAAATTCATAAACAATTACTGAATGAGTCTTCAGTTTTATTACAAAAGTGAAGATGATCAGTTCAAAATGAAAACTTTCTCACAGTTTTACATGAATGTTCTAAATACAAAGTCTCCTGAAACAATTGATAATATTCTCATTTTTAAAGGGATGCAAACATTTTCAATGTTCTCATTTATACTCTATTCCAAGGCATAGTATTTTAATAGTGTCTTTGCAGTCAGATCCAAATTCACAAGTATAACTGAAACATACAGACAAACCCTTGTTAGCAAAAGTTCGCATCGGTTGGTTTTCACAGAAGTAAAACCTATTTAATAACCAGCCCTTAGGTTTTCAGAATCTTGTACACTGACATGATTTGCAGTCAGGTTTTTTTTTTTTTTCCTGCCCTTAAGGCTACAAAACTTGCAAATGGTTTGCAAAAGAATTCTAGACCACTTAATGCAAAAATCAAAAAAATAGTTCTCCAATAAAAAGTAAATTTTATAAATGGTAGGAAATATTATCTGTGGTAAGCTACTGCCTGACATTCCCCCCATTACTTAACAAATGTTACACAGAAAGGGAAGACAAGTTATCAAATACAACAACTTTATGTTCACATCCCTCATTAAAAAAAATATACTTTTCACACACTCCATCTGAAATTTGTATTTTGCCATCACGTCGGAGGGGGAGGATAATACTGTCCATAATTCCAAGGATTCTGATAATTGTACTGAAAAGAAAAAGTGTTATGTTAGCATACTAAAATTAGCTGACAAACAATGAAAAAAAGACATTTTAAGTGAATAAATGTGCTTACTGTTGACATTGACATTAAAGCACAATATAAGGTGCAAGATAACTTGGAAACAAGTTTTCTAGCTTGGGACATATATGAGCCAAGAATTACAACTATATGGACTCACCTGATACCAGGCACTATAATTATATGCAGCTTGATTTGCCTGTAAATCGCCATCAATCATCTGTGTAGATGATGAGGTTGTATCGTCCGTATGTGCTTTCTTTTCCTCTGGTTCTTCTGATCTACAGAAAAAGTCAAAATGAAAACTGTCAAAATTCCTACAGATGAAGAACAAATGTCACCTTTGCACATTTCAATTTTTCAAGTTATGAAAATATTACAACATATAGGCAATACTCATAGTGTAAGCAGTTATATACCCATTTTCTGCTTTCCTTTTTAAAGAATCCTGTTCTTTTAGGAGTGTTTGATGTTCATCATAAGCATTCAGAAGCCTAAGGGAAGAAAAAAAAAATCATCCTGAATATATAAAAACTAGGCTTTTAAGATCTGTTGAAATCTCTAAGTGGTTTATTCAATTATTCTGATATTCAGAACAGACCTTCCTTAAATTTAAAAGGTCTTACTGGTACATTCGTGTTGAACCTTTATACCATCTACCTATTGCCAAGTAAAAATGGCCCATTTAAGGGAAAGCATTTGTCTCAGTGGTTCAAAGACACTGGCCACCCATTCTGGGACATGTGTTCATCTCAGCTCCCAGCCATTGTCCAGCAGCCTACCTATTATGCAAATCTTGGGAAGTATCAGGTAAAGTAATTCAGTTCATGCCATTCATATGGGAAACCTGACCAAAGTTCCTGGTATGTGCCACTGCAGGTATCAACAGAGAAAACCACTGTAGGAGGGTCTCTGTCTCAAATAATTCACTTTAAAAATAACGTATTTGGGCACAGAGAAATGCTTCAATTGGTTCACCTTCCCCCTTCAAGCACAGGGATCCCATATGGGGGCTAGTCCCTGTCCAGACTGTTCTTCCCACACAGCATCCTGTTTGTGGCCTAGGAAAGCAGTCGAGGATGGCCCAACACCTTGGGACCCTGCACCCATGTGGGAGACCGGGAAGAGGTTCTAGGCTCCTGGCTTCAGATCTGCTCAGCTCCAGTCACTGCAGCCAATGAATGGGCAGTGAACCAGGGAATGGAAGATCTTTGTCTCTATTCTCTGTACATCTACTTTTCCAAGGAAAATATTTTTTTAAATATATCACTTAATTCATTACACTAAACTACAAGAGCAGGATTGGTATTGTAGCAGAGTGTGATAAAGTGTGACCTACAATGCCAGCATCTGCTTATCAGAGTGCTAATTTAAGACTAGGCTGCTTTGCTTCCATTATTTTCTTGCTTTTGTGTCTGGGGACGCATTAGAAGACCGCGTAAGTAATTTGTTTGCCATCTTCTATGTGGGAGAACAAGACAGAGTTATTGGCTCTTGTCTTCAAATCAGTCTAACTGGCTGCTACGGCCACTTGTGGAGTACAACACTGGACTGAAGAATGGAAGGTCTTCTTCTGTGTCTCCCTTTGTATCACTCTTGCCTTTCACATAAATAACTTCACATACAAAAAGCCAAACCAAACTCAATAATCCCTACTGTCAATGATCTACTGCTTGTGTTCTGAAATCAGTTTTTCAAGCCACTCAAATTCACCATGCTACTTCTTCACAACATCCTCCAGTAAAAGAGAAGTTAGTTTTATATAAATTTGTTTATACCAAAATGTCCCCTCGGCTTATACAAATGAAGCAGGTAACACAATGAAACTCCACATCCACAAGGAAACAGAAGAAACCGTCCTGGGCCTCAGAGATCACAGCCTTATTATCAGTTACACGCTACTTCTAACACTCAGGTATTTCCTCTGAGAATTATGCCAGCCAAGTAGTCTAAAATTTTCCTTTTGTATATGTTCTTCAGTGTAAAAAGAATTGAGGGGAAGTTTTAAAAACAGGTATACTGAAACCAACAAAAAAAAACTATGTTTAGGAAAAGATAATCCTTGCTCATGGATTAAAAAGTCAGTATTATTAAAATGTCTATTAGCTAGAACAATTAATAGATTCAGCACAATCCATATCAAAACACTGATTTCATTCTTATACAAACTTAGAAAAAAAATACAAAAATTCATATGGAATCACAAAAGTTTCAAAAGAGCCAAAGCCATTCTGAGCAAGAAAAATCAAGCTGGGACTCACACAATGCCTGATTTACAGCATGGTAAGGGCATAAACAGAAGAGAGGATCTGAGAATTAAACCATATACTTAGTCAACTGATTTTTTTGTTTGTTTACAAAAGTGTACCAACCACACAGTACAGTAAAAAAAACTCTAACAAATGCAAATTGTATCTATAACTTTCAGTATGTGCAAACATCAATTCAAGATGGATCAAAGACCTAAGTTTAAGACCATCTTGAGACTATCAAGTTGCTGGAAGAAAACTTAGGAGAAATACATTAGTATTTCCAAAACATTAGTGTAGGAAATGACTACTTAGGACTTTTCAAAGCACATAGAGCAAAAGCAAGTTAAAAAAAATTGCTTGAAACAAATGAAGGTATCAACACAACATATCAAAACTTATGAGACACAAATCAAGGCAGTATTAAGAGAAAAGTTCAACTCAATCAATACATATGTTAAGAAAACTAGAAAAGCACCAAGTAAATGAGCTAACCTTACAGCTGAATGAAGCAGGAAAAAAGAAATAATCAAATAAGGGAGGAAATAAACCAAGTAGAAGCCAAAAGAACTATACATAAGATCAATGAATCAAAGAGCTGATTCTTTGAGAAAATCAACAAAATAGACTCCCCACTAGCCAACTAGTCAAAAACAGGAGGAAAAGACATGCATCAATAGCGTCAGAGATGAGAAAGGAAATGTAACAGATAATTGGAAATAGAATTATCAGGAACTATTACAAGCAACTATATGTGAACAAATCAGAAGACCTAGAAGAGATGGATAGATCTTTGGACAGAAACAATCCATCAAAATTGTATCAAGAAACAATTAATAATCTAAATAGCCCAATAACATGCACTGAGATTGAATCAGTAATTAAAGCCCTCCCAACCAAGAAAAGTCCTGGATCTGATGGCTTCACTGATGAATTCTACCAAACATTTTAAGAGGAATTTACCCCAATCCTCCACAGATTTTCCAAACAATAGAAAGAGAGGCCATCATTCCAAACTCTTTTATTGAAGCCAGCATCACCTAAATAACAAAGCTAGACAGACACACTACAGCAACAACAGAAAAGAGAATCTTCAACAAAATACTAGCCAACAGGATCCAACAGCACACCAGGCAGATCATTCACCTGGACCAGGTGGGATGCATTCCAAGCATGCAGGAATGGTTCAACATCCGCAAATCAATAAATGTAATACATCACACACACAAAGAAAAATGAAAAATTAAAACCGTATGATCATCTCAATAGATGCAAAGAAGGCATTTGATGAAATCCAACACTATTTCATGCTAAAAACCGTAAACAAGATAGGCATAGAAAGAACATTCTACAACACAATCAAAGCAATTTATAAAAAACCCAATGCCAGCATCATACTAAATGGGGAAAGACTGGAAGCCTTACCACTAAAATCTGTCCACTGTCACCACTACTCTTCAATATAGTATTAGAAGTCCTTACCAGAACTATTAGGCAAGAAAAAAGGAATTAGAGAAATACAAATCGGAAAACAAGGAACTGAAATTATCTCTCTTTGCAGATGACAGGAGTCTCTACATAGGGGAACCAAAAGAATCAGTTAAGAGACTATTGGAACTCATAAGAGACTTTGGCAGAGCAGCAGAATACAAAATTAATGAACACAAATCGATGGACTAGTGTTACACAAATAATTCCAAGAATGAGAAAGAAATTATAAATACAGTAACATTTAAAATGGAGAGGAATCTTAAATACTTAGGAATTAAGCTAACCAAATATGTGGAAGACTTTTATGATGAAAGCTGTAAAACATCAAAAAAGGAAAAAGATGACGACATTGAAAAATAGAGAAACTTATGTTCCTGGATTGGCAGGATCATCATCATCAAAATGACTATATTATCAAAAGTACTATACAGATTCAACCCAATCCCAATCAACATTCCAACAGCATTCTTCTCAGAAATAGAAAAGAAGATACAAAAGTTCATCTTGAAACACAAGAGACCAGAAATAGCCAAAGCTACCCCGAAGAATAAAAATCAAGCTGGAGGTATCACAATCCCAGACCTCAAGACATATTATGGAACAGTGGTCATCACAGCAGTCTGGTACTGGTACTGGTACAAAGAAGATCAATGGAACAGAATAGAAACACCAAAAGGGATCCCACACATGTATAGCCAACTAATCTTTGACAAGAAAACTGAAAACAATCTGGGCAAAATTCCTGGTCTCTTCAACAAATGCTGTTGGGACAACTGGATAGTAGCATGCAGAATTTAGAAGCAAGATCCACATATGTCACATTATACGAAACTTAGCTCTAAATGGTTGAAGGATCTAAATCTACACCCAGAAACCATCAAACTGTTAAAGGAAAACAAAGGAAATGCTTTACAAGAAATAGGAATGGGGAAAGACTGCTTAGAAAAGATGCCAAAAGCACAGGCAAAATAAACCAATGGACTACATCAAAGTAAAAAGCTTCTGTATGGCAAATGAAACAATTAACAAAGTGAAAAAGCAACCAACAGAATGGGAGGAAATTTTTGCACAGTGTACAAGTGGCAGGGGACTAATATCCAGGACTTATAAAGAGCTTCAGAAACCCAGGAACAGTAAAACAAAACAAAACAAACAAAAAAACCCTGTGAAAAAATGAGCAAAGGAAATGAACATTTCTCAAAAGAACAGATTCAAATGGCTAACAGACATATGAAAGGATGCTCAGGCTCCCTAGCCATCAGGGAGATACAAATGAAAACCACCTTGAGGTACCACCTAACTCCAATGAGACTGGCCTACATTCAAAACTACTAACAACACTTCCTAGCATGGATTTTGGGAGAAAGGTACCCTCCTTCACTGCTGGTGGGAATGCAGGCTAGTAAAACCACTACGGAAATCAGTATGGAGATTGCTTAGAGAATTGCAAATAAACATGCCATATGACTCAACTACCTTGCTCCTAGGAATATACCCAGAAGAAATGAAAACTGCATGTAAGAAGATCGGTAATCGTATATTTACTGCAGCACAATCTACAATAGAAACAATATGGAAACAATTCATATGCTAGGCCAAAGAGGAATGCCTAAAGAAACTGTGGTACATCTACTCCATGGAATATTACTCAGCCACTAAAAAGAATTAAATTATACCATTTCCAACTAGATTGTCCCAATTAGAGACCATTATGCTCACTGAAATAAGTCAATCTCAAAAGGACAAATACCATATTTCTCTGTAATATAAGGAAACCATGATGCAAACTAAGTTTTTGCATTTTGTGGCTTCTCATTTAAGAGAATGTATAGTGATGGAGTAATAAACTACTATATTCAGATGTGAAAATACACTGCAATATGCAACCCTACTTCCAAATCAAAGATGGACTCCCAAAGAAACTGTTGGACATATCTAGATAATGGGATGCTGGACTGTCTAACACTGTCTGTACCAGCAATGTTGGGGCAAACTTAAATAACAGGTTGATGGATTAATAGTCCTCTATTAAGGACTATACTATTGTAACAATACGGGGAAAATCAGTTGGGGGTGGGACTTTGGATTTGGGGGTAGATCTCAGACTCTATGGAATTGCATCATAAAACTCAAAATTTTAAATAAAAATTCAAAAAAAATCTGTACAGCACACAACATTCTCAACACACATTGAAATAAGTTACAATCCCAACCCCACTACGTAAGCTCAGTGACATAGGGAAGATCTGACTAATCTTATTAAAACTTTTCTTCTTCACTTATTGTAAAAGAAAAGGCTTTCTCTCTATCACACTGTCACAAATCTGAGGTAATACCTATCAAATATCTACCCTGAGGCCAAAACCTCAATAAATATTAGCTGTGGTATTAACTATGTTTTACAAGGTTTATTAGAATGGCAGAATGACAAAGACAGGAATAATCATCCTGGATTTACTGGCTCACTCTCCAATGGCTGCAACACCAAAGCCAGGAGATAGGAGCTCCCTCCTGGTTTCCCACATAGGTAACAGGGGTCCAAGAAACTGTACCATCATCCACAGGCACATTAGTATCTGTTGCAGCAGAAGCAGAGCAGGGGTGAATGTGTGGCAGTGCTGGTCCCTGTATTAACCCATTAAGAATCACATTTTCAACTGTTAATATTTACATAATTTATTTCAAAACTGTCATGTGCTATTTTTATTGCTCTTTAAGGGTGCCCTTAAATAAGAATGATGGGATATAATGGGTTAATTTAATTGAAATCTCACATAGCACTGCAAACACATGCACCCACCACGACAGCACAATAGTTTGGAGCTTATCCAAAGTGTTTTCCATGGAAACCATTCTAAACTGGAATAATCAGGTGATGGTATAGGTCCTGGAATGTTTTCTTCCTGGGATCAGATCAGGCTGTCACTTTAGCATTGCTTCAGCCATTATTCCTTTAGTTCTATTGAGCCAAGTTAAATCTTAAACCTGTCCCTGCAAACCTCCTAATCTTTAACCCTTCTACCATCCTCAACTTTCAACCTTTTATAACACAAAACAATGAGGCCATTTAGGCATTTGTGAAACCACATCCTTTTTCTTGAATACAGATAAAATGACACTGCTTTTCAGATTAACACCAAACACATTTATTGACCTACTAACTGAATGTGTGTTTCAGGGTGCAAACCTTGTCCCATTGCTAGTCTGTGAACATCATCAAAATCTCATTTAAAAATGCAATGCTTGTTTGCCATTCAAATAGGTAACATAATGAGGATCTTACTTATTAACATCTGAACCAAAATCTTCAAGAAATTCCACTTTTCTTTGAGAGAATGTAATTCTCATTTTAATAGGTAATGATCCATGAACAGCTTTGTCAAAACAACTGAGGATATTTTCTTCATTTTGTTTGAGGTCACCACTATATTCCATTTCAAGTAAATTGAGGTATAACTTTGTGTTCTCCTGTGTAAGAAGTAGGACTGATTAATATTTCTAAAATATTTTAGACAGATATTCTAGATGCCTTAATTTTTATGTCTCAAAAAAACACACTGAAAACTGCATTAAATTATTGCTGTTATTTTTCAGCATATGTCTAATAGGCTAAAAATCACTAGCACCTTGATAAACAGTAATATCATCCTAGTTTTTCTAAATTTAACATAAAACATTAAAAGATTAAAATTCTACATTCTTGATTTAATATTATTTAGGCCAGCATGACAATTAGAAAATAAAATACATATAATCTCTACAGTTCCAATTATTAAAATCTTACTACAACTATAAGCCTATTAAACTGTAGCTGGAAGCAATCTTTTATACTATCCCTTCTATAGCTAAAAACGTAAAATATGAGAAACTTCTGTTATATCACCACTAAATTTAAAAGGAAATTTTGGGGACATGAAAAATCATCTCATGGCTACATTTGTTATGATGCGGGCAACTGCAATGCTTTATCATGCAAGTGTTTTCACAAGCCCTCTATTGAACCGGATAATCAAAAGATCTTTATTTTTAAAGAGAAAATAGAAAATACTCCAACATCTGCAATGTAACAATTTTCTCAAACTTTAAATTCAGAATGAACAGAAAGTTTAAATGGCAACATCAGTTTAGAGGGACTGTTGTCCTCATTTAGTAATAAAATATTACATACAGATCAAATTTTTCATCATAGTTGCCAAAGTATAAGAAATTGTGTTTTTAAATGGAAGATAATATAAAAATATAAATACATACTTTGTCTCTTTCAATGGCTTCTAAAAGCACCTTCCTTGACTTTGGAAGATTTTTTTGTATTTTGAAAAGATGCCGGGCTAGTTTGATAGCATAAAAAGATGACTCATTACTTGATTTGGCATTTTTAATGGCATCCTGAAGCAAATGCTCAGCTTCTTCCATATTTCCATGCCGACGTTCTAAACTTACTCTTCGCAAACGAACCATTGCCAATCCTAGAACACATTCTTCAAATGTTCTTAAGATATTCCTGGCTTCATTAATATTGCCTGGAAAATGCAATGAAATGTTTTATTCTTTCATTTAAACTTTGTAAACAGCAATGGGAAACAACAACTTGAGGGAACACTCTATCCCTAAGCATACTTAAAAAAGAACAGCAGCCTTTCTCATCCTTTCTTTGTTACCCATGATTGCTTTTGAACTATAATGACAGAGCTGAGTAGTCAGGAAGCGGACTACAAAGCCTTCAAGTCTAAAACATTTATTATCTGATTCTTTAGTGGAAAAGCTATAAACTCTGCTTTACAACATCACTCAACACACAAATTTCAATAAATGTATCCTGAAATCACTTGGAATCCTAAATGTATTCAGCCAAGTTTCCTCATTCTTACCCTGTTGCTCCTCAAAAGCTGCCCAAAGCATATGCACCATGGGTTTCTTTGGAAGATGAATAGTACAAGCTCTGCTGAAGACATGCCTCACTCCTTCAATGCTATGGTTTTCCATGTACTTGGCATACTACATACAGAAAAGAGGAAATACTGAATAATTTACAGTTGAACCAGTCATTAAATATGTGACAGAACGATAAAATTCTATTTTTAAACCCATTCAGCACCTTTATTGAACCACTAGACTAGTTTCTGTAAGGAAGGACGAAGAGAGGCAACGAGGTTGGCATATGCAGCAGTCAAATCTGGTTGCAAGCAGACCATCTCCTAATGCAACAGATATAGTTATATGAACAACATTCAACAGAAGTACAAAAAAGGTTAGTCACTAGATCAATGTTTATAATGTATTCAAGTTTAACAGCATATAATTTGCTTACCTTAATCCAAAACTCCTCATAGAGGGCACATGATATGACACATCTTTCAAAGAGAACCACAACTCGTTCATGAGTCCCGTTTTCAATTTCAAATTCTAAATATTCTTTCCAGTTTTTAAGTTGTGCCTTTTCCAATGGTTTCACATGAAAATAAGGTCTTTTGATCTGAAAGAAAAAAAATTATAATATGGTAATGAAAGTAAATAAATACAATTATCGAAAGATTCAAAGGTAAAAATACAAATCATTTAAAATATACTTGATGTTAAGGAATGAAAATGTCTTCAGCTAATTTACTGCATAATTTAATTTTTTATTTTAGTTTAAATCCCATAAACACGTTAGGGTTTACAAATTCATTCTGTTCTCATTTTCTCAGTTATTTTAACAGAAATATACATATATATAAAAACATATATTAACATATATGTATGTGTGTGCACATATATATATATATAGGAAGCTGTATTCTCCTTTGAGTATTCTGAAATTTAATAATTTTATTATGGAGTCAAAGTATATTAGGGATTACCAGATGTTAGCAGTTACAGGGAATGACCTAATGTGATCTTGAAGGTGACAAGGTATTTTCATATCCTGACTATTGTAATAAGCATGTGCTTTTTGTTGATTGCTTGTTTTGGAAGGGAAATTTACAGAGGAGAGACAGAGAGGAAGATCTTGCATTTGCTGATTCACTCCCCAAATGGCCACAATGGCTGGAGCTGAGCCAATCCAAAGCCAGGAGCCAGGTGCTTTCTCCAGGTCTTCCACACGGGTCAGAGTCCCAAGGCTTTGGGGCCATCCTCTACTGATTTCCCAGGCCACGTGGAGCAGCCAGGACACAAACAACTTCCCATATAGGATCTAGAGCTTGCAGGGGGAGGGTCAACTAATACAATCATTGCGCCAGACCCACAGGCATATATTTTTCCAAACCTGCTTTATAGTTTTGAAAAAAAGTCACATATTACTAGTTTATAATTTGATTCACATGAAAACCGAGTTGTTGAGAAAATCTAGGGAAAGACAAAGTAGGTCAGTGGTACCTTGAGTTGAGGGAAGGTAGTCAAAGGAGTTGTGCAACAAGGAGTAGTGACAGCTTAATAGTAAGGATTTTTGTTTTTTGTTTTAGTTTTGAGGTGATGAGAATGTGGTGATGGCTATATATAACTGTGAATATGCTTAAGACTAACAGATACATTAAACTGATGATTTTTTGTGGCATGTAAATTAAATCTCAATAAAGATGTCAGAAAAAAATGAATTAAAAAATTCACTTGATTATATATCTAAAGATGGTACATTTTAGTAAAATTTAAAAACCTCAATAAGTATCTTCCTGTTCAAAATTAACTCTGAAACAGTAAAACAAAATCAATAATGGAAACAATAACTGACACGTCAAGTCACTACTTTAGTATGTAAAAGTACAGTGATAAATTACTACCAAACAAGAAAAAATGTTCATATTTTTGAAGACTATAATACAAAAATACTTACACCTTCTTCAAAAGTCCACCTTTTACTAACTTCGTGTTCATTATAATTAAACATTTCTTGATGAATCTCAATGATTCGATGTCTCATGTTTTCTATTTCAGTAATTAGCTTAGACAGAAAAAGAAAAATCTCAAAAGCTATATACTAAACATTTTTCATTAACTCAGATATTTTAGTTTTAGTATAGTGGTGAGTTTTTAGTTATTAACAGCTATATGCAAAGTCCAACTAATAAAACTAGCATTTAGAATAAAATGTCTTAATAAATCATTTTTAAGAATTACTTGTATAAAACAAATAGATTTTATATTTATCACAACACAGGTTTAGAAGGATAGAGCTCCTTCCTACCACCTGCCCACCTGATGACTGCCTCTATTAATTTTTTCCAATATTATTATAACAGCCTATTTATTCACTAAAGAATAATAAACTGAACTCCACTATATACACACCATGACAAAGCAAGCAGAGGAAAAATAAAAGAAAAAAGGAAACTCTACTGTTACACAGGATAGAAACATGGTGTAACAAACCAGTTTTTTTTTTACCCGTATTATTGTAATAAGACTAACACATCACAACCTAGGTAAAATATTAAGCTATTCCTAAGTGTTTTATTAGCACCTTAAATTTTTAAACATAAAGGACATCCCTGAGTCTTAGTCAAACAGTAACTTTAAACAAGCATTAAGTCACAGAGCAAAATGGTCAGAATTGTAATTTATCTCTGTTCCACTCAGGCAGAGCAAGTAGACATTAAAATCTTGTTTTTCATGCAATCAGACTTTTTGGACAAGTCTTTTTACCTTTGCTGGATCAGTTATGTCTTCAGTTCCTAATGGCAGATCATCACCAGGTGGACCATCATCACCACTATGTCCATTAACAGATGCTAATTCCCTTCTCAGCTGAATAAATTGTTCATCAGTTAAAAGATCTCTAGGCAAATTATTCTGTATATGATCTTTAAATCTAAAAGGAAGATTCACAATTTTAGATCCCTTATTGAATTTCTATTACATTCATTCTAAAGCAGAAAACCAAAATCACAATTCTCATATTTATTCAAAGATTTTTAAGAAACTTTGTCAGTGGGTATCTTTACAAATAGAAAATCTAGAAATCACTGATCAGAGAAAAATTATTTTAATAGCTAATAAAGTAAAATGCCACTAAAGAAAATCAAAATGGAAAATTACGATAGAATTATATTTTTGGTGTGAATATACATAAGACTTAGTATATAAATCTATCACTGCTTGGGCTGGCATCATGGCATAGCAAGTTAAGCCTCTGTTTGCGATGCTAGACTCCCACATGGCCTGGAAGAAGGCCTGGTTGCTGCACGTCTGATCCAGCTCCCTGCTAATATGCCTAAGAAAGAAAAAGCAGAAGATGAAGCAAGTGCTTCCACCCTGCACCAACATGGGAAATAGGAAAAAAGCTTCTGACCCCTAACTTGGGCCTGACCCACCCTGGCTGCAGTAGCCATTTGGGGAGTAAACTCAGAGATTAAAGAATTTCTTTCTCTCCTTCTTATCTCTCTGTAGTTCTGTCTTTCAAATGAATAAAAGATATATTTTTAAAATATCTATCACTGTTCTGTGCATAAGATGTTGCTTCAATCACTGTATGTTTAGTAAAGCAGAAAGATTTAAAAAATAAGTATCCATCATATGCCAAGCACTGTTTTACTTTAGTTTTTACAAACAATTAATTTAACTTAGATTCTATTTTCTCAGTGCTCAAATGCTTTACACAAGAGAGGATTCTATTGTCTCCTTATTTATAAAACAGATAAGTTAATCTTCTATGGAAAACCAGTAAAATTCAGAGCAGTTATTTAACCTAGTAGTTAAGACCCCCCACATGCTCTATGGGAATAGCTAGGCCTGAGTCCCCACTTTAGTCACCGACTCCAGCTTTCTAATGTAGACCTGAGGAGGCAGCAGGGAGAATCCTAATACAAATGTGGAAGACACGGTCTAAGCTCCCAGCTTCAGTCCCAACCAGGCACCACTGTGGACCTTCTGAGAATAACCAAAGGTAGACTTCCTCTCTCTCTCAAATGAGTAAACAAAAATAAAAACAACAAAATTCCTCAACTTTTCATAAGGAACATGGAAAAATCATAACATTTTAAAAAATGTGTAAACTGTAATTAATGAGAAAATTTATTCATTTTATTCCAGTAAAATTCCACATATTTCAAGAGAATTACAATATACAGTATTGGAATTAATTACCCAAGTAACAAAAAATGTTTGGAAAAACAGATTTATCTACCTACCTCTGAAAATGATGACTATACAGCTGTGTCGGAATACCAAGGATACGATCGTAGATGGCTGTAACTTCTCTCAGGTTTCCTTGTTCATTTTCCCAGTTTATATACATTTCCCATAGTCTGTCAGATCGGAAGTCTGTTCCTGCAGCTAGAACAGCATGCTCAAAAGTTCTGAAAAATTGAATTACTTTTAAGATATATTTCCAAAACAAATACCAATTTAAAAATACTTTTTTCCAAATTTAGAAGTTAATGTTACATTTAAAAAATCATATTTAACTTCAGACTATGCAACTGGGGTTACAAAGTAGAAGAAATAATGCAAAGCAAGAAATAATTACAAAGAAATTAGATAAATGTAAAATTATAAAGCAAAAATGTACACACACAAACATGTGACCCAGTCAATCCTTGGGTATCTTGCACAGTTTTGTTTGTTACAGAAGACAAAACTGTTTGAAACAAGTATAAATTTACTTTGTACTTTCTAGTTTTTATTTCAAGGAATATTTTCTAATTCTTCAACAAGGAACCCAGCTGCAAGTAAGACAATAGTAATCATACATATGTTTGAAAACAATTCTAAATTTCTTAAATTATAAAATTCTTCCTGTCTGCTCTACTTCCACTCCAGCTACCTGCTAATGTGCTCAGGAAAGCAGCAGAGGATAACCAAAGTCCTGGCTTCTGGCTTCAGCCTGGCCTAGCCATGGCTGTGATGGCTTCAGCCTGGAAGCGGCTGTGATGGCCAAATTGGGAATGAAGCAGCAGATCAAAAATTGCTGTCTCGCTCTTTCTCTGTAACCTTCACTTCAAAACATTTTTGGTTACACATTTTCAAAATAAGTATCTTAAAACTAAGAGGGATTTTATAACAGCATTAAATCAGGCTCTTGCAATTATCCTATAATTTTAATAATCCCAATCAAAGTCCTAATAAACTTGGAATGGAAAAGGAAAATCAAATTTGAATATTCTTCTATTATACAAAAATAAAATAATGTTTACCAAAGGCCAATGCCATGGCATTCTCCTAAAAGCTATTAAGCTACTGTAATCTCAAGCATGGCAAAAGAAAAATGGACCCACAAATAGGGCATAGGAAAAGAAACAAACACTACATGTTTAACAATTGAGTAAATTATAAGGAGGTATTTTTAAGTCATGCAGAACAGTTAGACTATTAGACATATAGAAGAGTTCAAAAACCAACAACAAACTAAAAGACCACATGAGTGGCAAACAAAACTGTAAAACAAGTAGAAGAAAATGAAGTACTTATATATTTTTGGCAAGATAGGCACGAAACTCAGAGACAACAGAAGATTAAAAACTGAAAAATTTTAAGAAAACAATGTCAATGACCAAGACATGACAACAGTGCAGGAACTATGTTTTATATAGAGATAAAAGATTAGTAATGTACATGTATGTCTGTAAGGTTTCAAGAAAATAAACAGATGATACTATGTTGCAGAATTCCAAAATGATGCAAGAAGCTAATGAGCCGGGGCCAGCATTGTGGTTCAAGGATCTAAGGCATCTCATGATGGAGCACTGGTCTGAGCCAGCTGCTCTTGGAATCCAGCCTCATTCTAATGTGCCTGAGAAAACAGCAGAGGATGGCTGAAGTGCTTGGCCCCCTATTACCCACACGGGACACACAGATGGTGTTCCAGGATCCTGGCTTCAGCTTGGCACAGCCCTGGCTCAAGTGGAGAGTAAATCGGCAGACGGAAAAATTCTTGCCCCTTTTGCCTCTCATTCTGCCCCTCAAATAGATAACACACACTCCCCTCCCCCAAAAAGGAAAGCAGTGAGTTCATGTGTCAGACACTATATAGGGGAGGAGAGGGAAGGTTTGTAATGTAAGGAAATACATTGTGTTTAGAGGATCAGTTTTTTTTTTATCAATGGTGAGAAATCTTCAATTCCGGATATGGGCTTTCAGAAGCTAGTTTACATTCCCCATGGAAATCAGATGATGCTTCTCTGAAAAAAAAAACAAAACTGCTTGGCTCAAGAAACAAATATAATGATATCAACGCTGGAAATCTTCCAACAAAAACCTGAGTGGCTGCTCACCCCAACGTGAAGCCCTCCAGGGCAGCTGAGAATGCCCCATATAAGAAACAGAGTTCCCACATAGTCTATTAATGTCCAGTCTTTACTAACATCAACAAAAGCCAGAGATTAGCCTTTTCAGATGACAAATAAATAAATGACAGCAATTTCAGAGGAAACAGTGGTAAGAGGAGGAAAACTTTGATCACCTTTAATAACTTCAAAGAAGCAATAACAAGATACACAGTCATAAAACAGAATATAAGAAAAGCAACATTCAGAAAACAAGAAAGATTCTGGGATATTAAAAACTTGATTGCAGGAAACTCAATGATTAATAAACGAAGTCTAATACTAATCATTAAAAAAAAAACAGAAAGGAGACAGCATTGTGATACAGCAAGCTAAGCTGTCACTTAGAACACGAGCATCCCTTAAGTTCTGGTTGAAATTCAGGCTGCTCTCCTTCCAGTCCAGCTCCCTGATAACCCATCTGTGAAAGCAGGAGAGATGGTCTGAGAACTTGGATTCCTGTCACCATGTGGCAGGCCTGGATGGAGTTCCAGGCTCCTGACTGTAGCCTAAACCAGCCCAGGCTGATGTGGCCATTTGAGAAGTAGAACAATAGACGGATGACTTCTTTCTCTGACCTTCCCTCTCTGTCACCCTATCTTTCAAAAAGAGAAAAAAAAAAATTTAAGGGAGGAGTATGCAGTTCAACGTATAGTTAAGGCCCCACATGAACCTAGCATTGCATATCAGACTGCCTAGTATATGCTGGCATTCCAGTATCCTTTTGATATGCACAGCTGGTGATGCCTTAAGTAATAAGGTCCCTGCAGCCCATACCTGAGTATTAGTTTGTGGCTCTGACCTGGCCCAACTGCTAGCTGTTGAAGGCAACATATGAGTAACCTGGAGGATGGAGAGCTCCCTCTCTTCAAAGCAAGGGCATAAATAATATTTCTAAATATAGAAGCACGTAAGCAACACAGATTGAAAAGATCCAACAGTTAATCCCAATGTGTAACAAAGAGAAAACAGACCAAAAGCACATCATAAAATTATATTTATATCAAAGGTTTTTTTAAAAAAAATCTTAGCAAGATGAAGATATGAAAAGGCTAATGAATAGAAATAAGATATAGTTAAATGGGAGTGAGTTATTCTGGTGTTCTAGTGAAAAGCAGAGTGGCTACAGATAATCATAATGTACTATACATCTTTTACAAAAGAAATTAGAAGAAAGGATTTTGAATGTTAACACCATCAAGAAAAATTAAATGTGTAAGCAGATACATATATGCTTATACTGACTGGATACTGCACAAGGTATACATGTATGGACACATCACACAGTACATTAAAATTTTCAACTTTTATGTATCAGTTAAAAATAAAATCTTTCAAAAAATCCCAAAAGATCTCATGGAAGAAAACAAATCATAGAGAATACAGAGCAATGAATTAGACTTCTCAGAAAAAATAGAGAGTATCATCATAGTTTTAATGAAAAAAATATTTTAAACCCTAAATTCTATACTATATGGGACTTTAAAATTACTTCTTCATTCCAAACTTCCTTTATCAACAATTTATATAAATTACTCTGCTAAAAGCAATCATAGATTTAAAAAAAGTAGAAACTAATAACCTGTAATAAATAGGGCAGATAACCCAGAAGAAGCAAAAACATCTCCTAGAAACATGGAAAGAAGCAAAAAAACTCATGGGACTGGTGCCATGGCTCAACTGACTAATTCTCCACCTACAAGTGCCAGGATCCCATACAGGCACCGGTTCATGTCTCAGCTGCTCCACTTTCTACCCACCTCCCTGCTTGTGGCCTGGGAAAGCAGTCAAGGACGGCCCAGAGCCTTGAGACCCTGCACCCACACTGGAGGCTCAGAAGAAACTTCTGGCTACTGGCTACAGATGGGCTCAAATCTGGCCATTGTGGCCACTGGGGAGTGAACCAGGAGATGGATGATCTCTGTCTCTCCAATAAAAAGAAACAAAAAAATACATATATATATATATACATATACATATATATGTATACATACATGTGTATATATATACACACATATTTTAAATAGCATAAGGAAGAACTTGAAGATAGCAACCAGTTTCAATTACAAAAGAAAGTATTCTGGGCCTGGCGGCATACCCTAGCAGCTAAAGTCCTCGCCTTGAATGCACCAAGATCCCATATGGGCACCGGTTCTAATCCTGGGAGCCCTGCTTCCCATCCAGCTCCCAGCTCATGGCCTGGGAAAGCAGTCAAGGACGGCCCAAAGCCTTGGGACCCTGCACCCACGCAGGAGACCCAGAGGAGCTCCTGGCTCCTGGCTTTGGATCAGTGCAGCACTAGCCGTTGTGGTCATTTGGGGAGAGAATCATTGGATGGGAGATATTTCTCTCTATCTTTTCTCCTCTCTGAATATCTGACTTTGCAATAAGAAAAAAAAAAAAAAAGGATTCTTAGAAGTAAGTTTCAAAAAGGCCCGCGCATAAAATGGAACTTAAAAATTATTTGACAGGTCTGATAATAGGAAAATCTGTATTTGAAATCTATTGCAGAGGTGGACATTGCATTCCAATTAAACAAATAAATACTTTTTAAAAGAAGTATGTTATAAAGCTACTGGATGGTATCATACACTTAAATGTTCCAAGAAAATTAGAAAAATGGGGGGATAACTAAAGCAAAAATAAAAAAACACGCACACACACAAACAAGCATATAGAAATATATCTAAATTCAGAATAATTTAAAAAACACTAGTGCACAATATTTATGAATACCTATACTGGAAAGCTACACTGGAAAGATAACACTCTGGGAAGACAGGGTATGAGTATGCTAAAATTTTTATTTGTGATAATACATATATAACATCTACAACCAAGAGAGGCAAAGTAATATAAAACTATCATTACACACACACACACACACACACACACACACACACACACACACACACACACAAACAGGTGAAATATTTGAAGGCAGGAGGAAGCAATGTTTCTTTACTTACAAGCAGTTTAGCAGCAACTGATTTTTTAAACTATGAACACATACTTTTTGTTCATAAAACATGAACAAATGCTACTATAATGGCACAGAAATAATACAGTAAAACCAGCGCCTGGTTCAAGTGCTGGCTGCTCCTTTTCCAATGCAGTTCTCTGCTAATGGCCTGAAAAAAGCAGAAGACGACCTAAGTGCTTGAGCCCCTGCCACCTACGTGAGAGACCCACACAATTCTCCTGGTTCCTGGCTTTAGGTTGCCTCAACACAAGTCGTCACAGCCACTTGGAGAGTAAACCAGCATATGGGAGCTCTCTGCCTCTAACTCTTTCAAATAAATAAGTAAAACTTTTTTTTAAAATACGCATTAACAAATTTCTATAACCAAAAAAATCTAATAGGAAAATGAACAAATAGTCTCACAGGCAATTTAAAAATGGTATATATAAAGATGTAAGAATATGGTAAACCCAGGTAAGAAATGCAGGTATATATAAATTAAAACAAAGGTATATTAGCATCAAGGAAAAAAATACATATAGCACAGCTACTTTCACATACCATAGGAGTTTAAAAATGTTACCAGTTAAAGAATATTTGATAAAATGTAACTGTATATTCCTTGTGCCATAAGCTGCATTTTAAGTATATTTTCTATAAAAACAGACTTGCATAGAGATGTTCAGTATAGCACTGAAGCATTCTGTTGAACACAGTACTTGAATACTTTGCGTTTTCAAAGATTAAAAAAAACACATGATAGATTCCTAAACTTTCTACTTAAAAAAAACAATAAGACACACAGAGAAATATATAAACATACAAGAATGCAATACACAAGCCATTAACTGTGAGGGCAGTGGAGTTGAGAACTTATGAAATGGAGGTATGCGTTATCAGCTTTTTAAATCATCATGCCTAACAGTGGGAGAGAAACATAAAGGTTAAACCCCCAGTTTCATATTCATGAGTTCTGTAAACAACATGAGAATATTCATTTACAAATATCTCCAAATACATCTAAGTTTCACATACCCTCTGATTGTGCTGCTGGTCTCAGGATCACCAGGGTCCAATGTCTCTTTTAAGAAGTTTATATAATGTATCCAAAGGTCAACACTAAGAGGTATTGCCTGAAGACCCCGCCGATAAACCTAAGAAGAAAACAACAAACTGTACTTCAAATACTTCATTATTTCTGAACAGAGAGGCAACACTGTGTTATCCGGTGAACCTTAGAAATACTAATTACTGGAATTTTGTTTAAATAATCTACCATTACCATTTGGGTGGAGGTTGGATAGAACATGGCAATGTTCTGATCCCCACGTGCAGAGTCTTGATCTTCAAAGCGCAGCAGTCCCTGCATTCTGACCGGGTTGTGTGGGCAGGCTTTGGGTTACAGACCATAGGGCACAGACCCATTAGAGCATCAATGACAGCGTCTGACCAAAAATGCAATAAGACGTAGCAAATGTGACTAGCAAACCAACTATATTGTTTGGAAAATGAGAAATAAATGTAAGTGAGAGAAAAGCCCTGCCCTACTTGTTAAGCTGCAGTGTAATACAGAGGCTTGCACTGCAAAGCTTGACAAACTGTAGAGGTTTAACGCACCTGCCAACAAAGAGAGAAAATATTAGCTACAAATGCCACAAGAGTGACAAATGCAAATAAAATACCCTATAAAAATTGTTTGATCATAAACGGTAGATACTGCCAGCCAAAAAAAATTCTTTGTTATTAATTGGCTTACAGTACCTATGGAGATAACTTTATTCAGTCATATACGCACCTCATCTGATTGTTTTATGTTGTCATGTCGCTTTTCAAGGTCTGCATACTTTTTCCAGTAACCATAGCAATACGGATAGTGCACGAAAAATTTGTCAAATGCTTTCCTGGCAGCCATCAAGTGACTCTGACAAAAATAAAACAAGATGATTTAACATCTTAGAAATTTTTGTCAAAAAATATTTTTCTTTCAAATGTGTTATCAACAAAAAACAAACAAAAAAAATCAAAAAGCCAATGGAATGGCAAAATCCACATGCAGCAGCCTGTTCTATTATAAAATGCAACTGAAATACTAATTTTGTCAAATAGCAAGGTAATTTGAGTAATTTAACACATACACAAATTATTAAAAGGTTTTCACCATGGAAATACTAAATCAACAATTCACGCAAAAATGTTACAAATTATTTTCAGAGCTAAAAGTCTTTTTTAAATAAAAACTCATTTAAATGATGTTTACACAGTTGAGAGGGATGCATGCCCATGTGGATCACCGATTAGGGTGGCGAGGGTCAAGGAATGGGGGAAGTGGATGAGACAACCACCTCCTAGCTCCTTATCTCTTCTTGTATACGGAGGAAGGAGGCAAGGGAGGCTCTAGGGCCACTTAGCAGCCCAACCGCATCAGTACTAAAAGGTTTTTCTATCATTTTATCCAACATTATCTGAAAAGGAGTCAAGGCTTAAACTGGTATTACTTGATTAGCTTGTCCATTCTTGTACAATTTAAATAGCTACTAACCTCCTGTTCTACATACTGAAGCAAATATACCCAGCCTGTAAAATCCTGAGGATTACTCTCTACAGTTTTCCAAAATTTGTCATATTCTGCAGGGAAACTTGGTTCCGTTTCTGCCACTGTCACAGGAAGGTCCACAGCATTTGCCATTTCACTTTCTTCTGTAGATGCATTCACACCGGGAGAGCCATCAGGTGACTGTTCCATTTCTGTTACATTCATAATCTCGGTGCTGAAATCAGGAGCGTGTTCTACCACTACCTCTGAACTGTTGCTTGTGCTGCCATTGCTGGAGTTTCTGTACTCATCCATGTGGGAATTTTGCATGACTCTATTTAGCCTTCAATTAGTGACCTGTGGAAACACACACACAAAAGAGAAACATCTTCCATCTGCTAAAAAAAAAATATTTGGCAAAAGCAAGAACTTTAAAAAGTTCTATTTTACTATCAAAAAAATTTATCAGTTTAATTCTTCATCACGCCCTATAAGTCCTAATCAGGTTGATTAGTTTCTACATTATAAATGACGTTATGTAACAAATCCTTCACAAAATTGTCATTTTGATGCTGTATTTGAATAAAAACTAATATGGATATAGTTCTTTCATTCATAAAAGCCTGTTCATCAACTGCATACATAAAATGCAATACTTCCTGGCTCATCAAGAATTTAAAATTCAACACTTGACTTTAAATCACAGGAAAACAGTAGTGTCTTCAATACCTGTTCTAAAGGCTCAAAGCACCGTTAATAAATTCTGGTCAAGGATACAAATATTTCAGGACTTTGGCTCAAGAAAACTATAAGTACTGTAAAGCCACATTGTTGAAATACAAAGATATTTCAAAAAGTACTCAAGAATGTCTAACAACCCACTTGACTTGACAGAATAACTCTCCTTGAAGTATATAAGCTGAAAGCAATCAAAGACAAGGTGAAGATAAACTGACCAGAATAACAAGGGAAGCAAGAAGGGCAAGACATGGAGCAAGTGTGGTAACGCCAGGTTATAAACACAGGGATTCAAGGAAAATGATGTCAGAAGCAAATTAGACTACTAGAAAAAAAAATAATAAACTCCATTTTGCTTGAAAGCCTTTAAGATTAATGTCTTTAACTATTCAAAGTTTGAACCAATTCAGGCCCCAACAAAAGGGAAAAATCATGTTTATTTTGCCACCTTCTTCTGGGAGCAGAAAAAATAAAAAAATAAACACACACATACTTGGATTGCCCACATCCATAACTGAGAACGAGGGCTGGATTGCCATTTCCACTCCTTCTTTCACCTTATGCACGCCCTGAGCTGCAACAGATGACAACCCAAGTAGTGGGGAGATCTGGATTGAGTTCCTGGGTTTGGGCTTTGGTCTGGCCCAGCACCATTTGTTGAAGACATCTGTGCATTAAAATCAGCAAATAGGAAATCTCTGCCTAGCCATCTCTGTCCTCTAGATAAATAAGTAATTTTTCTAAAAGATTTGAAGACGCATTTTCTGTATGAAAACTAATCACTAGTTTGTACATTTTTTTCACAGTCCAGTTGAAAAAAAAGATTGTTGGCCTATACATTCTGAGTCACCTGCTGTGTATGCCATTCTAACTGCAGGCTAAAGTGGCACATAAATGTTTCTTCTGAAATCAGCAACTTCACCACACCCTTGGTATTTTCAGAGATCCTCAATTACTCACACCCAGCAATTATGGTGTTGTAAAGAGGATTAAGAACACCAGCTTAACCTTAGGGAGATCATTTTGCCATTGCTTCACAAATCACAGAAGCAAAAATACATACTAATGTTATTTTTTTAATGAGCTACTCCAACAAATCCTTTATTATGTGTCAATTTCCAATACCAGTTTATTGTTAAGAGGAATCAATAGCTTCCAACTGCCAACACAAAGCAACAACCACCACAAGATAAAAGAAAATTTCCTTCTAAGCTAGCATAAAAAGATAGAGCATGGTAAATATTATAAGGAAGAAAGTGAGCCTTATTTCTTAACAGCTGTGTGATCCGAAGTCGGTCACTTTTCTCACTCCTAAACATACAAATCCTTATGTTGCCTGAATCACAGGACTCTTAAGAATACCACATGAATTTTAAAAAATGAAGTCTTTAAAATGAACATACTTATGCAATATTTTGAACTGCACCTCTACTTCTACCTTTTTGTCCACATATTTTGTCTTAGCTCTTTCACTGGTATTTAAAATACGCACCAAAATTTTAATTACTGTTCTTATTCCCTGAATAGTTCTGTTCAATAGGTCATAACTCCTATTATTTCTCTATCCTTTACAATAATTTTTTTCTATTCTTAGCATAATTTGCTTCTCCTGAGTGTCTCTGGAGTATTATGGTCTCTCAAATACAGAAATCTTTAGTCACATATAGGAAGAGGTGGCAGACATCACAAAGCAGGACTAGAAGTTGGACAAGCTCTATCAACTGTTCAATGTCAGTGCAGAATAAATTTGTGTTGAGCAGGGAACTCACTGTATGCGAGTGTTATATCTTCTCCCTTGGTTAAGCTTCACCAAATAAAAATCTTCCAACTTCAAAATAGATAAGCAAGGCAACCAACATTCTGACATAAAAGACAATGGGTCTGGTGAGCTTAACATCTCAAATGAAAACTTCTATTTCATTTTCCATTTACTCATTTTTTATGAAAGACAGGAGAAAGAGTTCTTCCGTCTGTTTGTTCACTCCCCAAATGGCCACAGCAGCCAGAGTTGAGGTCATCCCATCTGAAGCCAGGAGCAACCCAAGTGATTGATCCCTGCATCCACGTTGGGAATTAGGAAAAAAAATCCTGGCTCCTGATTTTGGATCAGCTCAGCTCTGGATATTGCAGCCGTTTAAGCATTTAAGATCTTCCATCCTGTTAATCTCTCTTTCAAGCATAAATAAAATTCTTAAGGAAAAAAAACTAAGGAAAAGTAACCACACCTGTTTTAAGGATGAGCCATCAATACCTTGTCTATGCTTGCTCGTTTTAGTTTTTAAACGACTGAGCTATTTGTTTGAAAGGCAGAAATCTTACATTTAGTACTTCACTGCCCAGTTGGGCTCAATGGCTAGGATGGGGCCAGGCCAAAGCCAGGAGTCTGAATATCCGTCTGGATACTGGGGCCAATTTCCATTACTTGTCAGGTCAACTAGCAGGAAGCTGGGTTGGAAGCAAAGCAGTGGGCCTTGAGCCTGAGCTTACAGCAGATACCAGCAACAGCATAACCCACACAACCAGTCTCTATTGTCCTTACTTCTATACACTTTATTTTCAATTCAGATTCAAGATCACATCCATTTATAAAATTACCTGGCATACAACAGTGCTAACCTCATACTTTTTTTTTTCCTTACCACTGTGATAGATCACATTCACAAAGAATTCCTAGTGCTTTGGGCTGCTTCCTGACTGCAAACATGCCTTTATCCTCACAGTCCCCTAAGAATTAGTAGCACCCGGTGTTTTTGTTTTCAGCACTCACTTTTTATCAACATTCTCCCTGAATCTCATTCTCCTCTTGAATGTATTTTCTTGACTTGGTTTCTAGGTCACATACTGTGTTGTTAGGCCTACTGCATTATCAGTCCTTCTGAATCACAACCTCCTGAGACATGTTGGCTGCTGCTTTTATACCACATCTTTTAATATTAGAGCTTAGTCCTTGGCTCTCTTCCTTTCTCTATTCCCATTAACTCCCAAAATCAAATGTTTTTAAATATTAATGATAATGCTGACTCCCAAATTTCTACTGCTACCCCAGACGTTTTGCAAACTCTAGTTAAACATGTGGTCATGTTACACATTAAAATGCTCCTGATTGAGAACATTTAGCTAGCAGTTAAGTCCTTTGCATCCCATATAAAAGTACCTGGTTTTGATAACTAGCTCAGCTCCAGTTCCTGCAGACTGGAAAACAGTGCTGATGGTTCAATGATCTCACCTTCAGAGACCTACACTGAACTTTCAAGCTCTCAGCTTCATCAAGGCCCTCGTTCAGATGTTGTGTGGACATTTGTGGGAGTGAACTAACAGATGGTAATGCTCTGTCACCCTCTCTCAAAAAATATCAGTAGCATTTAAAAAATGACTGAGTAAATTCCTGAATAATTCTGTTATCCTCACAGCCTCCCCTATCTCCACAGATAAAAATTCCCACCCTCCAGCTGCCAACACCAAAATCTTGGGAGTCACTGCAACTCTTCTCTTTCATTCACATGCAATCTGTCAAAGTATCTTTCAAGTATCAATAATACTATTTCTTATAATCATGATTCAAGTCATTCATCTATCAGCTATCTTTGATAACTTCCTATTGGCTTCCTGCTTTTACAAACTCTCCCAACTCCACCCCCTTGTCTTCAAATTGTTCTTGTCAACACAGCAGCTAGTTATCTTCTAAAAACAGAGACCTGGGTTATGGCACAGTGGGTAAAGCTGCCACCTGCAATGACGACAGCCCATATGGACACCCTGGCTGCTCCTCTTCAGACAGCTCCCTGCTAATAACCTGCAAATGCCACAAAAGATCCCTAAATGTTTCAGTCATACGCAAGGAGACCCAGAACAAGTCCCCTGGCTTCATTCTGGCTCAGTCTCAGAAGTTGCAGCCATCTGGGGAGTAAACCAGCAGATGTACCTGACAATGTTTCCTTCTCTCAAAGGACGAACAAAAAACAATTGTTCCATTTCACTTATTTGAAAATGTGACACATGATTCAATATCTTCTATTTATTTTTCATGTTTGCCTGTCAAAAATCATATGGTTGGGCTAAGTGGCCTAGAAGTTAAGAAATCAGAACACTTAGGCCAGAGCAATGGTTCACTTAGCTACCCATATGGGCGCTAGTTCATGCTCCCCTTCGCTTCCAGCTCCCTGCTTACGACCTGGAAAAGCAGCAGAGGATGGCCCAAAGACTTGGGCCCTGTACCCATGTGGGAGACTCAGAAGAAGGTCCTGGCTCCTGGCTCCAGCTCGGCTCAGCTCTGGCCACTGCAGCTATTTGGGGAGTGAACCAGCTATTTTGGGGATTGAAGATCTTTTGTCTCTCCTCTCTATAAAATCTGCCTCTCCAAGTAAAACAAAGAAAAACATTTAAGGGAAAAAAAGGAAGGAAGAAGGGAGGGAGGGAGGGAAGGAAGAAGGGAAAAAAGGCTAAGGGAGAGAGGGAGGAGGGAAGAACACTCAGGGCCAGATCCTGAAGCAGCCTGTAAATGCCGCTGCCTGCAGTGCGGGCAGCTCATAGGGGTGCCTGTTTGAGTGGGGACTATTCTACTTCAGATCCAGCTCCCTGCTGAAGGAATGTGCCTGGGAAAGCAGTGAAATATGGCCTGGGTGTTTGGGTACTTGCACCCACATGGTAGACCTGGAAGAAGCTCCCAGGGCAGCCTTTGCAGTGTTTGGGGAATGACCCAGTAAATGCAAGGCCTCTGTCTCTATAACTGCACTGTTCTAATAAATCTTACAGAAAGCGAGCAAGCAAGAGAGAGCCAATGTATAGAATCCTCTGCTTGAGGTCCAGATTCTAACTCCCTTCTCTAGACCCTGGGAGGCAATGGCAATTGTTCAAATCATTGCCATCCACACTTTGTCTAAGCTCCGTCCTGGCTCAGCCAGACAGTCTAATGGGGAGTGAACCAGAGCTGGGCGCTAATTTTCTGTCCCTCTGCCTTTCAAAGATTATAAATGTTTATGTGATCATCTTTATATATAAAATTTTTAGTCCATAAAAAAGAATGAAAATCAAGAGTTCAGGTATTACACATTAACTAGCTTCGTAATTTACAAACTACTGTATGCCTCATCCATTGGTAAGTAAATATGAAGACTCAGACTGTAAAAAAAGAAAAGAGGCTATCGTACTCACTGCTTTTACAAACTGTTTTTGTAAGTCCATTAGCATGTTCACAAATTGGCCCTTCCTAGGTCTGCAAATATAAAACTATTTTTTATGTTCCAGAAACCAGTATATAAATACAAAAGTTCATGGAAAAAGTGTTTGTGAAAATACTATATATGGATTTCAAAACAAAACCTATCTTTAAGTTTTTTAAAGTCCCCTCACACTTACAAAAATCTCTACAATATTTTCAGATATTTGAAAAAAATTATCATTTGTCTAGATCTAGTATTTTTTTTCTATCAAAATTTTAAAGAGTCTGTAGAAGGTTGTTCCTTCCCTTGAAAAAGATAGGCACAACATCTGAGTTTCGACACACCAATTTCTTTTACATTTTTTCAAATGAGGCAAAAAAAAAAAGCGCCAAATATATGAATTAAATTCTTCTGTTCTACTCTTAATTTGAAAAATCGCATAGCACCTACCAATCAGTCACCTGTAGTCAGCTTCTAATTATCTCAACTTTCATAGTTTACGAACTAGCTGGTCTTTTCGTAGAACTTCTTTCCAGCAAACGACAGTGGAAAGTTCCAATTTTTGCAATTCTGAAATTAGGTTATAAATCTGAGAGGAGGAAACCTCCTCTTGCTGTTATTCTTTTTGTTTTTCAGTCCACTCAAGCTTCCATAGGGCCCAAAACACTTCAGTTCCAACAGAGCTTCACACTTTTCTATGAAACTTACTTTAACTTCCACCCTTTCCACCTAAAAAAATGCTTAAAAATTTTTCTTCACAGATTAAATAAGCTACCAAACTGAACTCTTCAAATAGAAGGCCACAGGAACATCACACTAAAAAAGTAACATCAGAAAAGGCATAAAATCATGTATTACAGCCTCATCCATAAGACACAAAGCATCACCATCTATTAACTTCAAATGTTATTCATTAACTTAAGATTACATTTTAGACCAAAATGAAAACTGGCGCTGCTCTCTGGCTAAAGAAAAAGAAAAAAAAAAAAAAGTCAACGTTCTCATTCTTCAACAGATTTTCTTAAAAGATCGTATAAGGATGTTTAATGTCAAGTTTTTGTTGTTTGTTTTTTTCTGTTTTCATCCTATCCTGCCAACAGCTCTGGCTAATCTTGGGGTTGCTGTGACTCAAAGTCCCAAAAGTGTTGCTTAGGGCGTCACAAGGCGGCCCCGGGGCTAACACAGTCCTCACCGCAGCCCCCTAAGGCGCTCCCTCCTGCTTTCGGGGGTGCCTCACACGCCCCCCGAACCTCGTTATCCATCCAAGCCAAGGAGGCCCACACCTACCTCTCCGCCCCCAACCAACGTTTACCCTCAGATCACAAACCTCGCCCTTCCCACCTGTTGGGTGGGGCAGGGCGAGGACTGGACAACTGGGCGCCCGGTAGCCAGCCGGGTCTCTAAGAGGGCGGAGGGAGGCCGCGGCCCCGCTGCGGCCTGAAGCACCGCAGGCCCCTTCGCGTCCCCTTCCCCACCCGCTCCGGCCAACGCCCGGGAATCCGCCCCGGCTGACCTCACTCACGATGGGTGCCACCTGATGCCATGAGCCCAGGCCTGGACCAATCTAGCCGAAGATGCAACTCCCGCCGCCTCAGTCTCCACAGCCACCAGAGCCACCGCCGCCGCCGCCAGCGCCACGGCCTTGCGTCTAGGACGCGGTACGCATGCGTCGCGGCCCCGGGAGGCGAGCGGGTCACGTGGTCCGCGGCGCTCTGGCCTCGCCCTCCCCGCGCTCGCGGCAGCTGCGCCCGGAGCGCCGGGGCCGTGGACGGAGGCGGGACGCTTCCCCGCGAGAGCAGGTGCTGGGGCCCGCCCCGACGCCAGAGCGGGGAAATAGCGATGGCTTGGAAGGACAGATCCTCCAAGGCTCCCACTGTTGCTCAGGTTTTGCTCCTAAAGATGGACTTGGAAGTGGCCATTCGGCCTCAGCTTCCGCTTTATAAGGCGATGTGGGTTCTGAGCCCACTCAGGTTTCCTGAGGATGAAAGTCGTGAATTTAGGAGTTTGCGGCTCGGACCACTAGAGGGCTACAAGCAAAATTAAGCTCCGATGAAATACAGGAGCTTTGTAGTAATGGTCTTAGCAGCTTTCAGCTGTACCCACAGCCCCAGCCTACTCTTTTTGGTAACAATTGCAGTTTCTAATCTGCTCTCTTTCCCTTTAAGGTTTGGTTGGACTTGTGCCCTGCACCTTCAATCATCACTTATCTTGCGATCTCTTGTTCAGGGCTCAGTAGAATCACAGCTGAGTGCCAGTTCCTGTTTCTGGAATCTCTTTGCAGGAAACACTGTCAGTGCACAGCCCTGTTATTCACAAATCCCCTCCACACCACATTTGCAAGCAGTTGCCACCCTCTCGCTGGCTTCTACCTTTGTCTTTCGTCAGACTGCACCTGGTTGCAGCTGTTCCTTTGCGTTTGCCTCTTCTTCCCTTCAAGCTGATTGCTTGGGAGCCTATGACCATGAGGCCGTGGTTTTTACAGGCTCAGTGGACGGTGGGAAAGTAGGCCAGAAGGGCCTGGCGGCGAGGCATATCTGCTAAAAGTCCTCGCCCTGAACGTGCCTGGGATCCCATATGGGCACCAGTTCTAATCCCGGCAGCTCCACTTTACAGCCATCCAGCTCCCTGCTTGTGGCCTGGGAAAGCAGTCAAGGACAGCCCAAACCCTGGGGACCCTGAACCCGCCTGGGAGACCTGGAGGAGGTTCCTGGCGCCTGGCTTCGGATCAGCGCAGCACCGGCCATTGTGATCACTTGGGGAGTGAAGCATTGGACAGAAGATCTTCCTCTCTGTCTCTCCTCCTTGCTATATATCTGACTTGGTAATAAAAATACATAAATCTTAAAAAAAAAAAAAAAGGCCAGGGGGTGAGTTTTGGGGACAACAGGTCAGAGTTTGATACCGGCACCATGGCCCTCAGCATCTCTGACCGGTCCAGCCTTCATTTCTTTCCTGATTTTCTCAGTCCTTCCTTAAGTGATATTCTTCATCTCTAAGATTCTGTTCTTACTGACCTCAGATTTTCTGTTCCATTCAAAATGTTTCAACTTTATTCACTATAGATTCTCTTTACCTGGTTTTTCCACTTTAAAAAATTCTGTTTTTTTTTTTAAGATTTATTTTATTTTTATTGGAAAGGCAGATATACAGATATACTATGCCGATCCAAAGCCAGGAGACTCTTACAGGGCTTTGGGCCGTCATCCTCTGCTTTCCCAGGCCACAGGCAGGGAGCTGGATGGGAGGTGGGGCTGCTGGGATTAGAACTGGTACCCATATGGGATCCCGGGCGTGCAAGGCAAGGACCTTAACCACTACACCATCGCGCTGGGCCTGAGAAATTCTGTTTTTGTATCATATGCCTTTGGTCTCCTTTCATTTTTGCCACGGCTTCCAAGCCAGTGATAGAACTCGGCGTCTGTCCCATTTAACTTCTTTTGCCCAATTCTAAGAAAAGCTAAATATTTAAACGCAATGTGATTCTCTCTGCCCGGATGTGCTCCTCACCAGTGAGATCATTAATTTTAAAAACTGATATAAGCTTTGTTGACTTTTTTTTTTTAGAGATTTATTTTTATTATTTTTTTATTGGAAAGGCGGATATACAGAGGAGAGACAGAGAGGAAGATCTTCCGTCCAATGATTCACTCCCCAAGTGAGCGCAACGGGCCGATGCTATGCCGATCCGAACCAGGAGACTCTTCCAGGTCTCCCACGTGGGTGCAGGGTCCCAAAGCTTTGGGCCGTCCTCCACTGCTTTCCCAGGCCACAGGCAGGGAGCTGGATGGGAAGCGGGGCTGCCGGGATAGAACCGGTGCCCATATGGGATCCCGGGTGTGCAGACGAGGATCTTAACCACTTGCGCCACCGCGCCGGGCCCAAGCTTTGTTGACTTTTAAAAAATATTTTGACAATTCTAAAGTTTGGGAAGAAGAAAAAATCTTATACCAAATATTAACACCAGTTTGGGAATGGGGGGCTTTTAAAATAAAATCTTTATTGCCATTTATTTGAAAGGTAGACTTTTACAGGTTCATTCCCCAAATGACCACAAGAGTTGGAGTTTGGCCAAACCCAAGCCAAAAGCCAGAATTCAACCCAGGTCTCTCAATCAGTAGTAGGCCACCAAGTACTTAAGTCATCTCTTGCTCCTGCCCAGGATCAGTATTTAAAAAGCAGTTATTTTGGGGCCTAGCGTGGTAGCCTAGTACCTGGAGTCCTCACCTCACACATACTGGACTCCCAAATGGGCACCAGTTCTAATCCTACCAGCCCAGCTTTCCATCCAGCTCCCTGCATGTGCCTTTGGAAAGCAGTGGAGGACTGCCCAAAGCCTTGGGACCCTGCCCTCATGTGGGAGACCCAGAGGAGGCTCCTGGCTCCTGGCTTCAGACTGGTTCAACTCCAGCCATTGTGGCTGCTTGGGGAGTGAATCATCAGACAGATCTTCCTCTCTGTGTCTTCTCCTTTATGTATATCTGACATTACAAAAAAAGATAAATTTTAAAAAGCAGTTATTTCAAAAATAGAGGGAACAGTGTTATTAATGCATGTTATGACTATACCTCTGCAGCTCAACAACCAGGGCTGGGCCAGTCTGAAGCCAAGAGCCAGGACTTTCATCTGGGTCTCTCACATAGTAGAGACAAGAACAGTCAGAACATGCCCTGCTGCTTTTCCCAGGTTGTCAGAAGGGAGCTGGATCAGAAGGGGAGCAGCGTGGACTGGAACACCACCATATGGGATGCCAGCATTGCTAGTGGTGGCTTTGCCAACTTCACTGCAATGCTGGACCCAACAATGTCACTTTTAAAATTCTAGATGGTATGGATTACATTGTTTAAATACAGCTATAAATGTTTTCTTTTTTTTCTGAGTTACAACATTCATACGGCTAAAATTCTATAATTTTCATTGCTTATAAGAAACATTCCATTAGGCTGTGTGAAATGGCACAATTGGTTAATCCTTCCTTGTATTGGTAAGCCACAGAAAGATTGTGTTACGTTATTTTCTATTTGTGTACAGCCTTTAGAAATATATGGTTGGGCCCAGCAGCGTGGCTTAGCAGCTAAAGTCCTCGCCTTCAATGCACTGGGATCCCATATGGGTGCCAGTTCTAATCCCCACAGCTCCACTTCCCAGTGAGAGACCCAGAAGACCCAGAAGAGGTTCCTGGCTTCAGATTGGCTCAGCTACCAACTTTGTTGCCGAGTGGTGGGTGAACCAGAAGATGCAAGGTCTTTCCCTCTATCTCTCCTCTCTGTAGTTCTGCCTTCCCAATATAAATAAACACCTCCCCCCTCCAATCCCATTATTTCACTTCATGAGCCTTTCAGCTTTCCTTTGGTTCTTTCCGCCAGTGATCTGTTTCCACTTCCTTGACTTTTGGTTGAGAAAACAGTTCTTGATGTCAGAATGTTGCACTTCTGAATGCTCAATGTCAAGAAGTTCTGTATAATGTGGAAAATCTTGAGGCTTTGGGCTCAGTTACACTGATGGCTCATTTCTTTATAATAAAAACATATAGAAGACTTGGCAACTATAACCACTGAATGATGCACAGCAAACGAGGCTAAACTAAAATATAATCATAATTTCAGTGTTCCAACTGAGCTTTCAATTAGGTATTGCCAGAGATCTCTATGTGGCCTAAGCTAAAAAAAAAAAAAAAAAAAAAGCTTTTTATATTTCTAAAGGTTGTAAACAAATAGAAAATAGCATAACACAATCTTACTGTGGCTTACAGAGTTTAAAAGATATACCTAATTGTCAAAAAATTGTCAATTCCTAATCTGGATAATATAGAATAAAATATACTTAGAACAAACTTAAGTGTATATGTAACTATAAAACAGTGCCTATAAATAGAAAAATCAATGAAGTCTTTCAACTTAGCTTCAATTACCTAGTGGAACTCATGTTTTTTTCCTAGGAAGTTATGCACTGTTAAAACCAGTTACTGACTACGAAGTGAAAAGGTTTAAAGGTATCCAATTTTAGAGCTGGAGAGGGCCTTAAAAATCATCTAATCTAGCCCACACATGTTTGAGATTAGAAACCATAGTCCCAGACCTGGAAAGTGACTTGTTTAAGATCACATAGCTAATTTCCCATAAAATTAGGATGATAATCCAGGTATACTCATAGGTCAACAGTAAGCAATCAATGCTGCATCGAGTTGATTAAGGGAAAACAACAGGCCTATTATAATACATATTCTTTCCATTATAACACATATGGAAGTTGGAAAAATAGGACATCTCTCACACTTCTACAGAAATAAATCCATTTATTTTATAACATTCCTTTTCTTTTTTAAAGATGCATACAGTACTTATAAGCCCATGAATTCTGAGAAAAGCTATAGAAGACCTGGCACTATTTTTGAGAATTACACAACTGGGCAGCAAAATAACACCTTTATAAATGTCAAAATATAGAAATAAAAAATTTAGTGTTTGAACACAAAAATAGGGAGGTTACATTCAACACGTTTTTAAAACGTGCATTTAAAATGTTTAATGTTCTCTAAAACTTTGGTCATCATGCTTTATTATAACTTGTTAAATTTCACAATTATGTAGATGATTAAACCCAAAAGCTAAGCAACTATATGACATAAACATAGCAGCAAAGGCAAGCTAATACTGTACAATCCTATTAGCGTATTGATAAGAAATACATGTTTTTAACAAATAGCACACAAAGTTTTGTTGGTGATAACATAGTTCAATGACTTTTTTTCCACTTCATAAAATAAGGCTAAGTAATGAGACATAGCAGAACATGATTACATAATAAAAAGTACATTTTAATTACAAATCTAATTGTACATATATGGTAACAAATTGCAGTTTCTATAGAATAGTGCAAATGAGCAGGACTTTCCTCAAAAATATTAAACTTGGATTCATTTCATGTGCCTTGAATTTCATGAATATTGAGTTATATTATTTGGGGTTTTGGGTGATGGGTAGAAGTGGTAGTTTTGATATGGAACAGATACATACTCATCGACTGCAAACAAAAAATAGTTACTGACTTAGTTTACTATAAGTGAAGTGCAGGCACTGAAAATGTAATTTTCAAAAAGTTCCATTTGTCATGTAAACAGTTTTGTTCATCATACCATATTTCCTCAAAGATTCATAATTCATTTAAAATAGTCGTATCGAGCAAATCCTCTAAATTCTTTCTGATGTGTGGTGGCTGGGATGCAGCCTGATTCAACAGATTCTGACCCATCTGTGCAAAAAGTGCTTTAGACAATTTGGCTGTGGCTGTCCGTATGTTTCCTCCAGCCCCGGGGAGTGAACCGCTATTTGTCATGTTCCCTAGCAGGTGCCACAGAACCACCAACACTTTCTGTTCCGTGGCATGGGGCTTCCTTTGATAAAGTTCCATAACAATATCTGAAACACAAAAATGGGAAACACTGAGGGTTTAACAAAATTCAAGTTCTACTGACTAGGAAACACTTGAAAGCATATCAAATTTATTTCCTATGCCATGTGTTTTCAAAGTTAGCCTTCACAATAGAGTCAGAGATGACCTCTACAGGGAATGTATCGTCAAGTATTAGAAATCCACCTATGATGATTCAGCCAGAAATAATCACGAAACCAAGTTCAAAATTCATTTCAATGTTAGCCAAAGACATTTAAGTAAAAACTTACACTTTAAATCCAGGACTTGTGTATCAAACACGATTTTTTCTATCAATTTTATTTTTGCTGATTTTTATGTAGTTGATTAGGGTGTGAAGGGTCAAAGCGAGAGGAAAGTGGATGAGACCTTTGTTTCCACATTCTCATTTTTCCTTCCCAAACAGGAATTTTTTTTAAGAGAACAGTTTCTTATAAACAGTGATGCTTATTATCTTTTTTGCCCTATATTATTTCAACCAACAAGAAAATTAAATACGTATGTGGAAAGAAGGATGAATTCTCAAAGAAAATACTGGATGATAATACTACTTACATGTATTTCAAGGGTTACAATATTGAATTTAACTGAAATATGTATCAGTTTATGCTCAGTAAATAGGACATATCTTTAGAAATTACAATTAAAATGTATTTACCAGCAACTTTTTCCGTCATATCCTGTTTTGCTTTTCCATTTAAAAATTGAGCTTTTGTGCAAAATGGCTGTAGAAGTAAGTAATTATCTAAACAAAAAAATATAGAAACACTTGTTTAAAGACCAGAGATTATTTTCCATTACATAATATTGAAAGAAAAAAATATTTTTAGAATGTAAATGTGTAAAGTTTTTAAGACTAGATTTTTAAACCTATGAAATGTTAATAGAGTAACAGTCTTAATAGCAAATGAGAAATAAAAATACCTACAGAGAATTTAAGGAACTTTTATTTAGTACAGGAAGGAAGGAAGGGAGGGAGACAGGTAGGTAGGTAGGGAGGGAGGGAGGGAGAGAAAGCGCCTGTCCCCTCTTGCGTCTTCCAGGCATAGTATATGCTTACCAAAAAAAGAGGAGGGGCTGGCATGGTGGCTTAACAGGCTAATCCTCAGCTTTGCACTGCCAGCATCCCATACAGACATTGGTTTAAGTCCTGCCGACTCTACTTCCAATACAGATCTCTGCTTACAGTCCTTGGATCCCTGCACCCACATGGGAGACCTGGAATAAGCTCCTGGCTTCAAATGGGCTCAGCCATGGCCACTGTGGCCCCTTAGGAAGTGAACCACGGGATAGAAGATTCTCCCCCCACCCCCACGCCTCTGCTTTGTAAATCTGCCTTCCAAAATAAATAAATAAATAAACTAATAAATAAATAAATGTCTGGTGTTATGACTGAAGCATCCCATATAGGCATGGGTTCAAGCAATGACTGTTCCACTTCCAATCAAATTCCTGGCTAATGTGCCTGGGAAAGCAATGGAGCATGGTTGAAGTCCTTGGGCCCCTATAGCCTTGTGGTAGACCAGAAAATTCTGGCTCCTGGATTCAGATTGGCTGTTTGGCCATTGTTATCATTGGGTAATGGCAACAGTGGATGAAATCTCTCTCTGTCACTCCTTCCTCTCTGTAAATCTGTTTTTCAAGTAAAAATAAGCAAGTCTTTTTTTTTTAAGCCACACATTTAAAATCTATGATCAATGTTGAGTGGATTTTTGCAACATATGAGAGGTAGAAAAAAGAGCATTAAAAACATACAAAGGTAGACAAATTCAATTTAATGTAACAGCATTTAATCACTAAAAGTAAAACACAAGTGAGGAAAGAAGAACCTTGACTAAAAAGGTCAAATACCTGAGGATTTCAGCATTATAACAGATAGCCAGAATCACAATTATGAAAGGCAAGCAATTTGAGTGCAAAGGTAAGATTTATTACCTATATGTTGACTCAAAGCCTGAACAACATTTGTAGCAGCAGCATAGATGCCCGGATTCTTGGAATTCAGATTGTTATCAACTATTGCTGGAATTAGCATGTTGATTACAGGAGATAAGTGGTCTCTAAGCAAAGGAATCATCTTGTGCATTGTTTCCAGAGCCACCAGATTTACTTTACTATTGGAATCATGAAGTCGAGATTTAAAAGCATCAAATATCTGAAAGGAAATGGTAAATTACTTAAAGTAAAATTATATTCATAGCTGTTAAATGTGAACTTCCTGGTATTTCTCCTACTTTAAATATCCTGTTTAGCCTGAAGTTGGAAAACATAAATTTAGTAACATTTCGATACTAACTCAAATTTTTTTTTATAGCAAAAAGAAAAGGTTCACCTCAAAGAACAAAGCCAAAAAACAACAAAAAAACCAAAACACCCAATAAAGCAAGGGTGGGAACTGTAGCTAAAGACAGATGACTGCCTTACTGTCACTGGATTAATAAGCTGTTCTCTGGAAGGTGCAATAGCCGAGCCAAGACGAAGGAAAGCTTCTGTTTTGGTCCATTTGTAGCAAAAGTGGATTTGATAGGTTCGGTGCAGAGATTTCACCAGTTTCAGGTTAGGTTTCTTGGAAGAATTTAGGTATAAATTTCAAAGCCAAAGTCTCATTAACTTGTAATTTGACTGATTTAATAGTCATTCCTTATTCTTCTGAAGCTCTAACTTTCATAAATTCCAGTTATAAGAAGTAGAATAATAAATAATCATGTCAGGTCAGAGAAATGCTACTGTATAATGCCTAGACTATTAACTCATCATTTCTGATATTCCAAGAGATTTTTCATCAACAGATATCAGATAATCTAACTTTCGCTCCCATACATTAGTGATGTATTTTTCTCAAGTCAAATCATAACATACAAATTTAAAATGGAGTTTGATTAATAAATTGTTAAAATAATTAACATAGCTAAATTCTTTTTTTTAAGATTTATTTATTTTTATTGGAAAGTCAGATATACAGAGAGGAGGAGAGACAGGAAGATCCTCCATCCGATGATTCACACCCCAAGTGACCGCAATGGACGGTGCGTTGCCAATCTGAAGCCAGGAGCCAGGAACTTCCTCCAGGTCTCGCACGTGGGTGCAGGATCCCAAAGCACTGGGCCATCCTCAACTGCTTTCCCAGGCCACAAGCAGGGAGCTGGATGGGAAGTGGAGCTGCCGGGATTAGAACTGGCGTCCATATAGGATCCCAGCGCGTTCAAGGCAAGGACTTTAGCCACTAGGCCACGCCGCCGGGCCCTTCATTGCTAAATTCTGATAAAATGCAAATAATCTATCCTCTGGTACTAGGAACACTTATTGCCATTTCCCTTTCTTCTACTGTTGTCTTCCCTAAAATTAGGTAGATACATTGGTATTTAAAAAGAAGGGCTGATGTTGTGACAAACATGTTAAGCCACCACCTTTAAGCTGGCATTCCATGTGTTCATTAGTAACAGTCCGAGTTGCTTTACCTCCAACCCAGTCCCCAGCTCATGAGCCTGGGAAAGCAGCAGGGGACAGTCCAAGTACTTGGGCCCCTGCACGCAAGTGGGAGACCCAGATGATGTTGTTCTGTTATAGTTTGGGCCAGGCTCATTCTCAGCCCACTGTAGCCATTTGGGAAGTGAATCAATAGGGGAAAGTTTCTCTCCCTCTCTTTCCATAAGTCTTTCCTTCAAATAAAATAAATATTAAAATCAAACAAAAAACTATTCTAAAAGAAAATCACATCTCTTAAATATACTTTTTAAAAATTGGAGGGCCCATTCTGGTAGCCTAGTGGGTCAACTCCTCTCCTTCCATGCGCCAGGATCCCATTTGGGCGCTGGTTCGTACCCTGGCTACTCCACATCCCATCCAGCTCCCTGCTTGTGGCCTGGGAAAGCATTAGAGGATAGCCTTGGCACCCTGTTCTGCAAGGGAGACCTGGAAGAAGCTCCTGGCTCCTGTCTTCAGATCAGCTCAGTTCTGGCTATTGTGTCCACTTGGAAAGTAAACCAGCAGACGATACATCTTCCGCTATGTCTCTCTTTCTCTCTGTAAAAATCTGACTTTCCAATTAAAAATAAATAAACAAAAAGAAAAAAAAATTGGAACCAGCACAATGGCATAGCAAGCTGATCTTCCACCTCTGGCTTTGGCATTGCATATTTGACATCAGCTAGAATCTTACACATCTGCAACACTTCTTCTTCTTCTTTTTTTTTTTTTTTTGACAGTCTTTATATAGTTAATTAGGGCAAAAGGGTTCAAGGGCTACAGGAAAGTGGGTAAGACTATTATTTTTTCCATATTGTTTCCTTCATGTTTAAAGGGGGGTATTAAGGGAGAAGGCCCACCCAATTTTCCACCCTCCCCAGGTCCCGGATGTAGGGTATGCTTTGAGGTTCTTGCTCAAGTGGTTTTGATATTGCAACAGTTATGAATCGCTGCCAATCTTGCCACTCCAAGCACTATGAGGTCCTTGAAGAACCCACTGATTGACATAGTCCATCACAGCTGAGATGGTTGGTTGACCTGTTCTGTCTTCTCTCTTTTCTTGGTTTGGGTTCTGAGTCCAGCATTTGGACTGGGGAGATCTCCAAAGAAACTTTGTCTGAGAATCAAACCAGATTCTTGTATGTGCTAGCAAGTACAGGGCCCGGCACAGTCCATCGCCCCAATCAGCTGGTGGTTGCAACTGCTGGGTTGGTTCTGTTTTCACTTCCGACTTCCACTGGAACCAGTGGGTGCTTCTGCAACACTTTTGATTCAACTCCCTAGTGGCCTGGGATGACAGGAGGGGATGGGCCAACACCCCTGCATCCATGTGGAAGAAGCTCCAGGTTCCCAGTCGCAGACTGGTCCAGCCCTGGCTGTTGTGGCCATTTGAGGAGTGAACCAGTGGTTGGAGTATCACTCTCTTTTTCTCCCTTTTTCTCACTATAACTCAAGTAAAATAAACATCAAGTTCCGAAGACTATGAGAATACAGCGCTTCGCAGGAGCTAACTACTCTATGAGGACCCAGACAAATAAGTGATTTTTCCCCCCCAATTTGAATTGTTCCAGTATGCTTTTAAAATACATAGCAAAGCATAGGTGATACATTGTTTTCACTTAGCTTATTTTGACTTATAAAGATAATGCATATTAAGTACTACAAACAGGGTAATTTTTACCACTAACTTTAAGGCTGGCAACAGATTTCAAAACGAAATTCATCTTATCAGTCCTTACCTTCACAATGTTCCCGACAACAAGCTCTTGATTATTTTCAGTGTCTGATAAAAGCTGCTTAATCCCATTAATACGATCACGAAAATCTTTTGCATTTAATAAACCCGTTATGACTTTAATATACTCAGCGCTTTCTAAGGAATTACGACAAACAGACTTTCGGGTGACTTCACGAACTTCAGTTCCCTCTCTAAAATAAAAGAAAGATTAATTCCATTTTAACCTTCTTATAAAAGGCACAAACATAACTCAGAAATTCTAATTATGAATCTATTTTTCAAAATTCATGAAACTACCTAATTAATACAGTCATAATATCTGTGCTGAAGCTTCCCAAGATCTTCTTATGGTATGGTTTGGCTAGGCAGACTCACAGGACTCCTGGCCAACACTACAGCCACAGGACACCGACCAAAATCGGAGGAGAGAAAGGGGCAGCTGTGAAGATGAAACCAGAAGCAATTTCCGGGGCTCCTTTCCCAATGGAATCAGACAAAAGAAAACTGATTCCCTCAACAATGAGTTATGATAACGTATTAAGAAATCCTGTCTACTAAGAAAGCTTATTAGAAACCCCATGTCCAGGTTTTATTTTTTATGGCAGTTGGACATCTGTGAAATTAGCAACTGACCAATAAAATGCTTAGAAAAGTGGCACATAGTATGATCTTAATAAATGTTAAGAACCAAAAATACAAAAAAGCTTTCTAAAACTGCTGTCAAAAAAGATTTTTGATCAAATTATCTGCCTTAATATGTAATCAAAGTCAGAACCAGGATGTGCCTCTAATCACATATTAATGCAGGAAAACAGGCAGATTTTGATGGATTAGATTTGAAGAGAGTACAAGATTTTGCATTTCAACCTGCTTGGTGATGCCAACATGGCTGCTCCATGGGCTACAGGCTGTATTCTCAATACAGGGTCCCCAAGCACACAGGTATTTTCATAGTTTCTTATACAAAATATTTCAAAGATACATAAACACAGAAAAGGTATCTATTCATAGTTTTCAAATAATTTTTAAAAATATGCTGGAGGGGGCCTGGTGGCGTGGCCTAGCAGCTAAAGTCCTCGTCTTGAACGTACCAGGATCCCAATGGGCGCCGGTACTAATCCCGGCAGCTCCACTTCCCATCCAGCTCCCTGCTTGTGGCCTGGGAAAGCAGTTGAGGACAGCCCAAAGCCTTGGGACGCTGCACCCGTGTTGGAAACCTGGAAGAAGTTCCTGGCTCCTGGCTTTGGATTGGCATAGCATCGGCTGTTGCGCTCACTTGGGGAGTGAATCATCAGATGGAAGATCTTCCTCTCTGTCTCTCCTCCTCTCTGTATATCTGACTTTCCAATAAAATAAATAAATCTTTAAAATATATATATATATGCTGGAGGAAAAGTTATATTTTCAAAAGACTTTAAAATTTGCCTAAGCATAATATATTAAATCCTGCTAAATAGTTTAGCCTATTATAAACTATATAGTTACATTTATAAATTATTCTTCTAATGTTTATGGTTTTTAAAATTCTATCTTTAATGCATATTATTTTCATACTTTGGTATAAAAAACAAGCTTTGGAATCTTTTAAAAAATGTTATCAGAGTTGTCCAACATAGGCATAATCCTGACAGATTCAATAACACTGAAGTCTCACAATGTGCACACATAGTCAAGTTTCTTTGAATATATGATTGTCTGATTGAATATAATGACCTCACACCTCTAGGATTTTGGCAAACTTTCACAACTGCACTATATTTTTGCAAATATCGCTGGGTTAATCCATGAAAACATCCAGATGACACTGCTTCCCTGGAGAGTAATTTGTCTAGTGATGCACAGCCAGTGGTCTTACCTGTCAGAGGAATTCAAAGCATCTCGAGAGACAGACGATGACCTTGCATTTCCAACACTGCCTGTGTGAGATCGTCTTCCTTTTGCTGAGGGAGTATCTAGCGGCATTTCCCCTAAACCCTGGAGCAAATGCAAAGAAAGACAGTGGAGTAAGTACTAAAACTAGTACTGAGGTAACTTCAAAATGTAATTTTCTTTTTTTTTCCAAACATTTATTTATTTTTATTGGAGGAGAGACAGAGAGGAAGATCCTCCGTCCAATGATTCACTCCCCAAGCAGCCACAACGGCTGGAACTGCGCCAATTTAAGCCAGGAGCAAGGAGCTCCCCAAGTCTCCCATGTGGGTGGGTGCAGGGACCCATGGGTGCTTGGGGTTGTCCTCGACTGCCCTCCCAGGCCACAAGCAGAGAGCTGGATGGGGAGTGGGGTCGCTGGGATAAAAACCAGCACCCATATAGGATCCCGGTGCGTGCAAGGTGAGGACTTTAGCCACTACACTATCGCGCCAGGCCCCAAAATGTAATTTTCAAAGTATCCAACATTGATTTCTCTCAGATATTTTAGTAATATGTTTTACAATAAAGGACATCAGATACACTTAATAGTAAATCGACGACACCTAAAACTGCTTAATAGGGAATTATACACTGGACTGCTGAAATAAGCTGTTTAAAAATTTAAAAAGTTATATATACACACATACACATACTTTATCTGCACTTCTTAAGGCTTAGCATCTATAAAGACAATTTGAATGCATTTCACAAACAACAAAATCTTATGCAATATGAGGAGTGCAAGAATAAGCATTTTGGAGAGAACTACTTAAAATATCCTTTTTTCTGATACTTGTAATGGAAATAACTAATAAATAAACCCTGCCCGATTTTAGTTACATCATTCTTTTACATGGTAATTTTAATAATTGCTATTTGAGTTTAAATCTTCAAGATCAAAAGGTAGGAAAAAATGCTGTAAACAATGTAATACCCTTCAACTTTGTCAATTCCATCCTTTTGTCAGTAAGTTCTTAGCCCAAGGTCATCAGTGAGACATGACATAATTATAACAGAACTTTTAAAAAAATATTTACTTTTATTTGAAAGGCAGATTTCACAGAGAGAGACTCTTCCATTTACTGGTTTACCAATCAAATGGCTACAAATGGCCAGAGCTGAGCTGATCTGAAGCCAGCGGCCAAGAGCTTATTCCGGGTCTCCCTCGTGGGTGTAGGGTCCCACAGGGGATGCCAGTGCCATGGCAACGGATTAGCCTGACATACCTCCACCTGGCAACAGTATAACAGAGAATTTCTACACAATTAAGTTCAATCCATTTTCAAAATAATTGCTAAATGTATCATTTTTTAAGTTTTCCTTCAAATAAGGCAGGAATTAATCAAGGTAAACACTACTATCCTCATTTTATTTCATTTTTTTGCTTTATTTTTGACAATCTTTACATAGATAATTAGGGCACAATGGTTCAAGGTCTACAAGAAAGAGGGTAAGACTATTATTTCCACATCTTTTTTTTTTTATATCTGGAGTAAAGGGGGAGATAAAGGGAGAAGCCCCACCTATCCTCATTTTATAAAAATTAAAAATCTAGAGGCTGGCTCTGTGGCCCATCAGCTAAATCACACAACTTGCAGAACAAGCATCTAGTATGGGCATTACCTTCAGTCCCTGCTGCTCCATTTTCTGATCCAGCTCCCTGCTAATAGTCTAGGAAAGCTGTTGAGTGGGGCTGAGCGCTTGGTCCCTGCAGCCACGTGAAAGACAAACACTCGGTTCCTGTTTCCTGGCTGCAGGTGCCCCACCTCAAGCCACTGTGCCCATTTTCAGGGTGAACCTGAGGTTGGGTGGTTGTCTCAGTCTCCCTTTCCCTCTGTAACTATGCCTTTCAAATAAATAAAATACATTTAAAAATAAAAAATACTCTATTGAAATGATGCTTTGTAACTAAAACTATATTGTTTCTAGTTGTCAGGTTTCTGGTTATATCCCAAATCTTACAAATTCATCAACTGAAACTGTATTCTACCATACACTAAATTCTGTTTGACAAACCATTGCATCCAAGGCCTGATATTATGCATGCCTACTTAGTACTGTAGTTGTTGAAATGCTACTACAGATATATTACAATTGATTAACAGGAAAAAGTAATTGTTTCTATCCTTTACATTTAAAGCAAAATAAACTTTATCTTTAAATTTGTTAATAAAATGAGCAGTTTTCACATACCTTTTGCCGTAAGTTTTTAACAGATTCCTTAATGTATGGCAAATCTTTCGATGGAACATACTTTTCAAGCATTTTTTCAAAGTTAGGATGATACATCAAGAGGAAAAGCATCTTTCGACCATAATACCTATGGATATTTGACAAATATGTGAATAATTTTACATGTATTAATAAGATCATTTTATGTCCTGAAATATAATATTATTAATAGAAAAAATTAGCATCAAGATTAGATCCCTATTTAAGTAAACCATTGAATTTTAGACACTAACTGTGCTAGAGAATGGAAGCTGTACCTTTTTAGTCATGTGTCAGATGGAGAGTAGAAAACTTGGATTATGTTTTCCAGGCTCTCCAAGCGGACATTTGAAAGAACTGTGAGGGGAATTTCATTTTTCCTGTGCTCCTTATCCGTGGGTAAGATGTTCCAGCCTGAATCAACTTTTTCCATGTCTGTCTCTTTCCCCGCAATCAATTCAATTCTTTCTTTTTTTTTTTTTTTTTAAAGATTTACTTGTTTTTATTGGAAAGTCAGATATACAGAGAGGAGGAGAGACCAAGACGAAGATCCTCCGTCCGATGGTTCACTCCCCAAGCGGCCACAACGGCTGGAGCTGAGGCAATGCGAAGCCAGGAGCCAGTAGCCTCTTCTGGGTCTACCACGTGGGTGCAGGATACCAAAGCTTTGGGCCATCCTCAATTGCCCTCCCAGGCCACAAGCAGGGTGTTGGATGGGAAGTGAGGCTTCCGGGACTAGAACCGGTGCCCATATGGGATTCCAGGGCATTCAAGGAGAGGATTTTAGCTGCTAGGCCACTGTGCCGGACCCCAATTCAATTCTTAAAATCCTATTCTCTGTTACCTAAAACATGCCTCAGGGTAATCAATAGATTGTGAATCATATAGTAACAACTCTTATACTAACTTCCTAACTATATTTTTAATAGTTCACATGAATTTGTATAGTATTAAGCCAAAAAATCTAACAGTAGAGATCCAGGTATATCATGGGAGATATTTAGGACGGAAGCACCTTTTTGCATCTCAAGACATTGCATTATTTACTCTTCAAGAAGGTCTCATCCTAAAATAAGTTTTATTTTTGCTTCCAACTAGATTATATGAGACGAGAGGAATCGGAACAGGCAATAGTGGCGAGGGGCTACTATATCTAGGATAGCAGATATTCACAAGACCTCTTCAAATGCAGTGAAATTGCAGACAGGAAGGGAACGGCTGATGATAAATATTACTTTTCTCTTCCAAAAATCACAATAAAGTCTATGAATATTCATAAAAAGAGTTGTTCATCAGTGAAGGTTTCGTGGATAATCAATGGAATGAGAGGGGGAGAGAGCGAGCTAGACAGAGTGAGCCAGAGAAACACAACGTTACAGGTTGGGATAGAAGCTGGGGGACAGGGACTCAATCCTGTTCTCCAACATGGGTTGTAGGGACCCAATTTCTTTCTCGCCTTTTTTTTTTAGAGAGTGATAAGCATGTTAACAAAGTGTAATGAAGAGATATCATGAAGATAATACACGTTTCAGAGCTTTCAAGAAAGTAAGGACTAACAGCCAGATGGGGTCAAAGCTATGGCACAGCAGGTAAAGTCACCACCTGCAAAGCTGGCACCCAATATTGATGCCACTTCAATTCTTGGCTGCTCCAATTCCAATCCAGCTCCCTGCTCATGTACTTGGGAAGGCAGGAGAAGATGGTCCAAGTACTTGGGTCCTGTGATCATATGGGAGACACAGAAGAAGCTCTTGGCTCCTGGCTTCAGACCAGGCTCTGCTCCAGCCATTGTAGCCATTTGGGGAATGAACCAGCAAAAGGAAGATCTCTCTCTTTTTCTCTGACTCTGTCTCTCCCTCTCTCTTAAACTTTGCCTTTCAAAAAGAGAGAGAGAGATTTGTTTCTAAGTTTGCAAAGCAGGCTCCATTTAGGAAAAGGGGAAGAAAGGACTCCTGCCTTAATGACAGAAGCCAAGGGAGAAAAGACCAAAGGAAATTTAAGAGAGAAAGAGAGAAATCTCCTGCCATAGTGGCTTAAAAAAAAAAAAAGATAAATTAAGAAACAGGATTTAATTTCTTGAGCTTCCTCTTAGGGCTTGCATTAGAAGGAGTTAGGAGCCAGAGACAGGTCTGAACTCAGGACAGGGGTATCTTAACCGTTAGACCAAATTGCCTTCCCCAAATTCTCATTTTCACCCTGGAATGTTAAGAACTATAAGTCTGGGCCCAGCACAACGGCTCAGTGGCTAAAGTCCTTGTCTTGCCTACGCAAGGATCCCATGTGGGTGCTGGTTTGTGTCCTGGATTCCACCTATGTTCCTACAAGGAAGCAGATGGTGGCCCAAGTACTGGTCCCCTCCCACCCACAGAGGAGACCAGTATGGGGTTTCTGTTTCATGTCTTAGGCGTTGCCCAGATCTGGAAGTTGCAGCTAATGGAGGGATAAACCAAACAGGAAGGTCTGGTATGTCTGTGTGTGTGTCGGTCCACTGCTTTGCCTTTCAAATACATAAATGAGCAAATCTTTAATGAAGGATTTCTGCTTCTTCGTCTCACTCACCACCCCACCCCACCCCCATCTCCCTTTTCCTCTCATTCTCCTTTGGTTCCTCTTATGTTTTCTAAATAAAATTAAGATGAAAAACGTGCTACATCTGTGGTAATTTCCTATATAGCAAAAATACATTCTTTACTAAGCTTTTGCTGTAACGAGTTCTACAAAATTAACTCTATACTTGGTCATTCTTGTCTTAAAATATTTAAACTGTTATATCCATTTTTCATCAGTATGAACTTTATCAACAAATCTTACTGTCATCAAATTTAGTTTTTTTTTTTTAAATTTTGTTTATTTGAAAGGAAGAGTTGCAGAGAGGGACAGAGGAGAAAGACTGATCTTCCATCCACTGGTTCACTTCTCAGATGGCTGCAATGGCCAGGGCTTTCATCCCAGTCTCCCAGGTAGATGAAAGGGCCAGAGGTATTTGGGTCATCTTTTGCTGCTTTGCTTAGGCCAACAGCCAAGAAGTGGATCTGAAGTAAAGCAGCAGGGACACAAATCAACACCTATACAGGATGCCACCATGGCAGGTAGTGGCTTCACTGGCCCAAAACCAGTCCCCAAATTTTAGATTTTATATGCCACATAATTCTCATCTAGTAGAAGTTTCCGAATTACACAGACAAGGAAACAAACTAACAGGGATTAAGTAACTTGTTTTAAAATTAAGATGTATTTATTTATTTGAAGTGCAGAGTTACCAAGTGAGTGAGTGAGAAAGAAAACAAGAGAGAGAGAGAGAGAGATTTATCCTCTATCCATTTGTGTACTCCCCAAATGGCTGCAATAGGAGCTGACCTGATCCAAAGCCAGGAGACAGGAGGTTCTTCTTGGTCCCTTGAGTGCAAGTGCAGTCCCAAGTACCTGGGTCATGTTTCACTGATTTCTTAGGCATATAAACAGAAAGTTGAGTTTGAAGTGTACCAGCCAGGACTCACACTGGTACCCATAGGGGATGCTGGTCCTGCAGGTGGCAGCTTTATGTGCCAGGCCACAGCGCTGGCAGCTGAGATTAATTTGACCAACAGCAAACAGGTTTGGGATACACCCAAAATTTGTCACCACTAAAGTTGTACTATCCACACCTTTCTTCAATCTTAAGCTTCACAAAAATTGCTATCGAAGTACAACCATTAGAAATTCCTGGTTTTCTAATTGCAGATACCTCATGCTTTGGGGAGTACTATACATCACTGCTGTATTTTCCACCTTGATTTTACCTAATTTCTTTGAAAATAAACCATTTTGCCCTAAACGCATTACCTTGCATTTGCCCACAATGAAGTCCTTCTGCACCTTTCTGCCCACTCACACAGTGCTGTGCCGTTTTCATGAGGTTCATCCCTGTGACTTGGCATCTCACTACCCAGAAGTGTGTTGTGTCATCTGTAAATTTGGAGAATTCACTGTGCACTCCCTCAAGATCATTTACAAATTGATTAAATAACACCATCCCTCAGCACCAATCCCTGGGGAATCCCACCTTTCCAGTTAGAAAAAAATGTTTATTTTTCTTTAAACTTTATTTCCTATTTTACGCTCTTAAAGTGAACAGATCTGAAAAATGTATTTCTAGATATTTACCTGGTTTCTTGGGAACTGTCTTGAGCAAACTTAGCAGCAGCTGGTAATATACGGTCAGCCATATCTTTTGTTCCAGATAAAATTCGTTCTGGTTCCATAATTTCTACTACATCTGATAAGTGCTGGGCTGTACATCTTCTTACTGCAATGTGTAAGTGACTGTAAGGAAATAAGATCAATTAAAGTTGATGTAAGTACTACTTTCCAAAGGCTTGTCTTAAAGTCAAATGATTAAATTGCTCCAGAGTAATGTTGAACGGGGAGTGAAAATCACAAATAATTTGTGTTTTTTATCCCTTAAGGAATATGAAAACAAAACAGGGGCTGACATTGCTGCATGGCATGGGCGCCATGTGGCTGCAGGTTCACATCTTGGCTATTCCATCTTGGTGCAGCTCACCACCAAAGGCACGGAAGTAGCAGCAGCAGATGCTCCAGTTTTTGGGCCCCTGCCATCTACATGGGATACCTAGAAGAAGCTCTGGCTCCTGGCTTTGGCCTGGCCCGCTCCAAGCCACTGCAACTATCTGGGGAGTGGAAGACTTCTCTCTGTCTCTGTCTCTTTCTCTCTAACGTTCAAAATAAATAAATAAATTTGAGCAATAAATGGAGCCAGCACTGTGGTTTAGCAGGTAGACCCCCTGCCTCTGGCATTGCTATACCGTATGAGTGCCAGTTAAGTTCTCAGCTGCTGTACTTTTGATCCAGATCCTTGTGAATATGCCCGGGAAAAGCAGCAAAGGATGGTTCACGTCCCCTGCACCCATGTGGAGACCTGGCAGAAGCTCCTGGCTCCTGCCTTCAGCCGCATCTGGTTCTGACCATTGAGGCCATCTGGGGAGTGAACCAGTGAAAGGAAGCTGTATTTCACTCCCTCTGTCCCTCCTTCTCTCTAATTCTGTCTTTGAAATGAAAAATAAGAAAAAAAAAATATTTAAAAAGAAAACTTAATCACTAACATTTAGTTACTGATCTAGCAATGTAGATAACATTATTAAAAATACTAACAGTCTCATTATGCTTAGAATGTGATACGATGTTTATCGCATAGGAATCATTTAGCAAATGGCATTTGACTAAAATAATAACATTGGTTTTCCCCCCTATACTTTGGATTGTAAATAACTATTTTTAGCTTAAGGACATTTTAAGATGACTTGGAAAATTACCTCTGTCCTCCATTGATAAGAGAAATGACTGCACGTGCAGGAGTTACATTATTAACCATAGCCCTCAAAGCTTTATCAACATCCTCTCTTATAAATGTGTTTGATTCTCCAGCCTTATGCAACAACACTTTTACTGCAGTATCCAGTTCTTGATCCATGCTCTTTTTGAGGTAAGTGAAGAGATCACTTAAGCAGACTACAGCAGCACGAGAAACTCCAGAGCGTAGGTTTTTCACCTAAAAAAAAAAAATTCCAAGTATATCATTTTGCTGGTATTCAGCAAGAAATCCAGTAATAAATTTCTTTGGAATTACTTTTACTATTAAAGTAACATTTTTAATGTTTTATGATCTAAATATTAGCACCTAATAACTTTTTAAAAATATCACACATTAAGGCACATGTTAGATAAGTGATATACGAGCCAGTTCATATCATACACCACAGAGTTAGCAACAAACATTCTAAATGTCAGATAAATATTGTACACTTATTGTTATTCAAGCAATCCTTAACAAAAAGTTTACCTCCTGAACAACTGCAAAATTCGTTTCATGCAACTTTGTGCTCAATATTTCGGAATGGAAAGCAGCTAAGCATCGAACAAAATTCAGCCCCTCAATTTTCTTCTCCCTAAAGGAAAAAGAAATGACAAAAGCAATTAAATGGCAACAACCGCAGCAGGATTTTACAGGTTCTTTTTTGGGTATGGAATATGCCAACAAGGAGCCCTGTTTTTCCTTTGAATTAAGAATTTCAAATTAAAAATGTGCAAAGATCTTTTGAGCCTCAAATCATTAGTGATGATCAAATCATATTTATTCTTTCTAAGCAAAAGACCATTTCTCCTATCAATGCTATACTCTTTCCAGAGACAGCTGAGACGAAAGAGTGGCAAAGCAGAACGCATGTGGAGCAAGCAGAGGGAAGACAAAGCACCCACGTAGTGTTACCTAGCCAATGAGCGCATCACGCAAGAGTAGAGCATCACTCAGCTTGGTTTTCTTTTTCATTACCTGACATAATGAACCAGATGAAGAATGGGCACATGCTGACAGGAAAAAGGCTGGATTCAGATGTGTCAAAAAGTGAGTAGAGCCCTCAGCTACTATCACTGTCAGTGGTCATTTTAAAAAAACAAAATTGTTTATTTTCATTGGAAAGTAACATACAGAGAGAAGGGGAGACAGAGAGCAAGATCTTCCGGGTAATGATTCGCACCCCAAGTGGCTGTCACGGCTGGAACTGAGCCAATTCAAAACCAGGAGCAAGGAGCTTCTTCAGGTGAAAGATCTAGAAAAATGGCAGAACACCCATCCTACTAACAACCTCAGCTGGCATCATGGACCATGAAGAAGCAAGATGAAACACACAAGAGTGAAAATCCCGGGATTGTTTCTCTAGGGAGATAACACAAGCAACAAACAGTGATACAATTATCCAAGTTGAATCAAAAGTATAAACTCTGATCTGTGAATAACAAAAAAACAAAAAAACAAGGAAGCATAAGTCATAGAGAGCCACAACATGAATCATCATAATCAAATAAACAAAGAAATAAAGAGAATAGTCACAAAAGCAGCTGCAGAAGAAAGGATACACTGTATACAAAGAATAACCAGATTTTATATTGCAAAAAACATACTATATCGATGTATATTAACAGACACGTAATTGAAAAGAGTACTAAGCAAGACACTGCATAATGATCAAAGGTCCAAAATTTTTTGTAAAAAAAAAAAAAAGAGTCAATTATAAATGCATAGAGTTTTGAAAATCAAGAAAATACAGATACAAATTAAAAGAGGAACACAATTGTACTTGGAGATTCCAACAGCCATTTCTCAGTAACTGACAGAAGAGACAGGAAATCAGTATAGGTTAGAAGATTTAACACTTACCAACCAGCTTCAACTACTTAACTTTTAAAGAACATTAAAACCAACAGTAGCAGAATGCAAACTGTTTTGAAGTTCATGTGAAACAGTCATCTAAATAGTATCACAGACTCCCACAGTCTCACAATTTAACAAGAAAAAAATATAATAAAATTTGTGGCTGGTGTGACAGCCTGGTGGCTAAAGTCCTTCCCTGGCGTGCACCAGGATCTCATATGAGCACTGGTTCCTACCCCGGCTGCCCCACTTTCCATCCAGTTTCCTGCTTGTGGCCTGGGAAAGCATAGAATATGGCCCAAGGCCTTGGGACCCTGCACCTGCTTGGGAGACCCTGAAGAAGCTCCTGGCTTCAGATTGGCTCAGTTCCAGCTGTGACGGCCACTTGGGAAGTGAATCATCAGCAGGAAGATCTTGCTCTCTGTCTCTCCTTCCCTCTGTATATGTTACTTTCCAATAAAAATAAATAAATAAATAAACACACACAATTTAAAAGATATAGAATTCTGATGCATACCATTTGGGAAAATAAGGCAATGTAAAAAGAAGTGTGAAAATAAATACTATATCAGTCAAGGTCATGAGAGAAGGTTTTCTGAGAAAGCAACATCTGACAAAGATCTGAATGGAGACAGAAAGGTACTCGGTAAATATTGAAACATCTTCAGGCAGAAACATGTGGGGAGGGAGGACAGGGGTAGCAGAATGAAGGCACAACAAGCTCATCTTTGGCCTGCAGCACAGGTATCTACATGGTACCCATTTTAGTCTGGGCTGCTCTACTTCCTATCCAGTTCTCTGCTTGTGGCATGGGAAAGCAGTATAGGATGGCTAACATGCTTGGGCTCCTGAACCCACCTGTGAGATCTGGAAGATCTATATGTTGTATGTAATGCAAAAATCAAGTCTAAATGGATCAAGGATCTAAATCTATGATCTCATACCACCAAATTACTAAAGGAATACATTGTAAAACTCTGCAAGATAGGTAATATCTTCATCACTCTATCAAACGCTTACTCTCCACCAACTTTTTGAAATCCTCTCATATTTCATAAATACTTTGAGAAATGTTGAGATTTATGTATCAATACCAAAGGATTTGCATAACCCTTAATAAAGCTAACCTATGTTCTTATGGTATATAACATAACATTACTGGCCATAGAGTTTTATTAGTGCCAAAATCCAGCTATATTAGTAGGATGAAATAGATAGATAGAAAGATAAATATATGCTTAAGAACTAAAACAACCTATTATAAGACTTTTAGTAGGAAATGTGTTTCAAGACCATAAATGAAAAAAACTATCAAAAGCTTCTGGAACTCAGATAAAGACAATAAACTTACCAATCCTCATCAGCTAAAAGCCTCAGGGCTTCTGTCAACGCTACTTCAGGTTTGGAAAATGGCCGTAGTTCTGATGAGTCCATTATTTCTGGACTGTGAGTGACAGAAGGTATCCGTTCTTTATACTGTGGCATGGCTCCGGGAGTGGCGTCACCTAGAACAATCGCATTACATGGAGCATAAGAGAATCTTGACATAAAAGATAAAAATATTTTTATCTTACAATATTTCCTATACAAAGCAGTATAAGCTGGATCTGTGGTGTAGTAGGTTAGCCCACTGCCTATAGCATCAGCATCAAGTCTTGACTGATACACTTCCAATCCATCTCCCTGTTAATGCATCTGGGAAAGGAGCAGAAAATGGTCCAACACCTTGATTTTCTGCACTCACATCCAAGCCCCTGAAGGAGCTCCTGGCTCCAGGTTTCTGCCGGACCCACCCTGGCAGTTGTGGCCATTTGGTGAGTGAATCAGCACACAAAGGATCTCCCTCTTTCTGTAACTCTTCCTTCCAAATAAATACAGAAATATTACAAAAAAAGAAAGAAACAAAGAAAGAAAGAAAGGAAGAAAGAAACAAGCAAACAAACAAACAAACAAAGAAAGAAAGAAAGAAAGAAAGAAAGAAAGAAAGGAAGAAACAAACAAAAAAAGAAAGAAAGAAAGAAAGAAAGAAAGAAAGAAAGAAATAGAAAAGTAGTATTGTTAGTACTATTAGTTTTCAGGAAAATTATGATATTCAGAAAGCAAAGTCATTGAAAATCTGGCTTTCTATTAAATTTCAATAAATTATATATTATATATAGTGTGGCTTTCTAGTCATGAGTATAATAAAGTTCTAGCTTTTTAAAGAACTAAATGTAAAAGAAGCTATAACAACTATAAAGCAGGAATGTAGAGTGATATCATTTTGTAAAAACGTGGATACATGTCTAAATTTTCCTTTTGGAATATGTTTAATGGTATACTACAAATTCCAAGATCCTATGTAGTATTAATACACTGAGTAAACATTTGTATGAATTGAGGCTCTGGGCTGGATGTAAGGAAACAAAATCATAGCCTCGAATGTTCAGGCAGTCAAAACACTGCAGTATCCAAGACATGCAGCAAAAAAGTGTTAGAAAAGAAAATAAATTAAACAGAACAGGCTTTTGGAAATACTAAAGATCTATTCTTATTTCCATAGTAGGAGACTATTCTATCTATTGTTAAAATTTATTTATTAAAAGGCTCACTTCCCAAATGCAACAGCACAGGGTGGAGTAGGTCAGTAGTCACTTTTGTTTTTTTTTCATGAGAAAAATATTTACTCTACTAGAAGCTTTTTGGTCTTGCAAATTTCCACATAGGACAACATACTGCACTCTTACTCATATGCCAGTCCTAGTTAAACCTTAGTACTAAAAAAAAAAGGAGACATATACACATGCCCCAAAAGTTAAAATCTACTTACTTTCACATGGCATTTTCTCTGTTCCTGTATGTTTTATTCGTTCCCAGGAGTTCTGCTCCTTCTTTTCACAATCTTTAATGCTGAAAAGTTCCTTTTCTTCTTTTCTCTTTTGTCTCATCTTATCATAAGTAGATTTTGAAATAGATACTTTAGTCTGCATGAGAAAATTGAAAGATCTGAATGGATTCACAGCATTAGATATTCACAATAGTTTCATCTCAGAAACAGGGTTTTAGTTTAATGGTTATGAAGCCTTCCTCCGACATGGTACTAACTTAAATTCCTGTCTGACTCCTATTCTAGCCTCCTGCCAGTACAGATCTTGGGAGGCAGCAGGTCAAAGTCTTTGCTGCCAGGTACAAGATGCTGACTGAGTTCCTGCAGCGGCTATGGCGAGCATTTGGGTAGTGCACCTGCAGACGGCTACACTCTATTTCTCTGCCTCTTAAATAAATAAACTTAATTTTAATATTAGATCTAAGATCGTTTTACATATTCCAAAAACTGCAGAACTATGTTCTGTTAATACTGTAACTATTTATGTTTACAGTAGAAAATTACTCAATTTATACATACATATTCATACATTTGCATTATCAAACATAGTAATTACTCGTCTAAATGAAAATATTTACTTATTGGGAAAGAGTGACAAAAGATTGTGTAAGTAATTAAAGATCAGAACTTTCAACTACACCAAGAATTTTAAAATGTTTCTGAAGATTTAAAAAAAAATTTTATTTGAAAGGTAGATTTTACACAGAGTAGAGACGGAAAGACAGACAGAAGAAGAAAAGAAGGGGGGGGAGAGACAGACAGAGGGAGATAGAAAGAGAACCTCAATCCATTTGTTCACTACCCAGATAGCCAAAACACGTATTGAGCCAATCTGCAGCCAGGAGCTTCTTCCACACAGGTGTGGTGGCCCAAGGACCTGACATTCTTTGCTTCTTTCTTAAGCCATAAGCAGGTGGTTGAATTGTAAGTGTAATAATCGGGACTCAAATCAGAGCCCGTATGGGATGTCAGTACACGGGCAGAAGCTTAGCCTACTACGCCATGGTACCAGCCTAAACATTTAAAAAAAAATTAATCCAAATACCTTTACCACTCCATATTTCACAGATCCAAACCAATGACACATTGTAGGCTTAAATTTATCTTAATAGTTAATAATCTTACATCCTTTTCATTTTCAACATCAAGATACGATGGAACACTCTGCTGGACTGCTTTTCCATAAATCCCTGGTGGTGGGTCAATACTCTGCTTAGCTGAAAATGCATCTCCATTTTCCACAGAAGATACCACTGACTGGCTGCAGGTAGCTGGTACTGAATTTGGACTTCCAAATACACCTGAAAGCAATCACCAAATAATTATTAACTGTCGATGTGATAGTATTCTGCATAACAGTTTCAGACAAAACCATTTGTTTGCCTTCAAGAAGCAAATGTATAGTCAGAAAGACAGATATATTAAGTAGTTATAAAAGATAAAAGCAAGCGCCCTAAAAGACGACAGGGACAAGTTTTGATACCAGCAAGTGAGAATTATATATTGCTAAGTATTTAGTGCTCAGTAAATTTTAAGATGGTTTAAAGGCCCAAGAATTTGAGCCAGATTTAAAAAAAAAAACGGTCTTTGACACGCAAGGAGAAAAGGAGATGTCAAGTACTGTGAGCTTTGAATATTTTTATTAGAGATGAACAACTATAAAGAAGCAATGTGAAGTGAATAAATGACTTTAGTTATGCACAATGCAAATAGGAAAAAAGTTGCAAAATTAGGCTGGGGTCATTTTAAGTACAGTCTTTAGCTTTTTTACATTTTTTTGTAACTTTTTCCATTTTTTAATAATCTTTACACAGTTAATCAGGGTAAAAAGGTTCAAGGGCTATAGGAAAGTGGGTAGGACTATTAGTTCCATATTGTTTCCTTCATATATCTGAGGTAAAGGGGGATTTTTTTTTTAAAGATTTTATTTTTATTAATTTTTATTGGAAAGGCAGATATACAGAGAGGAGAGACAGAGAGGAAGATCTTCTGTCCGATGATTCACTCCCCAAGTGAGCGCAACGGGCCGATACTATGCCGATCCGAAGCCAGGAGCCTCTTCTGGGTCTCCCACGCGGGTGCAGCGTCCCAAAGCTTTGGGCCGTCCTCGACTGCTTTCCCGGGCCACAGGCAGGGAGCTGGAAGGGAAGCAGGGCTGCCGGGATTAGAACCGGCGCCCCTATGGGATCCTGGGCGTGCAAGGCGAGGACCTTAACCACTTGCGCCACCGTGCCGGGCCCAAGGTAAAGGGGGATTTTAAGGCAGGAGCCCCACCCAGTCTCCCACCCACCCTATGTCCCCGATGCTCCAAGATTATTGCTCAAGTGGTTTTGATAGTTCGACAGTTATGAATTGCTGCCAATCTTGTCACTCCAAGCATGATGAGGTCATTGAAGAATCCACTGGTTGACACAGTACATCATAGAGTCTAGATTTTCCCAGTTTTTCACTGCCAACATATAGCAGAGGTAGTTGATTGACTTGTTCTGTCTTCTGTCTTTTGATGGTTAGGGTTCTGAGTCTGGCAGTTCAAATAGGGAGATCCCCAAAGAAACTTTGCCTGAGGTGTTCCCAGACCAGATTCTTGTATGTACTAGCAAGTACAGGGCCTGGCACAGTCCACTGCCCCGATCAGCTGGTGGCTAGAATTGCTGGGTTGGTTCTGTTTTCAGCCCCTACTTCCACTGGAACCAATGGGTGTTGCAGTCCATTCTGGTTCTGCCCAGCACATACTCGGCCCTCACGAAAACAAGTGGGAGCTGCAGCCTAGTCAGAGCGACCCACAATAACCCCCAGCAGGCCTGCCCCCTACCCTGGTATGCCAGTATGTATAGCAGACTAGTCCAGTCTGTCCCACATCCCATTCGGCTCTTGTACATGTCAATGGGTATTGAAGCTTAGTTCCATCTAACCAGCTCAACTATCCAGCCCTCACGAATGTTGTTGGGTGCCTCTCTGTCTAGCCACCCCAGCCCCTGTCCTAGTTTTCATGCCCTCCCATGGGAGTGGTAACACAAGAGGGAGGAGCCCATTATTTCCCTTCCAGGCCACTCTCACTCCCGGATTATGCACTCTCCAGGTGGATCTGTGGTTTAACTTGACAGCATTACACCCCAAGCGCCAGCTTCTGCCAGCTGATGTTGCAGCTAAGCCCAACCAACCCTCACCCACTCTAATTTTGTTTGCATGAATAGGAACAATCAGCCCAGCCTGACTTTTCCCTGATCTGGTCCACATGAGGTCCACAGATGTTGTAGCCCTGCTTAGTCTGGTCTGTCCCCATCCCAACTCACGCTCCCCAGTAGGAGTAGCTGTCCAGCAAGGGAAACCACCCCCCTAAATTTCCCCTGCCAGATGACTGATTGAAAAGTAAGAATAGGGCCCAGCGGGGTGGCCTAGTGGCTGAAGTTCTCGCCTTGAACGCACTGGGATCCCAATGGGTGCTGGTTCTAATCCAGGAGGCCAGCTCTCCATCCAGCTCCCTGCTTGTGGCCTGGGAAAGCAGTGGAGGACTGCCCAAAGCTTTGGGACCCTGCACCCATGTGGGAGACCCAGAGGAGGTTCCTGGTTCCTGGCTTCGGATCGGCGCAGCACCGGCCATTGCGGCTCACTTGGGGAGTGAATCATCAGATGGAAGATCTTCCTCTCTGTCTCTCCTCCTCTCTGTATATCTGACTTTGTAATAAAAATGAATAAATCTTAAAAAAAAAAAAAAGAAAGAAAAGGAGGAGTAACACAAAGAGGCTGAGGACAGCAAGATCTTTCGACCACTGGTTCACTCCCCAAATGGTGTTAACAGCTATGTCTGGGCCAGGTGGACATCTGCAATCAGGAACTTCACCCTCGTATTCCACGTTGGTGGCAGGGCCCTAACTACCTGAGTCATCTACTGTTGCCTTCCTAGACACATTAGCAGGGAGCTGGATCAGAAGTAGAACAGGACTTCAACCAGTACTGCAATATGAGATAATGGTGTTGAAAGCAATGGCTTAACCCACTGCAATACTATGCTGGCTTCTGGTTGGGGCGAAGGGGTTCTTAAATAACCTAATGAGACTATCAAGCAATCAAATCATGAAAGAGTTTCAACGACTGTATTCTATTTCATTACACAAAAATAAGATGTATATCTTCATTTTATATATATATATATATAAATAATATTCTGTTTCTTTAATTTAAAATGAAACTAGCAAAGGTTACCTAGTGTCCCAAAATACTTAATAGGGATTAATTTTGATTTGTCTAAGCTTTGTAAGGGGAGGCAATATACTGTATTCCTATATGTTGATTATACTGTCCTTATGAACATGATCTATTGCTAGAATTTAAACAATGCAAAAACTATCCTGGCAATCCCAAAATTGCCTTAGAATATCTGTGGTAGGTATTTGATGAGATGTTAACATGCTACTAGAGATGACCCCACGTCATATCAGAGTGCCTGGGTTTGCTTCTGTCTCCACTTCTACATGTAGGTTCTGTTTAGTATGTACCTAGAAGAGAGCAGTGCTGGCTCAAGCAGCTGGGTTCTTCCACCCACCAGGAGGCCTGGACTGTTTCCGACACTGTTCTGTCTGGCTCTGATCTACATTTCTAAGTATCTGGGGTGTGGATCAGCAGACAGGAGAACTTGTTCTCTCACTCTCCAGCTAGTCAGACACATACATAAACACACAAATAGAAGATGCAGCTCCTTTTTAAAAAATATTATCTAAGGTTTAGCTGTTTTATCTTTTCAAATTACTGACATTAATTTAACCTTGTAAGAGGATCACAATAAGTATTTAATTCTATTTCTTTCTATTCTATATTTCTTAAAAAAAAACAACAGAAGATTTGTTGAATACTTGCACCATGTCCTTCCCTCTTCACTGATTTATTTTTCACTGAAGAATAAATACAAATAAAAAGCTAAACAACTTTGAAATACCTTTTCCAACAACGACTACTGAGTCTTCCGACAAGGTATTTATGGATGTGAAATCAAAATTAGAAGTCTGTTGCAAATTTGATGAAGGCCCTGTAAAAAATATAAAAAGAAAATAAATAAGCATATTAAAATATTTACATATGTAGTAGTCTAAAATACTGTAAGACAGACTTTTACAACTAGAAATCATTTCATACAAACAATCTATACCATTTTTAAAGACTTATTCATTTTTATTGAAAAGTCAGATATGGGCCCGGCGCAGTAACCTAGTGGCTAAAGTCCTAACCTTCAACATGCTGAAATCCTATATGGGCACCGGATCTAATCCTGCAGCTCTACTTCCCATCCAGCTCCCTGCTTATGGCCTGGGAAAGCAGTTGAGGATGGCCCAACGCCTTGGGTTCCTGCACCGTGTGGGATACCTGGAGGAAATTCCTGGCTCCTGGCTTCGGATTGGCACAGAACCAGCCATTGTGGTTGCATGGGGAGTGAATCATTGGGCGGAACATCTTCCTTATTTTTATTGGAAAGGCGGATATACAGAAAGGAAAAGAGACAGAGAGGAAGATCTTCCGTCCGATGATTCACTCCCCAAGTGAGTGCAACAGCAGATGCTATGCCGGTCCGAAGCCAAGAGCCTCTTCCGGATCTCCCATGCGGGTGCAGGGTCCCAAAGCTTCGGGCTGTCCTCCTCTGCTTTCCCAGGCCACAGGCAAAGAGCTGGATGGGAAGTGGAGCTGCCGGGATTAGAACCAGTGCCCATATGAGATCCTGGGCATGCAAGGCGAGGACCTTAACCACTGCGCCATTGCGCCGGGCCCTCTCTATATATTTGACTTTGCAATTAAAATAAATAAATTTTTTTTAAAGAAAAGTCAGATACACAGAGGAGGAGATACAGAGAGTAAGATCTCTGATTCACTCTGTAAGCAGCTGCAATGGCCAGAGCTGCGCCAATCCAAAAGCAGGAGCCAGGAGTCTCTTCCAGGTTTTCCATGTGGGTACAGAGTCCCAAGGCTTTGGGCCATCCTCTACTGCTTTCCCAGGCCACAGGCAGGGAGCTGGATGGGAAGTGGAGCAGCTGGGATACGAACCGGCTTCCATATGGGATCCCAGCACATGCAAGGTGGGGAGTTTAGCCACTAGGCTACCGTGCCAGGCCCACAATTTACAATATATTTACAAATACATGTTAAGTAATTCAATATATGTATATATATATATGTGTATATATATATAGAACTCACTATATATGTTAAATTATATATATATAAACTAGAATACCAAATATGGAGTAGGCACTGGAGAAAAGTGAAGTTTACACACACCAAGGTTAAGGTTAGGAGACACATAGCAGCAAATAAGTATGACTGAAATTTTAAGCAACAAAAACGCATCAGGCCAATTTCACTAAAACCAGTATTTTTCTAAGGTAGCTTATATCTCAATTTCTAATTATTCAATTAATCTCATTTCAACTTGACACCTGACAGAAAGGGCCTATGCCTAGTTCTGATCATCATTCCTTCTAGAACCTAGTACATAGTACTTGACATAAAGTTATCAAGGTAGGAAAAATGAAAAAGCAAACACAAAAGTTAATTTAGTATCTATGAAAGAAAAGCAGCTATTAAGTTCATTAAATTATTCTTTCAATAAAAAGCAGATGAATTGCTTTCCCATCCTCTTTTATGCTACACATAAAATGGGTAACAAAGACAGCAGAGAGGGTACAGAAAGAAAGCTAAGTTTAGTTTTCAGAATGTTTGCTCTTGTTAACTAAGATAGATCTAGCAGGAATTTGATTTAAACTTGGAAGCATGAATATGATGTAATTTTTGAGTGCAGAATTAACTGCTGCCCCAAATACACAGATATGTCCATGATTGTGCTATCCAAAAGAGGATGCCGCTAGGGATAAGCATCTGGCCTCGAGTTAAGTCACCTGCATCCCAGATCAGACTACTGCTGTTGCTGATTCCAGCATCCTGCTCATGCAGAGCTTGCGAGATAACACTGACGGCTCAGGCATTCGGTTCCTGCCACCCACATGGGAGACCCCAGGAAAATTCTGGCTCTTGATTCCATCCCTGAAGCAGACCTACCTGCTGAGGTAACTGCAAAGTGAAACAATGGTTGGGAATACTCTCTGTTTCTCTCTCTCAAGTAAACATAAATTAGGGTGAAAAAGTAAAAAGATGCCAATAGCAGGAAATGATTGTTTTTAGGAATCATTTCAAAGCAGTTATTCTAAAAAGATCTACTTATTTGGAAGGCAGAGTTAAAGGAAGAGAGAAAGATAGAGAGATAAGGACATTGCATTTGCCAATTCTTTCCCCAGATGGCTACAATGCCTGACTGTAGGCCAGGCAGAAGCCAGGAGCCAGGAAGTCCAACCAGGTTCTCCTGTGGGTGAGCGAATGCATTTTGGCAGTGTTCTCCCACTTTCCCAAATGCATTAGAAGGGAGCTACATTGGTAGTGGAGCAGCAGAGTGTGAAACAGCAATTATATGGGATGCCACCAATGCACATGACAGCTTAACCCAGTACACTATAATTCTGGCCCTTACAGCAAAGTTTAAAAGGAAAAAAATAATAATTATAACATTAGGATATAAGTTTAAAAAGAAAAGTATTGGTGTACTTGAGTTTCTTTACATATTCTTTAATATTTACATATTAAATATGTCAAAATAAATCAGATTTGTAAGTAAATACGGAAAATCTGTTACTTTTATAAAAATAATGGGCACTTTATTGTTGCCTTATAAAACAGACTGAATTGTACTACAGATTAAGAAATTTATAAAAGGTTCCAATCAAGTTCTTTTTCACCAGTCCATGTTACTGCCATGAAAAAATTTAGATATTTTACATCAGTCTATGCATACTTGATGTAAGAAAACTAGAAATAACAAACTACAGAAGTTGATCTCATGATTACAGCTGCCACACACGCACACACACAATCACACACACACACAGAATGACACCTTCTTCCTTATTTTTAGACCACAAGTCTTAATGACAAAGAGCTTCTAAACAGCTCTTCTAAACAGACCAGAATATTTCAAAATGTTCATAGAAAATAACGCATACTATTAAATATGGGAAGATTTGAAAGTTCTTGCATCAAAAGAAGTATATCTTTTAATTCCAGTTTCCATGAACTTTTAAAAGTACCCTTTTATTTAGACCCGTCAACATAATGTTCTTTTACCCCAAGGCAAACTCATATACAGCCATAATAGAATCTCTTAAGAAATGGACACTGCAGTCACTGAAGTGCTACTTGCTACTAAGTTAAGTAAAATACATAAGATGCCAAACATGCTTAATGATAGCAAAGACACTTGGCCAGGACCTACCACAGGAACACGCTACACCTGTTGCCACAGCTCTAGTCCACGATTACAACATGACTGGCTTCTTGGAAGTTATTTACTCCTATGATTTTCTCTACTCAATTTTGGAGGCAAAAAGTCTTGTGAACACTGTGTTTGCCCATGTGCGTGTGAGTGCAGACACAGCTGAGTGTGCACCTGTTCCTGGGCCTGGCCTGCAGGAGGAGGTCAGCAAAGGATTTCCTCATTTCAATCTTTGCACCAGCTCCTCAGGCAGGCCTCTTCAACCAATACAAACCTATGGGCTTTCTTAGCAAAAGTATTTAAGCAACAAAATACAGAGGTAAAAATTAAAAATCTAAGAACAGAATTCTCTATTTCTTTTATAGGACATTTTGGGAAGATTTGCAATTTAGACGTAATTGTAAAAATTGTCATTAAACTCACTAACCTTTTGTATGTTTAGAATGTCTCGAGTTTTCCTTATTTTGAATTTTTAAAGCACTAGGTAAAATGTCATGTGACCTCTCATCTTCAAAATCACCACATCCAAATCCATAGTTCATACGTTGACCAATTATGCTTACATTGGATGTTTCAATTCCTATAAAATAAAATCAACATTTGAACAATTTCAGTAGTTTTGTTGCTATATATCTCTTCTTTAAAGCTATCTTACCTTCTAACTTTTAAAGGGATAACATAAATTTAAAAATTACAACAATATAGTTTATTAAATTTTTATTCTACTTGGAGTTACAATAAAAAATGCTTACCATATCATTCAGGAAATATAGCACAATTTGCTTTCATAGGTGGCAGTAGAATACATGTGGGAATTTTATTAGCAAACAAGACATTTCTTTTTTTTTTTTTTATTGGAAAGGCGGATATACAGAGAGGAGAGACAGAGAGGAAGATCTTCCATCCCATGATTCACTCCCCAAGTGAGCACAACGGCCATTGCTATGCCGATCCGAAGCCAGGAGCCTCTTCCAGGTCTCCCACGCGGGTGCAGGGTCCCAAAGCTTTGGGCCGTCCTTGACTGCTTTTCCAGGCCACAGGCAGGGAGCTAGATGGGAAGCGGGGCTGCTGGGATTAGAACCGGTGCCCACATGGGATCCCAGGCGTTCAAGGTGAGGACCTTAACCACTGCACCATCGCGCCGGGCCCCAAACAAGACATTTCAACTACAACTTTTTTTTTTTTTTTTTTTAGCTAGCATTTATTTATTCTTATTGGAAAGTCAGATCTACAAAGAAAAGGAGAGAGAGAGAGAAAAAGATCTTCCATCCCCTGCTTCACTTCCCAAGTGGCTGCAATGGCTGGAACTAAGCCAATCCAAAGCCAGAAGCCAGGAGTCAGGAGTTTCTGCTGAGTTTCCCACATGGGTGCAGGGTCCCAAGTTTTGGGCCATTCTCTACTGCTTTCCCAGATCACTAAAAGGGCGCTGGAAGGTAAGTGGAGCAGCTGGGATACTAACCAGCACCCATGTGGGATCCTGGCACATGCAAGGTACTACCCTATGGTACCGGGCCCAGAAATACATTTCTTAAAACAGGTTTCAAAATTACAATGAAACACAAAATGAAATGTTTGAAAAAATAATCAACCATGTATGTTTAAAAAACAGGGCAAGCATTTACTGTTAAAATGTCATTTTTAATTCACTAATAGGAATGCTTTTGATCAACAGAGGATACTAATATAATGCTACCAAAAAAAGCTTACAATAACAGTTAGGAAATGCAGTACAATTTTCTATGGCATAAAGTGGTATAATATATGTGGAAATCCTTATGCAAAATACTTATATAGATATATTGGATTTATAATTTTTCCATAATTTCTGTGTTGGCTTTCAGTTTTAAATGGTTTTTATTTTGAGCATTTTCATTTATGTTTTACCAATTAAAGTACAATAAATAAATCTGTAGAAATCTCTTGCTCATGGAAAACACAAATTTCTAAAATCCAAATCATTAACAACTTAGTTTAAGAGAATATTAACTGAGAATATTTTATAGTGAGTTTGAAAAGAAGTAAAGCTGCTATTTGTTAAAAATACAGACTTATGCAGCTGACATTTAACCTATTGGTTGAGATACTGGTTAAACACCTGCAACCTGGGGGTGGTGTGATAGCTGAATGCACTGGCAGGTTCTTGAACTGGCTGCTCCACTTCTGATGCAGCTCCCTGCTAATTCACCTGGGAGAGTAGCAAAGGATGGCCCCAAGCCTTGGGACCCTGTATCCATGTGGGAGACCTGGAAGAGCTACTGACTCCTAGTGGCAGATAGGTTTAGCTCTAGCTGTTGCAGCCATTTGGAGAGTGTACTAGCAGATGCAAGAGATCTTTCTTGTTCTCTCCTTCTTTGTATGTATCTGCTTTTCCAAAAAAATAAATAAATCTTAAAAAAAAGAAAAAAGAGAGAGCTCGCATCCCATACTGGCACACCTGAGTCTGATATGTGGCTCCAGCCCCGTCACTTCTAGTTAATACAGACCTTGGAAGACAGCAGTGATGGCTGAAGTAACTGATTTTCTGTGACCCACATGGGAGCCCTATTTGGAATTCCTGGCTCCTAACTTTAGCTAAGCACAGTGTCAGCACTTAGTGGGTATCTGAGACGTGAATCAACAGTAGTTGGGAGTTCTATAGCGTCACTGAGCACTTTCTCCCTCTGCTTTTCTCAAAAACACATATATTTTTAAATTACAGATTTATAGGGCCTGGTGCCATAGCCTAGTGGCTAAAGTCCTCCTCTTGCATGTCTGGAATTTCATATGGGCACTGGTTCTAATCCCAGCTGTTTTACTTACTTTCCAGCTCCCTGCTTTTGGCCTGGGAAAGCAGTGGAGGATGGCCCAAGGCTTTGGGACCCTGCACCCACATGGGAGAACCAATGGAAGCTTCTGGCTCCTGGCTTTGAATTGGTTTAGCTCCAGCCATTGTGGCCACTTGTAAGTCTGATTTTCAAATAAAAATTAATACATTTTTAAAAAAAAAATGAAACAAGTAAATATATAAATAGCAGTACAGATTTATAAAATAAAGATAAATTCATTAGATATGAAATCATGCCCCAGAATCTACATACGTGATATATAGCAACACATGATTATAGGATTAAACACGTTTGGCAAATATTGAATCCTGCATATTAGATGAAGATTCTGCTTCTATAACAGAAACTACTCTACTACAAATTAAATTCCTCCAAAGATCAAGGTATCGGAGTCAGAACAGAACTAAAATCCAAGTTTTCAAAACATTCTCCAATTTCAAAAATATTCTTCTCCAAATGTGAGTTCCATTTCTACAATTCAGTAATTTGACCTCTCGTTAAATATTTGTGAAGCTATCAACAGAAGTACTAGAAGTACAGAGTGATCAGCCTAGAGTAAAGGATTACAGGATAGGTTTACGTATATTTCTCTGAGTATTCAGAAAACACTTGCTAATAAATTGTCAATGTGCTTATCAAGGATTTAAGAAGGAACTAGGTATCAAAGCAGTTAAGTAATTTGTATGTACGGTGAATATTATTAAACATCTGGTTGGGACTACAGCTGTGGTCTTTCAAATACCATACAGACATAAACAATTTCTTGCTCCTTCATATAGCAGCTATCTATTGCTTAAACATGGGCTTCCTGAAAGCCAGTATACCAGATACCACTTATAAAACCAGATATTCGGGCTTAAGATTGACAACTGGTATAAAAATAACCTCTAGGGATCAAGAATTTGAGAGCTGAATGCAATAAAATAATCGCAATATCATCGTTAATTCTGTTAGTGAAAGATGTAATTGCAAAAGAAGTGATAATCAATCTTGTCTGTGAATTAGGGAATGCATCTCAAAGAAGGCAAATGGCTTTTGGAGCTGAATATAGTGAGATGCAGACTTCACATTTACCTAGAGGAAATAGTTTGCACAATTGCAAAAAGACAGGAAATGACATTAAAGCTAGTTTAATTTGAATGGAGCACGATATAGGGAGAGAGAAGTTTAAAAAAGTATGATTGGCAAAGTATGAGAGAAGAGATCTGTTCTGGAAGAATTTAGATTGATCGTTATAGTCAGGTTTACATTGGAATAAATGAACCTGAGGAGAAAACGTAAGTAAGTCTGAAATGAGGAAGAGGGTGAAGCAGTGCCATATTAGTGGGAATTGAACAGTGGGCCAAGTTTCAGACATACTTAAGAGGAGGAAATAAAAAATCTTAACAATCATATACCTATAGAGCTATTCAGGAAGGTAATTATGATGTAGCTTTAAGGTCAAGGCTTTCATAATGAGATCTGGGGACAGCAGACGTCATATGTATTTCAGTTTGTTACAATTCATTTACAACTCAGCAGTTTCTTCTCTAATCATAAAGAAAAACAACATGCAGGCTCCACTTTGAATAGATTATAGTGGAAGTACATTTTAAAATCACTAATTCTTAAACTTCTTTTCAGAGAAGTTGTGTTATAAAAATAGGCTTATAGCTTAATTCACAAAAATGTTTAAAGCAAGGTAAAAAAAAAACCAACATGAAATATATATTACTTCAAAAACTACCCAGTGAACCAGTGGTTACAACCAGTAGTTTGACAAATAAATATTATCTTCTGTGATGCCCAACACATTAGAATAATCTGAGTAGTTTTCAAAAGTTGGCAGCCAGTTCTTACTCCATATAAGCTAAATCAAATTATCTCAGTGTAGGAGCCAAGCATAGGTATACTTGTGGAATTAAAGGGATATCAATGATTCAGATAAATAAATACTTTTAAAAAATGATGAGTTTGTCAAAATGATCTTTTATAGAGATCAAAATAATTAGTCAAAAAAATGGAAATGCTAAAATGCTACACACAAAATGTACTCGTTATATTTTTTTGACATTTAAAAGCAATACATTTCATAAATTTCATTATCAAGCAGTGACAGAATACCTGCACTGGGGCTTTGCTCGGAAATATGAGTGTTTTTCTTTTTTGCTGAAGAAAGTCTTGCTGGACAAGGTTTTGATGCTAATGTTGGAAATATATCTGTCCTGAAATGAAACAAATCAATTTCAATAAACATTTAAAAGTTACAGCTACTCAAAATTTATATTACACATTGTTTATTCATTTCATTAGCACACCAAACTTTCAGAAAATAAAGTAGCAAGTATAAAAAAACTATGGTTAACCATATTTTGTACTGATATTCTTAGTTCACCTTTCAAACACTCAACCTTGTTAACCTGTGATGAATTCTTAATTGTTCATGAGAGGACTACCAGAGGAAATGACTAATTTGTACTATATATAACCCCTGGTTTAGTAAAAACAAAACCTAATCATGGACAGTCCATTCCAAAACCAAATTATGTGATTCCTAATTATCTAATATACTAGAAAACTTAACTATAATAAATATGTACAATTAAATTTCAGAGATGATTTTGGGAAGTTACACTTTGCGCCTACACTCCCCTGACATGCAGAACTGTACACTTTGTATCATAAAACAAAGGAAGAATATTAAATCTGAACATAAGGAAACTGTTTTATATCAGTAAGTGATGGAATGTCAAGTAGTCAACAATAGACACTATAAAGGGGACACTTTTACAAAGTATGATTCCTGGTAATAGGGCAGTCATGTTCATCAACAGCCCTGTTTGAGAAATCAATGTTAAATATTTTGGAAGGCCAAGTTTTCCAGAAGAGATTACTGTAAATTTACTATATTGGTTATATCTTGACTTAAATGAAAGTAATAGTAGCTATATGTCCACTGGTAGAAGGCTTAGTGATTCAGAAAATAGCTAATGGATGAAAAATATCAGGAAAAATATTAGATGGGAAGAAGTGGGGTTGGGGATAGGGTTTATACTAACTTAGGTTCTCCAGCTGGGATTCTGGTATTTCTACCCCAACTTCAAATCAACGCCAAGCAAGGCAGTACCTATAAGCTTTTCCATTGTATTTTAAGAATATTGGGATGTATGAAAAACTGAAAAATAAATGGTTCTAAGTCTTTTCTAAATATATTAGAACTGCAGACCACAGATTACATATGAACAATTATTTAACATGTAAAAAAAATGAAATACATTATTCTTTTCCCCTGGGGAGTTGTAGACAGAGAAGAAGTCAACGATTCTTGACTGTATACTCCACTTTCACTGTAAGAGCTGACATTAGGAGAGGAAGATCGAGATGGGGAATCCAGAGTCAAGTCCAGCTTCAGTGCAGAATCAGGGCTTTCCAGATCAGAGGTGCTACCACTCAGCTTAGCCCTCTTCTTAGCAGCACTGTTACGAAGGGACCGAAGAGAGCTCTGCATCTAGGAAATACGAAAACATTACAGAATTAACGTTACAGGAATTTTACACGATAACATAAACTGCTTATGTTAGGAAGCATCATTTCTATATATTTTAAGAAATACTTTCTGATTAGCCATTCCCTAGGCCAGTACTAATGAATGACTCTACTAATATATATATGTACATATATACATATATACACACATAATATAAATACAGATCTCACCACTTGTGTATTTATAAACAATCCAGTGTGTTATAACTTCCTTGAGCAGAAGAATCTTAGATAGCATTCACTATGGTAGCTCCAACACTGGGCACAATGACTAATTATACTGTCTGAATTAAATTGCTTAATGAATGAATTCATAATATCACTAAGAGGAAAATGAGTTAGAACAAAGATCTATGGAGCTGTATCATAAAATGATAATAATAAAAAGAAGTGAAATTTTAAAAAAAGAAAGTGAAATATCTTTATAAATAAGAAAAATATTACAGCATAAAAATAACTGAGAAGAGGACATTTGGTTTAGCAATGAAGACACCCACATCCAGACGCTGGTGTTGTGGCATAGTGAATAAAGTTGCTATCTGGCACTGTATCCCACAGGGTGCCAGTTCTAGTCCCGGCTACTTCACTTCCAATCCAGCTCCTTCACAATGCCCTGGGAAAATTAGTGAAGGACGGCTGAACTATTTGGACCCGTCATCCAAATGAGAGACAGGAGAAACAGCCTGGCTCCCAGCTCCTCATTTTGGTTTAGCCCGGCCATTGTGACCTCTGGGGAATGAACCAGTGGGCAGGAAGGTCTTTTGTTCTGTGTCTTCCCTTCTCTGTAATTCTGATTTTTAGAGACGCAAGCATCCAGGCCAGGCAAGCATCCAGGCCAGGCGCAGTAGCCTAGTGGCTAAAGTCCTCGACTTGCATGTGTCAGGATCCCAAATAGGCACTGTACTTCCCTTCCAGCTCCCTGCTGGTGGCCTGGGAAAGCAGTAGTGGACAGCCCAAAGCCTTGGGACCCTGCACCCATGTGGGAGGAGGTTCCTGGTTCCTGGCTTTGAATCAGCTCAGCTCTGGCCATTGTAGCCAACTGGGGAAAGAGTGGATAGAAGATCTTTCTCTGTCTGTCTTTGTCTATGTAAGTCTGACTTTCCAATAAAAATAAATTTTTTTTTTTAAATAAAGTAAAATAAAGATGACTGCATCCATGCTACAGTGTTTGGGTTCAATCCCCTGCTCTGGCTCCTCACTCTGATATTGGGAGACCACAGTGATGGCACAAGTGATTAGGTTCCTTCCATCCATCCATATGTTTAAAGAGGAGAAAATTTAATTTTTTCTTAAGTAACAACTACAATATTATATTTAAAATCACAGGTATTTTTGAATTATTAAAGCAATAATTGTTCCTAACCTCTTCTTGATCCAAATCTTTATCCCTGAGATTTAAATCTGAAAGATCAATAGTTAGATTATCTTTTTCATTCTTCCAAATATCATCAGATTCTTTCTTTTTGTGTCCCAGTGTGTTTAAATCCGCTTTATCAGGCAAAAGGCTTATTCCCCTTGGTATGGGAGGAACAGGCTTTGTCCCATTTAGGCCTCGTCGGGAAGACGGTGATCTCACCAAGGCAGGTGTAAGTTGAACTGGAGGTTTTTCTTGAGAATTTTCTCCTGCTTAAAAAACAATACATATTTTAGTTTCTTGTTTTTCAATTTCAGACAAGAGGAAGCCACAGTGATTTTAAATTAAAAGTCAATATCTTTCATGAGAAGCAAAATTACAATGAGACAAAATGAAAAACACTTCTACTAGGCCACCCAACAAATACAACAAAAATGAGCCTTCCCAAATCCCTTTATATAAATGTGCTGTAAACCAATTTACAATTTTGCTAAAAGTCTTCATATCCATTACCATAAAAAGTTATGAGGATCATAGTGCTTTTTGATTTAATCATGTAAACAATATTTGAGACTGCATATCTAAAGTAGGAATGTTGGCCATTGGGGTGAATAAGCAGAATAGAATCTCAGTTTCCAATATAGCACATGATATTGTAGAAAATATCTATATTAATAGAAGAGAAGGAAGTTTCAGCACTAAGAGATTAACTTTATTGAATATGTAAAAAAAAAAAACCCTTGACTTTATGGTTGTAAGTTTTTAAAATAAACATTTTACTTCAATAGAGATAGAAAACCATGTAGGATACAAGAGATGTCTTTTAAAAAATTTTTATTTTTGAGATTGGACTTGTCATGAATGAACTTACACACTAGTCTCATGATTATAGAGTAGTCTATTATTAAGAAAACAGTATCTTAGTTTACAACAATTAATAGAAAACTCCTCAAAATAATTTTAGAATATTTAATAAATATTGAATAAATGAGTAGTAGGCATTGATTATAGTAAACATATGAATGGTATTTTATACATGATAAGCTAAAATCTATTAGAAGGCTTTCAGGTGATATACACTATTTATGTTCAATATAAAATTTCTTTTTGTCTAGTCTGAAAATGATTTTGAAGTACCATTAGAAGAAATGATTATCTCAGTGCAATTTTGTATTATATATCTGACCCATTTAACATACTGTCACATATTTTCCTAAATATCTTCCAATTTACATAAATAAAATGCTAATTTATCAGTTTTTACAGACCTAACAATCACATGTATTAACCCCTCATTACTAAATCAAGCTCGCCAATAAATTTAAATAAACAAAAAATATCATTCCTACCTGTAGGTTCGGATGGCTTTTGGCTAGGCTTTTTCTGTGGACTTGGCTTTGCTAGTCCTTCAAAGCTTTTAAGAGGCCAGGAATTTGAGAAACTAATGGAATTATCTTGAGACTTCTTTGGGGACACAGTAAGTGGAGATGTATGTTTTGGACTGGTTCGAGGTGATGAGAGAGGATAGGATGGAAGGATGAGGGTTCCTGGGCTTGGATTTGAACCAGTATATGATGAAGAACGCTCTGGTTGACTACCAAATGTTTGTAGTGTTTTACTGCCAAAATTTAGGCTAGTGTACACTGCAATAAAACAAAAAGAGAATATATCATTTACATCCCTACAACTAACATGTGGTTAAAGTTGTGTTTTTATTTTTTAACTTTTCATATTTAGGTTTTCGCCCCAAATGGTACTTAGGTTTTTGCGTCACAAGGCAAATGTTAATTTAATTTGTATGCTTCAAATATCTTGTGTCTTCACAAAGAAACTGAAACTACTCTGTTCTATTAAAAATTTCAACTAGTCTTTGTAGATTTATTAATTTTCTCCTTACAATTCTGTTATTTTAGGTTGGAGTTGTGGCACAGCCGGTTAAGCCATTGCTTCCAAGGCCAGCATCCCCCATGATAGTGCTGGTTCGAGCTCCAGACACTCTGTTTCCAATCCAGTTTTCTGCTAATTACACCCTATGAAGGCAGTGGAAGAAGGCTCAAGTGCTTGGGTTTCTGCCAACCAAATGGGAAGTTGCAGAGGAGTCAGTTCCTGGCTTCCGATTTCACCCAAGTTCAGGCCTGGCCCTGTGGCCATTCGGAGAGTGAGAGCTGGCAGATGGAAGATCTTTCTGTCTTTGATTTTCTCTGCTACTTTGCCTTTCAAACAAATATTTTTTTTTAAAAAAAGGGAAATAACAATTATAATAACAATAATTTCTTTTTAATTTAAAAAAAGTCATCTTGTTCTTTTTCCGAATTATAACCCTCTTTAGTCTTAAGAATGCTTTTAGCTTTAAAGTATGATTTTCCCCTCCGACATATTAATATTTGCTTTTTCTTGAGCATTTTCCTAGTGTATCTTCTCCATCTTTATTTTCTCTGAATCTATGCTGACATATATTTATTTAGGTCTGACCCTTAAAAATAGCACTTCAATTTAAAAGAAAAAAATGTAATCATCCTCTGAAATTTTAATAGCAAGGTTTATTTGTATTTATGGTAATTACTGATATATTTGGTTTTAACTCTATTGTATTATTTTGTACTACTTGTTGCATCTTTATCAAATTTTCTTCTTTCACTGATCTTTCTTTTATTTATTTACTTATTTGAAAGTCAGAGTTACAGAGAGAAAAGGAGAGACAGAAATTCTCCCCACATGGCTACAACAGCCACGGCTGGCAGAGGCTGAAGGCAGGAGCCTCATGCAAGTCTCCTATATGAGCGGCAGGGCCCAAGCACTTGGGCCATCTTCCTTTGCTTTTCCCAGGCATTGCCAGGGAACTGGATTGGAACAGGATCATCAGGGATTCAGACCAGTGCCTGTATGGGACACAGTATCCGTAGTTGGTGGCCCTATGCGCTATGCTACAAGGCCAGGTCCTGCTAATTTATTTTACTCTTCAACTAACATAAATGTTTATTTGTAATCTTTTAGCGGTTCCTTAAATTTGCCCTTAATATTTGTAAAGCCATTCCTTGACATAAGCTCTAGTTTATGTATTATAACAAATAAACCACTATCTAAATTACTTGTTATTCCTTCGTAATTCATACCTGACATGATTAGAACCCTCTATTTCTTTCTTTTTCTTAAGATTTATTTATTTTTATTTGAAAGGCAGATTTCCAGAGAGAAGGAGAGATGAAGAGAAAGATCTTCCATCAATTGGTTCACTCCCCAAAATGGCCACAATGGCCAGAGCTGAGCTGACCTGAAACCAGGAGCTTCTTTGGGTTCACCCATATGCACATGGGTGCAGGGGCCCAAGGACTTAGACCCTCTTCAGCTGCCTTCTCAGATCATAAACAGAGAGCTGAATCACAAGTGGACACTGTAGCTGGAAGTTTAGCCCACTATGCCATGATGCCAGCCCCTCCACCATGAGTTCTTAAGCTAATTTTAATCAGTCATATTTATATCAACATTACAAAGCAATGTTACAGAGCATGAATTTTTAAAAATTATAAAAATGATTAAATATATAACATTCTTTTTTGTGATGAGAACAATTACACAAAGTGACACTTAAGCTGGTATTGGGAGTCTCACATTGTATTTATAAATCATTGCTTCTCAATATATTTGGAATTCATACCTTTATCTTGATGACTATTAGCTGTCCCCAGGGACTGTAAGTCAGAATCCACACTGCCAGTTTTTCCACACATTTGTGAAAATCCAAGTTGTCCACACTTCCCAGAAAAATGTGGCTGATGAGTCCCACTATTACCTTTTTAAGAAAGAAGGAGAAAATACGTAAAAGTAAAAACTGACTTTATTGCATACTTTACTTTGCAAATGTTTAGATGATTTTGCTGGGAATAAACATAGGAATAATAAATACAGTATTCACCTAGACAAGAATCTCTTGCTACTGTCAAATCTGACTAGTGGCAGGAGGTTAACAAACAGAAAACAGAAAACAGGCTGGTGAAGGACAGGGAAGAAAAATACACTGGAGAATATACACTAGGGTAATTTATTCCTATACTCTTCCTTTCTCTCCTCTTAGAAGGTTTCTCCAGGCCTAGCTTTCCTTCTTCCCAGTATTTGTTGTTTTCATGTTACCTAAAAAGGTCTTAAGTAGAAGTTTCCGTGCCCAGAAACGGGGCCTAGCGGCTAAAGTCCTCGCCTTGAACACACCAGGATCCCATATGGGTGCTGGTTCTATCCCGGCAGCTCCACTTCCCATCCAGCTCCCTGCCTGTGGCCTGGGAAAGCAGTCGAGGATGGCCCAAAGCCTTGGGACCCTGCACCCGTGTGGGAGACCTGGAGGAGGTTCCTGGCTCTTTTTTAATCTTTACAGTATTCTGGGTTCATAGCATCCAATTTAATCTTTGGTTATATTTCTTATTATTTAACATTTTAAACCTATAACCAGATAATGAACTTCTCAATGACATACAAATTTGGGTAACAATCCAAAAGAGTGGTGAGCAGTTGTCACAATGAGATGCTGCCTGAACACTGCAATCCACATCAGAGGGCCTGGGTTTGAGTTTCTGATTATTCCTTCCTACGTCATTTGCAAACACCTCATTGTTTTAGCATTTTTACTGTGATTAGAAACAAAATCTCTAATAGTCCTCATAGCTTCCAAGTACAAGCCCAAATTTTTAAGCCTAGCAGAGAAGGGTTCTCCATATTCCAATTTATGTTTCTCTAGCTAAATTAAATCTTGCCTTGACATAGCAAGTCATTCCTAATGTAAATTTTTGCTTCCCTGTACCTTTCCTAAATTCATTTGAATCAAATGTATCACAAAAAGATGCAGTTCAAACATCAACTCTTCCTTAATGCCTCTTCTTATTGATATTGTCAATGATGACAGTCACATTCTTGAAAATATCACAATATTTACACAGGCAACTAAATACCTTCTCAGTTGCTCTGGGCAAAAAGTCTTATTACTGACTCCTCTTCTGATATTATACATTCACTATTCCAGCAGATCACATCAACTCTACCCTTGACATATAATCAGAAACCGATCACTTCTCACTACATATTCTGCAGTCCCAGTTAAAGTCTACATCAACACTAGCCAAGATTAGCACAACACTCTCATTCAGTCTCTCTGTTTTTGTCCTGACCCCTTTTATCTGGTTGAAACACAGCATCCAAAATGAGCCTGGAAAATATAAGGCAAATGATGTCACTTCTTTCCTCAAAATGCGCCTGATTCAGAATTTAAGTTCATTCAGTACCCTCATCGGCCTTATAAAGACCTCTGTTGTCTCTTCAATTTTCTAATTCTCTTCCCCCTGCTTATTTCATTCCAGAATACTAGCTGATCTTTCTTAATACACGCCACACATTTACACGTCACTCTGCACTGGTTGTTCCTCCTTGTTGAAATTATTTACTGTTTTGTTGTGATATCTAGTGGTTTGCTTCAAATACTAGATTCTGAATATGACTGTCTTTCACAAAATAATGTAAAACAGTCCACATTCCATAGGCCTCAACTCAGTTTAATTTTTATCCATAGCATTTACCACCACCTACTCTACTGTGTCTTGCATTTATTTAACAATCACTCTCCTTTCCAACTACAATGCAAGCTGTAACAGGCAGAAAGTTTAACTCCTCTTGTTGATTGCTGTATCCCAAGAACACCTAACATGAAAAAAATGTCCAGGAAATACAGGTGGTTTAATAAGCAAATGAAGTGCTATGTTATTATTTAAAGGGTTACAGGAAGAAATCTTTGCATAGCCTTATGAGACAATTAAGCTCCAAAGTGTCCAGCCTTAATGGAGGAATAAAAATTTACTGAATTGAAATTTCTTATTAGATTAAAAAGTATGAGTCCTCGAAATAGACTATGAAGTCAAGAATTCTTGACAGCAACTTTTACTTACCAGCAGCACAAGTAGGAAGAGAATCTGGGTTAAAATCCCGACTATTCTGAAATAGGTTTCTTGACATTCTTTTTCTGCTAAAACATAAATCATCATTGACTGGCATTCCTTGAGAAGGCTTTAATTTTGGAGATGGGATGAAATCACATGTTGAAAGCTGTAACAGAATAAATTAGAAAATTTGTGCAAGTCTACTTCATAATAAATATGACAAAAATAACATGACATTCAAACAAGAAGGGTAAAAGGCCTACCCTAACCAATTTATAATAATACATTCACCTATAGTATGGCACATTAACAAAGTTCTTCCAAAAATTGTAGGACAGACAGCCTACAATTGTAGACAGCTAATTCTTGCCACTTCTTCTTCCTTTAAGCCAATCTGATTTTCTTCCAAACCTTACCCTCCCACAATGAACACCTGCAACTACAAATGACAGAATGGAAATGACAAAAAGCCAAAAATGACAAGTTGGATGAACACAGGAACATCTAATTCAACAGTATAGTCACTGCAACTATGCAATTTTTGAATACTAGACAATAAATGCCAACAAAAGGTCACTAAACAAGCAAACATTGCCCCTTACTATTCCTTCTGAGGCAGACTGACTGCCAGCATTATATATCTAAAACATAAATGTAAATGACAGTTACTTCTGTCATGATTCCATGAGGAGACCTTCTTAAGATATTTCACTTGGTTAAAAATAAGCACAGAATCCTTTCTATATGTCTAGCACTTTTCTGATTTCCAAGTTGTTCCTCATAAACAAACCTCATATATCTTTAAGGCACAGAAGTACTTCATATATACATATGATTTATATACACACGTACACACATATAATGTATGTATATATAAAGTACTTATTATATACACACACTATACATAATGACAACCATATATCATATCTATATGATTTAATTTTTATTGGAAAGGTAGATTTACAGTGAGAAGGATAGACAAAGATTTTTCATCTGCTGAGTGATTTCCCAATTTGCCACAATGGCCAGAGCTGAGCCAATCCAAGGCCAGGAGCCAGGAGCCAGGAGCCAGGAGCCAGGAGCTTCTTCTGGGTTTCCCAGGCAGGTGCAGGGTCCCAGGGCTTTTGGACCATCCTCTACTGCTTTCCTAGGCTACAGGCAGGGAGCTAGATCAGAAGTTAAGCAGCCATGACATGAACTGGCACCCATATGGGATCCTGGTACTTGCAGTATAAGGGTTATTTTAAAGGTGACTGTACTCGGGCCCGGCGTGGTGGCGCAAGTGGTTAAAGGTCCTCACCTTGCACACCTGGGATCCCATATGGGCGCCGGTTTCATCCAGGCAGCCCCGCTTCCCTTCCAGCTCCCTGCCTGTGGCCCGGGAAAGCAGTTGAGGACGGCCCAAAGCTTTGGGACCCTGCACCCGTGTGGGAGACCCGGAAGAGTCTCCTGGCTTCGGACCGGCATAGCATCGGCCGTTGCGCTCACTTGGGGAGTGAATCATCGGATGGAAGATCTTCCTCTCTGTCTCTCCTCTCTGTATATCCGCCTTTCCAATAAAAATAATAATAACAAAAATAAATCTTTAAAAAAAAGGTGACTGTACTCCTGGAAGTCTGGAATCTCCAAACAGACACCTGCATCCTGTTACGAGCAAAGCTCCTGTTTCCTGAAAGACCAAGAGGCAAGCAGGAGATAGGGATAATCTTAGAGTTTTGGATTTGAGGGCAAATAGCTACATTCGAGGCATGCTGTTTTCTTACTGTCTGCGTTGAAGTGATATGATCAGGAGCCCCAAGCCTATACGTTGTAAATTCCTGTTGCACGCTTTCTGTTTTGTGTCACTGCTAGCCCCTAATGATGTACTTGCTCACTGTCACGTAGCTTTTTGATTCTTTTACTAAAACAAGCCCACGATTATTTCATTCGGGGAGCTTCTTGCTTATTATGGCAAGAGGCTGCCCTTTGGACTAGACAATAAAATCATCTCACTCGCCTTGGAGTCTCACTTGGATTCATTGAACCCCAACATTGCAGGTGGAGGATTGGTCAACAGAGTCATTGTACTGGAGATATATATATATGTGTGTTTTTTTAATATTTTCATTTGAAAGGCAGATTCTACTCAAAGAGAAGATGTCTGCCATTTGCTAGTTCATTCTACAAAGGGATGCATTGACCGTAGCTGAGCTGATCTCAAGTCAGGTGTCCGGAGCTTCTGACGGGTCCCCCACGTGGGTGTAGGGTTCTAAGGACTTTAACTCTCTTCAGCTGCCTTCTCAAGGGCACGCACCAACAGATAGATCTGAAGTGGAACACCAGCATACACACAAACCAGTGCCCAAACGGGATGCCAGTGCCATAGGCACAGAATTAGCTTGCTGTATCAGGATGTTGGCCCTGCTTAACACATTTTTAAAATTCTACTAAATTAGTTACACTTTGCTTCTAAAAGCAATTCTTTCTTGATTCCCCTCCAATTCCTAAAGACACATTCTCTTCGCCTTGTTTGGCTATCTCTTCTGCTGTTCCCTAAGCAGAGTTTATATCAAGATTTGGTCCTAAGAATTCTTCTCTTGTTCGTCAGGATATTCAGTGGAGAGCACATTAATTCTCAGAAATCGTTTCTTAGCGTATGACTTCAAGAATACACGTGTCTACAGAGGTTTGTAACTCAAGTGGTATATTCTCTCTTCTTTTACCCAAAAAAGCAACAAACAAACAAAGACAAAAAATATTTCCCTGCCTAGTTAATCTCTTCTCACATTTTCTTATGTTTATTCATGATTCTGCAATCCCTTTAGCCTTTCTTTTCCAAATTTAAAAATAATCCCTTTTTATCTCACTCTACTGCACTGTGTTCTAAGCCTTTAGGAATAACCCTTGCATCCATGCCTTTCTTTCCAGTCTAAAACTGAGAGTCTCCGAATCTTCATAAAGCATCCCACACCTACATCAGTTTAATCAAGCATCTAATTAGTCTTCTGGTCCTCAATATCTAGCTTCTCTATAAAACAAAACAAAACAAAACCTTATACATTACTGTTGTTGTGATTAATTCTCCTGGAATACAACTTTTAAAATGAGGGAAAAAGTCCTCCTCACACCAGCTTCACCTGCTCCCCCTTCCGGTAAACCTCCTTCCTGTGAGCTGAAAATCTCTGTCAAGTATTCAAGGGTCTCTTGATCTAGCCCCCACCTCTGTCCCGAACCTTATTTCCTATCATCACATCACATTACAAAACTCAGGCATTCAACCAAACGGGACAATTTTATTCTGACTCGGCACCATGGACAGAGGCTTAGGTACCAACAGCAGCACTCTATACACTACACTGTGCACTGAAGAAAGCTGATATCAGGTATACACTTACTCTTCTTTTTATTAAGTAGTTGTCCTTTATAATCTAATCCTCACTTTGGGGGGAGAGGAAGGGTGAGGAATAGGAAGGAGAGAAAAAAATTAGTTTTCTTTAAAATTATGCTCTACTGGATAATTTAACTGTTCATGAATCTGAAACTACTTTTATCAGTGTCCTCTTATCTCTTTTAGAAAGTAGATGCCCATATCTCTGAAGATTTAGTTTAAACCTTTTATTCTAAATACACATCCAACGTTTAATGAATGTAAATATAATAAAATAGTACTATCATGATACTCAAGTTCTCATATTATTAAAAATCAGAAATAATTCATATTCTCTTTTTAAACTTCTTGTTTTAAATTGTCATTACCATTTTATGATGCAGTTCCATTGACCCTGGGATTTCCCTTACCCCCTCCTCAAGCCCCTCTCCTCACCCCACTGTGATCCCCCATATCATTACTGCAGTATAGTTTTTCATAAACAGTTACATGTCCATCGTTTTGGGCATGGACAATGCAAAATAGTCCAGCATCTTATTGTTAAGATATAGTTAATAGTTTCATTGGGAGTCCATCCTTTATCTGCAAGCAGAGATGCACCTGCACTGCATCTTCACATCTGGATATGACAGTCTCCATTATACAGTTACTATACATCCCCTTAAATAAAAAGCCACAATACAAACTCAACAACAGGAAGAAAAAGAAATATTTAGTGCCATGAAGTTAAATAACATGCTACTGAATGACTAATGTGTCACTGAAGGAAAATCAAGAATCTTGAAGAAAATGATGCTGCTGTCTGATCCACAAGTCAGTGAAGAATTTAATAAGAAAGTGTTTTGAAGAGATAAAATTTTAAAAAATTAAAATTCATAAGAGTTTCTGCTGATCTTTGTGGGATATGTCTGCTATATGTAACAAAATTTAATGAATGTAGACATAATAAAATAGTACTGTCATGATCCTGGAGTTCTCATATTATTAATAACAGAAATAATTCATATTCCCTTAAGCTACCTCAAATCATGCTGTACAGTTCTTTTCAAAAAGAAAGGCTAAAGTACGTCATATATTTTTAACGCCCTCATGAAAACTAATCAAATTTCTCTGTATGGAGTCTCAACTCCTTCTTGAGCAATGTATAAAAATATGGGGTCAAAAAAGCACCTTCATATTCTTAAATCTCCTTCTAAGAACAATATCTTCACCACTGTTTTTGTTTTCAACATTTCTTTATTTATTTGAAACCAGCATGAGAGCAAAAGATAGCGAGCATCAAGAATCAAGATGGCGGAATAGGGTAAGGACACGTTTAAACGAACGGAGAAGCATTTAACCAGAATGAAGCAGAGAGGACATATTTCAGGAAATACGAAAGGACAGAACAACAGCAGAGGGGTACCTGGAGACTGACAGACACAGAAAAGCAGCGGGCACAGCAGTGTGGTGTTGCAGTGAATGATCTAAACTCCACCAGCAGCCGGAACTCCACCAGCAACCAGGTCCGTGTGGCACCCAGACCTAGCGTCCAACAAGTTCCGACAAGATCAGCGTCACCAACAACCTAACTAGATAGTACACCTGGTGTCTCTTTAATCCTGGAAACCACTCCAACCAGAAGAGGGAGAAAGGTTGCAGAGACAACAGTGCAGCCTCAGCACGGTATCACAGGAGGTGGAGAGTGGTGAGCCAAGAGCTGGGCTGTGGAGACCACGGTGGATATCTGACATAAGAACCCAGACCTGGAATTCACTGGAGGTTGTGGCACAAGTGGCTGCAAGCAAAAAGTTGTGTACCAACTGCGATAAGTAAAATCGCATTGTAGACCTGTGGGTGACACAGCTTAGAAATCTGCCCCAAGAAGAAGACTCTGCTAACCAGAAGTACAATGATCAAGAGCAAAAGAAGAGACAAAGGCACAATGAATATTACTGAAAAGTCCCCTGCAAAGGAGCAAAACCCTATGCCAACCTCAGAGTTCACTGAAGAAGACATTGAGAAAATGGGGCACACAGAATCCATAAGACTCATTTTAAAGATTCTGGTCAAAAATGAGAAGTTAATGCAAGAGTTCAAAGAATTTAAGGAAGCAGTAAAGGAAATCAAGGCTGGTATATCAGAAATTAAGAACACAGTAGAGCAAATTACAAGTACAGTGGAGAGTCTCCAAAATAGAATGAAGCAAGCAGAAGAAAAAATCTCAGAATTGGCAGATATCTCCTGTCACCAGGGGGAAGCAAACAAAAAGCTGGAAGCAGAGCTGGATCAGGCCAAAAAAAGTATTCAAGAATTGAAAGACACTATTAAGAAGCCTAATATAAGAGTTATGGGAGTCCCAGAAGGTGCAGAAAGAGAAGCTGAGTTTGCAAATGTATTTAAGGAAAATTTCCCTAATCTGGAGAAAGAATTGGGAAACAACATCCAGGAGGGGCACAGAATTCCCAACAGGCTTGACCAAAAGAGATCTTCACCAAGACACATGACTATCAAGCTCTCTTCAATTGAACATAAGGAAAAGATCCTTAAATGTGCACGTGAAAAACATCAATTGACATATAAAGGAAGGCCAATTAAGCTCACAGGAGTTCTCTCACAGGAAACTCTACAGGCAAGAAGAGAATGGAGTGACATATTCCAGATTCTAAAAGAAAAAAATTGTCAGCCTAGGATAACATACCCTGGAAAGCTTTCTTTCATCTTTGAAAATGAAATAAAATTCTTCCATAGTAAAGAAAAGCTAAAAGAATTTGCCTCTTTCAAACTTGCTCTAGAAATGATACTTCAAGATGTTCTCTTGACAGAGAAGAGGAATAGCACCTACCAAAACCAAAGGCAAATGGGAAGAACATCCCAGTAAAATGACAACAGAAGACTAAATCAATGAACAACCCATTCCTAAAATTACAGGACCAAAGTATCACCTATGTATATTTAACTCTGAATGTAAATTGCTTAAGCTCAATCAAACATCATAGATTAGTAGACTGGATTAAAAAACAAAACCCATCTGTTTATTGTCGGGAGGAGACATACTCCGACAAAGATCAGCGGAAACTCTATCACATGGGTTTTATTGTTTTCTGTTGGTTTCATCTCTTCAAAACACTTTCTTCTGATTAAATCATTCAATGACTCGTAGCTCATCATTGGCATCATTTTCTTCAAGAAGGTTCTTGATTTTCATTTCTTCAGCTACACGTTGGACATTTAATAGCATGTTGTTTAACTTCTTGGTGTTGTTAATTTCTTTTTTCTTCCGGAAGTTGATTTTGTTTTGTGGCTCTTCATTTAAGGGAAGGTAAAGTAGCTGTGTAATGGAGACTGTCATATCTAGTAACATGTCATTTAACTTCATGGCATTGTAAATTTCTATTTTTCTTTCTATTGTTGATTCTGTATCGTGACTTTTCATTTAAGGGAATGTACAGTTGATTCTGTATCATGACTTTTCATTTAAGGGAATGTAATGGAGACTAACAACCAGATGTGAGGATGCAGTGTGGTCGGCATCTCTGTTTCCAGACAAAGATGGACTTACAGTGAAACTGTTTATATTATATTTTGACAATAGGATTCTGGACTGTCTGCCATTGTCCATGCCCGCAATGATGAACATATGACTGAATATGAAGAACTATATGTTAATAATGATATAAAGGAACTGAGGGGGGGAGGGAATTGGGGAGGGGATAGGGGAATATGGAACTGTATCGTAAAATGATAGCAATAATAATAAAATGTGGAAAAAAAAAAAGATAGCGAGCATCAGAACAAGAGTCCTTTGCTCTGCTGTCTCATTTCCCAAATGACCACAACAGCCAGGAATAGGCCAGGTGAAAGCCCAGAGCCAGGAACTCCATCCTGGCGTCCCATGGCTATGGCAGAGATCCAATCATTTGGGTCATCTGCCGCTGCTTTCCCGGGAACAATGTCAGGAACCTGGATTGGAAGTGGAGCAGCCAAGATTCGAATTCACATTCCAATACAGGATGCCAGTATTGTAAACAGAGGCTTAACCTACTGTTCCACTGTGACCATCAAGGAGAGGAATCAGTGAAGAAACATCTCTCTGTGTACCTTTTACACTTAAAAAAGTAAATCTTAAAAAGATTTTTTTTTCAAGTTGGTGATTTTATCTGGTTCATGAATAATATTAATATAAATATCTAAATGCACCTTGACACAAAAAGGTTCACCACTCGTTATCCATGGATAAAGATGCAAAACTCCTTAACAAAATATTGACAATTCTAATCTAACAATATTTCAAAGGAATAATATGCAGCAAGTTAGAATGAGAAACAGGGGAAAACACTAATTTCTGGCGGGAATGCCAATTGGTACTTTCGTAGCTTCTTTCAAAACTAAATAGATTTCTGGGCCCGGCGCGGTGGCGCAAGTGGTTAAGGTCCTCGCCTTGCACGCCCGGGATCCCATATGGGCGCCGGTTCTAATCCCGGCAGCCCCAATTCCCTTCCAGCTCCCTGCCTGTGGCCTGGGAAAGCAGTCGAGGACGGCCCAAAGCTTTGGGAACCTGCACCCGCGTGGGAGACCCGGAAGAGGCTCCTGGCTTCGGATAGGCATAGCATTGGCCGTTGCGCTCACTTGGGGAGTGAATCATTAGACGGAAGATCTTCCTCTCTGTCTCTCCTCTCTGTATATCTGCCTTTCCAATGAAAAAATAATAAAAATAAATCTTTAAAAAAAAAAACAACAACTAAATAGATTTCTATCATAAGATCCTGAAGTCCCATTTCTTGGGTCCCTTGCACTCACACGGGAGCCTGGGACGATAAAATAAAACTAAAGAGGGATTTCCAGGAGTTGTGGGCAGATAAGGAGAGGATGAACACTGAGCGAGGGACGGAGTGGATGGAAGATTAGAGCACAGAGACTTTTAGGGCAGTGAACTATTTTGTATCATTCTACAATGATAGATACTACAGTGGATACATTTGTCAACTTACATATGATGTAAGTGAATTCTAAACTATGAACTTTGAGTGATACTGGTATGTTAGTATTGACTCATCGATTGTGTTAAATGTTCTGCTTGGTGCAGGGTCTAAAAGGTAAGTTGCTCATGTGTGTGGACAACAGAATATGGGTCGTCTCAAAGTATCAATCTGCAGGGCCTGGTGTGATGGCTCATTGACAATTCATTGCTTTGCAAGTGCTGGGACCCCATATCGGTGCTAGTTCGTGTCCCAAATGATCCACTTGCCATCAAGTTCTCTGCTAGTGGCCTGGGAAAGCAGTAGAGCAAGGCCAAATGCCTTGGGAGCCAGCACCCATGTGGGAAACCTGGAAGAAGCTCCTGGCTCCTGGCTTTGGATCAGTTCACCTCTGGCTGTTGTAGCCACTTAAGAGAATGAACCAGGGGATGTAAGATCCTTCTGCCTCTCTTCCTTTCTGTATATCTGACTTTCCAATAATAAATAAATAAATGATGGGCCCGGCGCGGTGGCGCAAGTGGTTAAGGTCCTCGCCTTGAACGCCCGGGATCCCATATGGGCGCCGGTTCTATCCCGGCAGCTCCACTTCCCTTCCAGCTCCCTGCCTGTGGCCCGGGAAAGCAGCAGAGGATGGCCCAAAGCCTTGGGACCCTGTACCCACGTGGGAGACCCGGAAGAGGCTCCTGGCTTCGGACCGGCATAGTATCGGCCCGTTGCGCTCACTTGGGGAGTGAATCATCGGATGGAAGATCTTCCTCTCTGTCTCTCCTCTCTGTATATCTGCCTTTCCAATAAAAAAAATATATATTAAATAAATAAATAAATAAATGTTAAAGAAAAATATCAACCTATGGATTATGTGTTAATTATAAAAAAAAAACTGTTGAATGGACCTGGCTATCACTGTTAACAAAACGATAAAACAGAGCATCATTAATAATAGCAAAATCTGAAACTGTCTCATGCTATTGATGGGAAGGGTGTCCAATTTAATAGCAAAACCGATCTTTTTCTTAGAAGATTATCATGAATCTAATTAGAAGGCAACAGAGAAATGCAAAATGTGACATATTCTGCAGAACAACAATCTGAGACACTTTAAAAAAAAGTCAATGTCAGAAAACAACAAAGAATTCAACAGGTGGGGACACTGCACTAAATAAATGACACATTCACCACACAAACTTAGGAATCCTGGATAAAACCAAGCACATTTTGGGGAGACGTGGAAGAAATGGAAACACAGGCTACATACTAGACATCACTGAGTTGCTACTGACACTCTGAGGAGTGATAATGATATTGATTATAAAGGAGGATGTCACTGTTGGGAGATATGCACCAAGGTGTTTAGGAGTGAAATGTCAAGCTACCTGCAACTTTTAGCAAATACAGCAAGTTGTTACCAACTGGTTCAGCAAATACCTTAATGACGTTAACAACTGGTAATTACTGATGAAGTATGTCAGCACATCACTGTACTCCTAACTTATCTGCATATCCAGAATTTTTACAACAAAAATGGGGAGGTGGGAATCTTACTGACATGTGCACTGAAGGCACATTATTTTTCCATCCTTAGTACTCCCACGGCACTGTTCACTTTTCTATCTTAGCATTTGACAGATTTGTTAACTGCCCATTTATAGGTCTGACTTTCTCCCTAACTTGGATAGAACTGCCCTTATCATCTCAAAATACCACTTTTATCTGACACTAGGTACTTAATGCTTGCATTTTGAATGAGGTGACTGACACACCGAGATGGCAAGGCAAAATTGAAATCCAGGCATGGTCTATTTCACAGTGTGCCTTTAATTTAACAAAATTCATCTAGCAGGAAACCTATTATATCCTATGTGACCATTACAGAGACCCCAATCACTTAAAGTGGTTTAAAACAAAGCTTAAGAGTTCCCAAGCAATGTGATCCCTAAGTTACCACAGCCCGATTTTCTTTCAAATTCATTCAGTTTCACCTCAAAAAAGTCAAGGCCACGTACCTGTTCTACATCCTTAGAAATGGAGGTTGGGTTTTCTCCCATCTCTGCAGGCTGCTCATTTTCCCATGGTAATTTATTTTTTCCTTTTCCTGCACTTAAAACCCTCCGGGTGCAGACAGTGGGGCTGTAAGATCCATACGTTTGCATGCTGTCCCTCGTGTTGTCACCACAGTGGCAGTGTGCACTCTGAGTTCTGTTACCAGCCAAAAGCCAGTCTGTGTCTGCTCCATGTGACAAATGGTTTGATCTTCCCTGGGCAGAAGATGGCATGAGTGTTGCATATTCCACAAATCCCTGCTCTGTGAGCCTGGGTAGGGTTTTCCTAGCCAATCTGGCCTGCACAGCATTCATGACTCCATCTCCATTATCTTGCAGCTCAACAGTGTCGACGGCTTTAAAAAGGATGCTGGTTTTACCTGAGCCCATGGCAGAGGCCAGCACAGCAAAGGCTTCCAGAGCTGCCTGGCGCACCCTGCGCTTGCTGTCTACAAGTGCTGGGGCTAGATCAAAAGACAGTTTGGGTAGGTCAAAATCTTCACTGGGGTAAGTCAGGAGCGAACAGATGCAAATGTTCACTACTTCCTCTCTTACTCTGGAGTGCTTATGTTTAAGATGTTCCAAGAGTAAACAAAGCACCTGTTGAGGACCTACTTCCTTCATTAGTTTGAGGAAGATTTTCATGTATTCTTGCTTGATCACCAACTTATTGTCTGCCAGCACTTTGATGGAAGCTGCGATCACTGGTCCCAGAAACTGCTGTACCTGCTCTCCAAGGCGAACGACTAGTAAATGCAGGACTTGAAGGGTGCCATGGACCACTTTGAAGTTAGAATCATCTAACAAGTTATACAGCAAGCTAATGAAGCTAACGAGATTAGAATGAGGGGTACAACTAGGGTTAAATTTTCCCAGCACTTGCTTTAATTCTTCTACAGCCTGAGTCCGGTTCTTATAGTTTTCCTGATCCAATAATCTTGCATGTAGCTCCTGAGGAATAATCCCAAATTTAAGATTGCTGTTGGAAGGAGTTGGTGCACAGGGAAGGGGATCTTCAGGAAACCCAGACGCTTCAAGCTCCAAATAATAGGGGACCTGACTTCCAAACTGGGTCTCCTGGCGGCGATTGTAGTGTCTCCGTAGGGCAGACGGCAGGCGAGAGATATAGGACTGAAACCTCTCCTGGCCCAGTCGCTCCCCAATTTGTTGAAGTGCAGAGAAAGCTGTTTCCGATTCTTCTTCTATCTCCTGATCGCCAAGCTTTCGGGCCAGGGATATAATTACCTCGGTGAGATCCAGGCCAAGCAATAAATCCTCAGGGGTCAGCAAGATAGGAAGCACTAGCGCCGTGGAAGCTCTCAGACGGGTGTCGGTGCTTTCCAGCCCTTGTTGTATAAGCATTCTCAGCACCTGGCTCGAACTACGTTTCAGACATAAGTGCAGGATCTGCAGCGCATCTTTCCGTAGGGCTGGATTCTCTTCTCGCAAGGAGACAACCAACTGAGGCAGAAGGGCCAAGCTAAAGGACTCTTCCAGCTGGCCTGCCTCCCCCTGGCCCCGGAGGACATCCGAGAGAAGCTGCAAGCACAGCCGCTTCTCCTCACTTCCCCCTTCCACGAGCACCCGGCCCAGGGCCCTGTACAATGCCTCCTTACGCCTGGGGAAACCAAGCCGGCCGCCCCGCCGCGGCAGGGCAGCCTGCAGTGCCTGCAAGGCCTCTGAAGGCTCCGGTGCGGTGCGCAGGAGTTGAAGGAGCCGGGTCTCCTCTTCATCTCCCGCTGACAAAGCCCCTCCGGACCCGGACCAACTACTGGAGACCGCCTCGGCGGGCATCAAGAGGGTCGAGGCCAGAGGCAATGGTGTAGGAGGGCAGGAACCGTGGTCCCCGGCAGCTCCACGGCAGTAATAGTTTTTCTCTCCTCTCATGGCGCCCCCTATTCGACTTTCATCAGTCTCTGAGGTGGAAGGACGACTGCGGCCCTGGAGGCGACAGACACACGGGGCTGAAAGGGGCGGCAGCAAGAGCAGCGACGACGGCGCAGTCGCCATGGAGGGTCGTCAGGTGGCTTTGGCGGGCGGGAACCATTGCCATCTCCGCGGGGCTCGAGGGAGCCCAGCCTTCCAGTTCTTCAAGGCCTGGGCTGCAGAAAGTGAGAAGGAACAGTTATCACCAGCTGCCAGGCCGCCTCCGACACCGGGAGGCAGCCTTAAGCAAAATGGCCCCCGCGTGAGCCCCAGACCCCACTGCTGCCACCGGGCGTAACCAGGGGCACCACGTGACCAAACCGATCGCTTCCATGGTGATGCACCCAGCGCGACTCCCCTGACCCCGGAAATCAACGTGCCGTGATGGATGCTGGGTCTTGTAGTCCACGTCAGGTGTTATAAGACCAAGGCTCTTGGAAGAGGAAACCGGAGCGACGTGAACGTTGCGACAGCGGAGGAGAGGGCCGGGTAATGACAGAAGGAAGTGACGCTCTCCGAGCTCGGGGCGGAAGTTTCCCGCCCCACCCGTCAGAGTTGGGTTTGACCACAGCAAGTGAGGTTCCTACTCCGGCGCCACTTGTCCACGGCTCCTCCTCCTGTCGCTGTCAGCGAGATTCCTGGGACTCAGGTATTTCCATTTTGCCGTCCTCCAGCGGCGCAGGCTTTGGCAGAGATTTGTCCGCGTGTCGCCGGTGCTAGAGTGAGAGGGACAGGAGTGAACGGGAGCTGGCGGAGAAAGAGGGGCGACATCTTCTTGTGCAGGTCTGGATACCGTTGGAGACTCACTACCCCCCATACAGCCCTGCGTGCGCGCGATGCGTTGGTCCTTCCCTTCGCCTAACGGGACGGCCGACCGGGACCGAGGCCCGGGATGCAGCTCCCGCACGTCTCTCCGCCTGTCTTCGGGGGGCCCTTACTCTCCCGGCCCTCCTTCCCTCTCCTCGTCTCTTACTTCTCTTAACCTGCTAACAGAGGGGGTTAATTGTTTTCTGTTACTTTTTCCCTACTTCCGTCACAAAATCTCTCTTTAAAGATATATCCTCTGGAGGTACGTCTGCTTTTTTTTTTTTTTCCCCGTTTCATTTCTGTCGCAGCCTCTAAGTGGGCTTTCTGTAGCAGATCCTCAGTGACATTTACGCCTGGCCCTGGTCCTGCCCCCACGCCCACCCCTAGACCCCGCCTGTGCTGCCTGCGGAATTCTCTCGGGTTCTGCAGCCTCTCTGGTCTCCTGGAGATTTTCGGTCTTGGCGTCACTGCCCTAGGAGAATTCTTGCCTTAGGCATGTTAGATGCTTCTTTGTTTCAGGCCAACAGAGCATTTAATCCTTATCTTGTGGTCTTAGATGAAAGCTAAGCGGTTGCAGTTGGGTCTGGATATCTAGTGTGAGGCCGGAAGGCTTTAGAGTATAGACTACAGTGGCTGTTGTTGTTTTAATGAAATAATACAATTACTTTTGAATGACCCAGTGACAGAAGTCTTAGTAATCCAATCGAGGTCCTTAATGTCCGCACTTCAAAAGCAAGCATTCCTACCCTGCTGTAGATAGGATGTGTTTTAAAAACTTGTTTAAGGCTTGGAATAACTAAGTTACATGCCTGACTACTTTACAGTTTAGTGTTGCTAGCTAGTACAAGTTCAAAAATCCAAAATTTTTCCTTAGAGCTCAGTTTTAACATCCAAGGTTTCTTTATTGTTTGGGAAAGACAGCATCAGTGTAAACGAGGCAACGTAAATGTGTGTCCTATGTGTTGGTACAGATTCTACACAATCTTAAGTTGGTGTTTAAATGAATCCATCTAAATTATTTCAGTTGCCTGAAAGAAAGTTCATTTTTCTTTTGATTTTCTTCATATTTCATCTTAGGACAGGATAAGGGCAGGGAGATGATTGTAATAGTTGTCAATGAAAAAGAATGCTGTCCTCGTATTACCTAAGAAGCCCTGGTGTATACTTCCACATGCGTATTTTCAAACTTCAGGAAGGCAAATTCAGACTACAGGATGATTGTACCAGTTGTGGATGGTACCAGGATGGAGTACCAGTTGTGTTGGAACATGTCACTGTTTCTAGGGATCAGAATTTTCAGGTTCAAGAACTTGGGGGAAGCAGATTAATAACTAGAATCAGAGAATAGAGACTTGGAACATTTTGAGTGACATTTTATCATCAATGCTGTGCTAGAAGCTTAAGATTTAGCCCTGCTATATATAAAGAATGCTTTTTGAGGTACCTAGGTTCTTAAGTCATATCCTTCTATTGTGAGTAAAGCCAAGATGAGTGTTCCTTTGGATCCTTCCCTTTCTCTGGTGTCTGTATTGGTGTATGCTGTAGCGTGCAGTTTATTTTATATCTGTGACATTTTCTCACCCTGATAAAGACAGACTTGAAAAATGCATTTTTCTTCATGGTTGATATTTTTCTAAAAAACACAACTTCATTGTCATTATTTTTGAGAGTTATTTGGAGACATTTAGAGCAGGTATTTATAGTGCACATTTTGTTTATTTCTAAAAAAAGTAGCTTCTTTTAGAAATCTTATACTTGAATTCTAGGGATCCCTTTGTACTGGCTAGGACAAATTTTTAGTCAAATTCCGTAATAGTAGAATACATTATTAAGTGTTAATAATATACCTGAGATAGTTAAGGATACATTGAAAATTGCATATTCAGGTAAAACAAATTAAACATTTCAAAATATTTAATAAAATTAGTGGATTGCAGTACTATATGATACATATCTTAATATATTAAGCCAAACTGAAGTAGGCTAAATACAATTTCTATAATCAGAAATAATACTTGTGTATTATTTCATTGTGTGAATCACTACAATTTCTCTGTCTTTATATTCAGATTTCCCCAATATCTAGATACATGTGAATTCTGTAAATTGAATTTTTTATAGTTTTAAGACATTTTGTTAGGAAATGCTATGCAAATGAAAAGTTCCAGTGATATTAACGGATAATTATGATACCATTTATTTTCTTTGTTACATGGTTTATATTGTGCCATAGACTTAATATTATCTCATTTAGTACGGTTTTTTGAGATTATACGTCTTACATTTTTAATGGCACATTTTATGGGCATGTTCATGGAGAGTACATGAGCAGAGAGAATCAATTTGGTTACATTCTTAAGACTTTAAGAAAGTTTTGGTGATCAAGAATACTGAAAGTATAAGATGAAATTCGATTTTTCCATTATGAATTATTTATATCCTTTATTGTGTATCATTGTGTATTATTTCATGTTAATTGGGTTTCTTTTTGTTATTAGTATTATTGATCTGAGAGACGGACAAATACACAGGGAGAGAAAGAGGCCACTGCCGTATACTGGTTCACTACCCAAATGCCTGCCATGTTCAGGGCTCCAGGAGAGCTGTGCAGGCCAGAGCCGTGCTGGGCATTAGGAACTTGAGCCAGCTCCCCTACGTGGATGCCAGGGATCCTCCTACTTGAGCCATCATTTGCTGCTGCTCTACTCAGCATGTTCCAATGACGTTATACATTTCTGTCTTGAGCCACTATTTTTTTTTAGCAAAAATCCAATTTTTATTATCTTTAAAGTCCAATTTGTGTACATTATCATATTTCACATCTGTTCTATCCAGTTGGTTAGTGGACAGAGGTTGGTTACGCGAGTGACAGCTTTCACTGCCTGTGTGGTGATGGCTTCAGGACTTGCTTTCTGCTGCGTTATGTAATGAAGCATATTATGATTGGTTTCAAATTTTACTTTTGTTTCTCCAGAGACAATAAGACCTAGTCTCAGGAAATGGAGAAATGTCAACTTATTATATAGATTCTCTGATAAAAGTACAAACCATCATTAGTTTATTTCAACTTTGTGGAGAATTGACTTGTAGGAAAGAAATTTAAGAAAAGACATTCTCCAAACTACATCAACAAATCACACTTTTTACAAAAATATTTGATTTTTTTAAACAGTCTTCACTTCTCTTATTTATTCTGGTTGTAATCTATATTTACACTAGTGTTACAGCAGTTAATTGCCTCCCAAATGATTTCAGCACCACTGGGTTGTAACTCAGGTGTCAATTAAGCAGACAAATTAAACCCACAGCATGACCTTTATTATCTTGTTTTAACAACCTAAACTTATTGGTACAAGCTATGGGATATTTTATTTTATTTTATTTCATTTTCATCTAACATTATGGCTAAAGCAAAATGCATACTATTGCTGTTATAACTTTTCAGATGCCATTTATTTACTTCTGACTGATCAACTAAATTTAGAGTGCCACAAAGTATTTTCTTTTTTTTTTTTAAGATTTATTTATTTATTGGAAAATCAGATATACAGAGAGGAGGAGAGACAGAGAGGAAGATCTTCCATTCAATGATTCACTCCCCAAGTGAGCACAACGGCCAATGCTATGCCAATCCAAAGCCAGGAGCCAGGAACTTCTTCCAGGTCTCCCACACAGGTGCAGGGTCCCAAGGCTTTGTACCATCCTCTACTGCTTTCCCAGGCCACAAGCAGGGAGCTAGATGAGAAGTGGAGCTGCCGGGATTATAATCGGCGCCCATATGGGATCTGGTGCATTCAAGGCAAGGACTTTAGCCATTAGGCCACACTGCTGGGCCCATACAAAGTTTTTTCTTAAGAACAAAAAATGGTGGATTCAGCACAGCAGCCTAGTGGCTAACACCCTCACCTTGCATGTACCTATGGGTGCTTTTTTGTTTGTTTCATTTTATGACAAAATTTTATAGTGTCTGGGATTTCCCTAACCCCTCCCCAAGCCCTCACCCCTACAGTGGGTTCCTCTACATTGTTGCACTATTACAGTTCAAATCCAGTCATGATTCTTTCATTGCAAGCATGTACCATGCATAGAGTCCCGCATCTTATTGCCCTGATAAATTCAGCTATTTCTTGGGGAGACCATCTCTGGTCTGAGAGCAGAACTGGCAGAATATCATCCTGTCCAGTGAAAAGCCACAACAAAACATCCACAACAATTTACAACACTATGGAGTTAATTGACATGGTATTGAATGATCAATATGTTAGAAAATGCAAGTTCTTAACCACATCCTGTGACTATTTTATTGACATTTCAATTTTTGTTTATACACAACCAGCTGCTGTATACCTCAAAATGGCTATAGGGTACTATTCAGCTGTCTCGTGTCTATTTTCATTTTTACGTTTAGCAGTTTATAGTATTGAAGCATTATTTTTACTGAACTTGGCGCATTTCAGGTTAGTCCAAACTGGTTTATAACTCTAACAAGTTGAGGCGCAGAACAGTTTTGATGGGGTGTGCAGAGAAATCTTCAATGCCTTAGTGAGGAGTAACTAATCTTTGTGTCCTACATAGTAAGGTGTATGTGAGTCCAAGCTGACCATTTCCTGTGTGGTTGTAAGCTTTCCTTATTGGTCTCTGTCTATCTATTCTAATTTTGGCGGGGGGGGGGGGAGTGGAGCTCCGGAGTGACCCTGATGGTCATTGCAAGAGAGGATAGGGAGCCAAAGTTGGAATTGAGTTAAGACCAAAGAAAGTTTCCCTCCCAAATTCCGAAGGAAGTTGACTGTTCTGTTTCTGAGGACCGCTCAGGGTTCCCAGCTGTCATTCTGATGACATTAG